TCATTCCTATTTACGAATTTTGATCAACTCATTTCATTTCGAATATTTCTTCCAAATTTAATATTTAGGGGTAGGTTGCTGTTGTGTTAGGTATATATACAGTGTTTCTCATTTAGGAGAAAATTGTTGGCTATCAGTTCCGATCATTTTTTGAGCAATAGGAGAATATGTCGCGTTTCAGCTACGGAATTGGAGAAAGTTCTCATTAATATTTCAGTTTCTTATTCCATGTAACTTTTATGATTTCAAATCTCAATATATTTTGAATTCGAGATATTGATACCAACTATGTTTAAGATCAACGAAGCGAAGTGTTATTAATCGACGGAAAATTGCACAAAAGAGGAATGTTCAAATCACAATATATTTTGAGTTCGAGATGTTGATACCAACTATGTTTTAGATCGACGAAGCGACGTGCTATTAATCGACGGAAAAATTGCACGAAAGAGGAAACCATACCAGAAACCAACGACCAGTGATAAGTTTTTCATTATCATCAACGAATTTTAGTCAATTCATTTCGAATATTTCTTCCAAATTTATTATTTGTTATGGAAGGCGATATATCATAGAACATTTTTTGATGGTCACCTTTAAGTCTCGATGGTGACACGACAGGTACCCTTACGAGGGGAGAGTATCAACCCTTGGCATCGGTAAACCCTCGTTGCAACCGGGGTAGGTGCCTGATGGGTTAGGTATATACAGTGTTTCTCATTTAGGAGAAAATTGTTGGCTATATCTGTTCCGCTCATTTTTTGAGCGATAGAAGAATATGTCGCGTTTCAGCAACGGAATTTGAGAAAGTTTTCATCAATATTTCTGTTTCTCATTCCATGTAACTTTCTTTATTTCAAATCTTAATATATTCAGAATTCGAGATATTAATACCAGCTATGTTTTAGATCAACGAAGCGAAGTGTTATTAATCGAGTGAAAAATTGCACAAAAGAGGAAACCAGACCAGAAACCAACGACCGGTGATAAGTTTCTCATTCCTATTTACGAATTTTGATCAACTCATTTCATTTCGAATATTTCTTCCAAATTTAATATTTAGGGGTAGGTTCCTGATGGGTTAGGTATATACAGTGTTTCTCATTTAGGAGAAAATTGTTGGCTATCTGCTCCGATCATTTTTTTAGCAATAGGAGAATATGTCGCGTTTCAGCTACGGAATTGGAGAAAGTTCTCATTAATATTTCAGTTTCTTATTCCATGTAACTTTTATGATTTCAAATCTCAATATATTTTGAATTCGAGATATTGATACCAACTATGTTTAAGATCAACGAAGCGAAGTGTTATTAATCGACGGAAAATTGCGCAGAAGAGGAATGTTCAAATCACAATATATTTTGAGTTCGAGATATTGATACCAACTATGTTTTAGATCGACGAAGCGACGTGCTATTAATCGACGGAAAAATTGCACGAAAGAGGAAACCATACCAGAAACTAACGACCAGTGATAAGTTTTTCATTATCATCAACGAATTTTAGTCAATTCATTTCGAATATTTCTTCCAAATTTATTATTTGTTATGGAAGGCGATATATCATAGAAAATTTTTTGATAGTCACCTTTAAGTCTCGATGGTGACACGACAGGTACCCTTACGAGGGGAGAGTATCAACCCTTGGCATCGGTAAACCCTCGTTGCAACCGGGGTAGGCGCCTGATGGGTTAGGTATAAACAGTGTTTCTCATTTAGGAGAAAACTGTTGGCTATCTGTTCCGCTCATTTTTTGAGCATAGAAGAATATGTCGCGTTTCAGCAACGGAATTTGAAAGAGTTTTCTTTAATATTCCAGTTCCTCATTCCATGTAACTTTCATGATTTCAAATCTTAATATATTTTGAATTCGAGATATTAATACCAACTATGTTTCAGATCAACGAAGCGAAGTGTTTTTAATCGACGGAAAAATTGCACGAAAGAGGAAAGTTCAAATCTCAATATATTTAGAATTCGAATCTGTTCCGATCATTTTTTGAGCTATAGGAGAATATGTCGCGTTTCAGCTACGGAATTTGAGAAAGTTCTCATTAATATTTCAGTTTCTTATTCCATGTAACTTTTATGATTTCAAATCTCAATATATTTTGAATTCGAGATATTGATACCAACTATGTTTAAAATCAACGAAGCGAAGTGTTATTAATCGACGGAAAATTGCGCAAAAGAGGAATGTTCAAATCACGATATATTTTGAGTTCGAGATATTGATACCAACTATGTTTTAGATCGACGAAGCGACGTGCTATTAATCGACGGAAAAATTGCACGAAAGAGGAAACCATACCAGAAACCAACGACCAGTGATAAGTTTTTCATTATTATCAACGAATTTTAGTCAATTCATTTCGAATATTTCTTCCAAATTTATAATTTGTTATGGAAGGCGATATATCATTAATCATTTTTTGATAGTCACCTTTATGTCTCAATGGAGATACGACAGGTACCCTTACGAGGGGAGAGTATCAACCCTTGGCATCGGTAAACCCTCGTTGCAACCGGGGTAGGTGCCTGATGGGTTAGGTATAAACAGTGTTTCTCATTTAGGAGAAAATTGTTGGCTATCTGTTCCGCTCATTTTTTGAGCAATAGAAGAATATGTCGCGTTTCAGCAACGGAATTTGAAAGAGTTTTCATCAATATTTCAGTTTCTCATTCCATGTAACTTTCATGATTTCTAATCTTAATATATTTTGAATTCGAGATATTAATACCAACTATGTTTCAGATCAATGAAGCGAAGTGTTTTTAATCGACGGAAAAATTGCACGAAAGAGGAAAGTTCAAATCTCAATATATTTAGAATTCGAATCTGTTCCGATCATTTTTTGAGCAATAGGAGAATATGTCGCGTTTCAGCTACGGAATTTGAGAAAGTTCTCATTAATATTTCAGTTTCTTATTCCATGTAACTTTTATGATTTCAAATCTCAATATATTTTGAATTCGAGATATTGATACCAACTATGTTTAAGATCAACGAAGCGAAGTGTTATTAATCGACGGAAAATTGCGCAAAAGAGGAATGTTCAAATCACAATATATTTTGAGTTCGAGATATTGATACCAACTATGTTTTAGATCGACGAAGCGACGTGCTATTAATCGACGGAAAAATTGCACGAAAGAGGAAACCATACCAGAAACCAACGACCAGTGATAAGTTTTTCATTATTATCAACGAATTTTAGTCAATTCATTTCGAATATTTCTTCCAAATTTATTATTTGTTATGGAAGGCGATATATCATAGAACATTTTTTGATAGTCACCTTTAAGTCTCGATGGTGACACGACAGGTACCCTTACGAGGGGAGAGTATCAACCCTTGGCATCGGTAAACCCTCGTTGCAACCGGGGTAGGCGCCTGATGGGTTAGGTATATACAGTGTTTCTCATTTAGGAGAAAATTGTTGGCTATCTGTTCCGCTCATTTTTTGAGCAATAGAAGAATATGTCGCGTTTCAGCAACGGAATTTGAAAGAGTTTTCATCAATATTTCAGTTTCTCATTCCATGTAACTTTCATGATTTCTAATCTTATAATATATTTTGAATTCGAGATATTAATACCAACTATGTTTCAGATCAACGAAGCGAAGTGTTTTTAATCGACGGAAAAATTGCACGAAAGAGGAAAGTTCAAATCTCAATATATTTAGAATTCGAGATATTGATACCAACTATGTTTTAGATCAACGATGCGACGTGTTATTCATCGACGGAAAAAATGCACAAAAGAGGAAACCAGACCAGAAACCAACGACCGGTGATAAGTTCCTCATTCCTATTAAAGAATTTTGATCAACTCATTTCATTTCGAATATTTCTTCCTAATTTAATATTTAGGGGTAGGTTCCTGATGGGTTAGGTATATACAGTGTTTCTCATTTAGGAGAAAATTGTTGGCTTTTTGTTCCATTCCTTATGTTGCGTTTCAGCAACGGAATTTGAAAAAAGTTTAAATATATTTTATATTCGAGATATAATACAACTATGTTTCAGATCGAAGAAGTGACGTTGTTTTTAATCGACGGAAAAATTGTACAGAAGATGAAACCAGGCCAGAAACCAGGAACCGATGATAAGTTTTTCATTCCTATTCACGAATTATACTCAATACATTTCGGATATTGGTTCTAAATTTTATATTCGTGATGGAAGGCGATATATCATAAAACATTTGTTGATAGTCACCTTTATGTCTCAATGGAGTATGGAGATATGAAAAAAGTTTACATATATTTTTCAGTTTCTTATTCCATTTAACTTTCATGATTTCAATTCTCAATATATTTTAATATCGAGATATAATACCAACTATACCAACTATGTTTTAGATCGAAGGAGCGACGTTGTTATTCATAGACGGAAAAATTGCACAGAAGATGAAACCAGAAGTTTTTCATTTCTATTTACGAATTATATTCAATTCTTCCCCAATATTTCTTCTATATTATGTTTATCACTATTTTACCTATTGCAGTGAACTCACCAAGTAGGTAGGAAATGTTTGCTGCAAACTCTCAACATTTTAATCGGGATCTGAAGAAACTTCATGTTATCATGATATAACCGACTTTTACAATTAATTATTCAAAGACTATAACACAAACACCATGTAAAACCTATCCAAATACTGTCCAGAATATACATCAAAAATTTTGATGTGCAAGCCAAATGCAATCCTAATAATATTTTTTTTTTTATAAGTATATAAAGTTCAATTTTATTATCAACTTAAGAAGCGAAGAAAGCAGCATCACATTATAAGTTCAATATAAAATTTTAAAATATGGTTGAAAAAAGTGTTGACTGGTTAAATTCCTTACCTACATGGTTGTTTATATTTAGTTCATTGCCTACATGCCTTCATTTCCTTCAATTTCCTACCATGTATCGGACATAGAAATAAAGACTAGTAGCCAGAAAAAAGAAGAATCAGCACAGAAGAAAGTAACCTCTATCCTCAACCAGTAAAAAATTTTTAAAAAAGAAATCTGTTGAACTTATGAACTTGAAATTTTTATTTATTTTTTAAAAGATTAATGTTTATAAATATTCCATTTATTATTTGGTTATAAGCATTCCACAAAGTGAATAATCCCTTTTCACTGAGTTTTGTTGAATAAGGGTCATTACAACTGTTATCTTCTCAGTTATTATATCAGTTTTATTGTGTTGTGTAAGTACAAAGTTCAATAGCCACTTTTACTTGTTTCGTCATTGCATTGAATCCGATATATGACCACTATATGATAGTCAATAAGAAGTTCGCCCAACGACCACTTCTCATCAAAATCTCTCAGCTTCAATCACTTGGACAAATTCTCTTTTAGAACTGAAAAATGGGTGATTTGAGATTTGATGGTCGAGTCGTAGTGGTTACTGGTGCTGGCGCTGGTCTGGGTAGAGCCTATGCATTACTTTTTGCATCTAGAGGGGCCAAAGTAGTTGTTAATGATTTAGGAGGCGGCAGACATGGAGATGGCAGCTCTTCTAAAGCTGCAGACAGTGTTGTTGAAGAAATCAAAAGAAATGGTAAGCTACAAACTAATGGAATTGAGTAATGAATTTGTTCTCATCATACTTGTTTAGGTGGTAGTGCTGTTGCAGACTACAATTCTGTAGTGGAAGGAGACAAAATTGTGAAAACAGCAATAGACAACTTTGGACGCATAGATGTCTTGGTCAACAATGCAGGAATTTTGCGTGATAAGAGTTTGGTCAATATATCAGATCAAGATTGGGGTAAGAATCAATTATTTTGTGTGGGCTAAGGTCAGTCAAAAAAGATTTAATATATGTTTCCTTGAATTTATCATGCAAATATCTCAGCCTTCATTTAAATTGAATGAAATAAATGAATAATTGAATACCCACAGACCCAAATTATTATTAATAATAATAATAACAATACCTCAATGAGGCTTTTCAAACATCAACTCATATTGAATTCAAAATTTTGTTGCAATGTCTTGATCCTAATGTGGATACTGTCTTGATGTAGATTTGGTTCATGCTGTACACCTCAAGGGTAGTTTCAAAACAACTCAAGCTGCATTCCCCTATTTCAAGAAACAAAAATATGGAAGGGTTATCATGACATCCTCAAATGCTGGAATTTATGGTAATACAAATAAATTAAAGTTTTCAACTGGATCTAATGTATTGGCCTGTTGTAGGTAACTTTGGACAAGCCAATTATTCAGCAGCAAAAATGGGCTTGGTAGGTCTAGCCAGTACTATTGCAATTGAAGGTAACAAATATAACACCTTCTGCAATGTCATAGTACCAACTGCAGCTAGTAGACTCACAGAAGACATTCTTCCTCCTGATCTTTACAATGAACTGAGACCAGAACTCATTGCACCTGTAGTGGTGAGTCAACAAAATATGTCTTTAGAAATGTTAGTAGATGTGGTTAAAGTAGATATGATTGTTTTTGTTGGCATGGCAACTGCAACCTATGGGTCAGACCAATGAAATGATGCCACCAGGCACCATTAAATATTCATTATCTGTTATCACAAAAATCACTGAATATTGTTGGATTATTGGGATCAAAACAAGACAATGAGATTTGAGAAAACTTCACCTTCAAGCTCAAGTGTTTTTGTTGATCTGCGGTGTTGCCGCAGTTGCCGGTGTTGAAAAAATAAATGGTGCAATTCTGCCAAATTTCGCTCATAAAGCTAGTTCAGTGTTTGGTCAATTCTGGCCCACAAGTCTGAGAATTGTCAAATTTATCCAAAATCGTTGACAGAGTAGTCGTAAAATATATCACTCAACCATGTTAGCTACGCAATGCACTTGATGGTCTTTAGAGCCACTTTACAATTTCCAATTTTCCATCTGAAGATGCATAAATGATGCATGAAATACAGATAATCCAAGATTTTATCACTAGAATTGCACCAGCAATGAGGGTTGGCGCAACAAAAATAGAAAATAGATCTGGACCATGTCCATGGCCCATTTCTTGCAATGCACGAAAAATTGCGACAGTTCAGAATGACGACCCTAGTGAGTACGCGCGAAATGAAAATTGCTGCAGTTGTGGAAAATTGCTCACTGTAAAGTGGCTCTACAAGTAGCAAAAAGCGCAATTCTTCCGGAAAAATCACTGGTGCATAACAAAGTAGCAATTATTGTGCTTTTGCGCCTTATTGGCAACACTGTTGATCTGTCAGTTGTGTCAATCATACCAATTCCAACGTTGCCGTCGTTTCATTTCATTTCCCCAAACCCCCAATATTTCATGGATAATCTCGGACCATTTACTTTTTTCCTTTCTAGGCCTATTTGTGCCATGAAAGTTGCCAAGAAAACGGATCCATCATCGAATCGGCCGCGGGCTGGGCAGGAAGATGTGCCATAATTCGGGCTAACGGTAGTCTTTTACGTTCCCGAATAGCAGACGACGTTTCAGTCGAAAATGTTCGTGATAGATGGACGAAAATCACCGACGTTTCCGACTCGCAAATATTAGGCACCATCCAGGATGCTACCGGCGCCCTTATGGCTTCCCTTGAAGGGTTGAAAAGCGGCGACGGCGGTGCAGGGGTCGATGAGAGTGATATTTATCAGTTTACGAACAGAGACATCATTTTGTATGCTCTTGGGGGTAAGTATGTATATTTTCGCGGTATGGCAACCTTGTTTATGTTCAGACAAATGGGAAGTTGCCACCTTCACATGTTTCCATTATTCTATCAATCACGTAAACTCAGCGTTGCCACTAGTTGCAATATTCCAAGTTGTAGAATATTAATTTTTTGTTTGTAATCGGAATATTTTCGTTTTCCAGTTGGTGCTTCTTTGTCCAACACAAACGAATTGAAATACTTGTATGAGAGTCATGAAAACTTTGAGGCGCTACCGACTTTCTACATAATGCCTGCCATGCAGTCACTAATGTCTTCTAACTCTATAAAAACCGCCATTCCCGGAAAAGATATAGGCCTCGAGCAAATTCTCCATGGAGAACACTACATTGAGGTGTTGGGAGAAATGCCACAAGATGGACAATTGGTGTCGAAAACACGGGTGGTTGAGGTTATGGACAAGGGGTCGGGAGCTGCGATTGTTGCAGAAGGTAAAAAAAAACAATAAATCTACATATTTTTCAATGAGGGCTACTTTTTCCTTAACTTGCAGTTGAGACTTTCGATCACAACGGGAAACTGTTATTCCGCAACCAGTGTGTCACATTTGCAGTCGGTGCTGGTAATTTTGGAGGATCAAGGACCGGCACAAAGGTTGTACCATGCCAGGCTAAACCTAACAGGAATCCAGATGCCTCATTGTCACAAAAAACTACTGTTGATCAAGCTGCACTCTACAGATTGTCAGGTAATATTTTTCCAGCTGTTGAATATCCAGAGAGCAGTAATAGATGATTTTGCTGTTGATTTCCAGGTGATAGGAATCCTTTGCACATTGACCCGAATATGGCCCAAGTGGGTGGTTTTGACAGACCTATTTTGCATGGTCTTTGCACTCTAGGCCAGTCTGTAAGACTTGTCCTGACGGCGTTCGCTTCTAGTGAAGCCAGTTTATTCAAATCAGTCAAGGTAAGATGAGAAATTGCGATTTATTGGTGGGAATTTTACGGAAGTTTGGTTTCAGGCTCGTTTCGTTAAGCCCGTTTATCCTGGACAAACTTTGAATGTGGATATGTGGAGAGAAGGCAACAGGATATTCTTCGAGACTACAGTTGTGGAGACTAAACAGGTTGTGATTGGGGGTGAGTTATCACACTTTTTTGAAAATTGCTTTCCTGAAATCATCATCACCTATATTGTTGCAAAATTCCCATGGAATGTTTGATGGAAATCGATCAAACTAGTAGTGTTCTTCCATTCACCAATGAATCATGCTCATGAAACATAAATTTATCAAGTAGTATTTTAATTCCCCATTCCGAGCATCGCTAAACAGCAGATATTTCTCAAATTCAGAGGATAATTCAATCGATTATTCATCTGATACATCAGCATGAAGGACTGATTTATTGATAAATTGATTGAAAGAGGGGGATATGTCAAATGGTGAAATCACTGAATCATTACTGTTAGGTAATCTGACTGTGGTTTGGAGGAGACTGACATGACAATTGACTGATTTTAAGAATATTTATTTAATATTATTGAGGAATTTCTGAATTTTGAGATTCATGCGAGAATTTATAGAAGATGGAGTAATAAGTGTTAATTCATCGTCAGCTAAATATGGAGAAAACAATCTAGTGAGCTTCAACCATCAGCCTCTTCTGATTCTGAAGATACATGTACATGACGACTGACACAAGTGACGAAGTGACACACAACAAAATCCGTTTTTACATCCATTGTTCCAGCTCCAGCATAAATTCCATCAGAACAATTGGTGACGTTACAACAAAAAAGCGTATGGGCGTGTTCTACATTCCATAAAGTGCGCACTGATAGATGCGGTTTTTTGTCGTGACGTCACCAATTGTTCTGATGGAATTTATGCTCGAATGATGGAACAATAGGGATATTTCATTCATATTCCCCGTTGGACCCGGTTAGAGAGTATTTCGGTGAAGGTAGTGGGAGGCAACTACGTCATAATGTCGTCAACATTAACTATTTTTGAGAACCCATTTCTATCACTTCACCCACGACCAGAGTTTACCCATGTATCTTTACTCCGATATCCAATTATCCACTCCATTCATTTTTAATTTGAAAGTTACTGTTATATCCTCCATTTTTCACATTCATCGTTTGTAAACAAATATTCAAGTTTAACATTAACAACCTTTAACAACTATCGAATTGGTAAACCCTAGGGTAGGTAGGGGATGTGTACCCAAACGGAAATGACGTCACGGTTAAACACAACGAAATTGGATTATCAGCTTTTCCATGACGGGTAACGTGAATGAAATATCCCTAATGGTATACAACACATTGATGGAAAAACGGGTTTCGTAGTGTGTCAGTGGTCATGTATCTTCAGAATTAGAAGAGCCTGATACGATTTTATTGATTAACACTTATTACTCTATCTTCTAAAATCTCAAAATTGAAAATAATATGGGTTCCGTTGCGGTTTTCGGTTCATAACGATTCTGGTCCGGGTCCCTGTGAAAAACATGCCCTTTCTGCTTTCTCGCTTTCTGTGACCAAAGGTGACAAGGAGAAGTGACAACGTTGTAATGTAATTATTCTAGGTCGATTCCAAAGTGTAACTGGTGGAGTATTTCTGTTTCTGCACTCAGTATTCATCATACATCTATCCTTCTTATTTGCATGTGTTGAACAAAGGTGATTGTACACTGTGTGCAGTGATTATCAACTTATCATCTGATTTTGTGTGGAGTACTAGGTCAAAGTGTCAAGGTTTTGATCAATATCTAATCGGGTGCTACAGTTCTTATCAGAAAATTCATAATTCTATTGATGTGATTATGGATTATTACTATCAATATTCTTGATTTTTCTATTAGTTAAATTTAATCAATTTTCAATCGTGTCTAGCGTAGAGTGGGAGTGTACTAGCTCTAGTGTAGAACAACAAACGAACATCGAAGTTCAGTCTGTCAGTGATTTTAAGGTTAGTGAGAAGTGATTGGTTTTTCTTTTTTTTATAGTTTTTTTTATTTATTTTGAATATGCAAGATTGAAGTCATTCTCCGAAATATAACTGATACTAGAATATAAAACTGAATAAATGATACATCAATTTCATTGCATAACCTCAAAAAAATTCAATGTAGTTTTCATGTATGTGCACAGCATTTTCAACTTTCTTCAGGCTGCCTGCTACTCCTGCTAGGAGGTGGTTTCAAAGTCTATGAATATAAAATATATTGCATCATTATATTAATAATTACCTCTCCTTATCATGGTATAACTACTTTTTTCTGGCAAAGATCAAGGTTCAAGTTGTTATAGATATTCCAATTTAAATATAGGTAGCTGGTTGAATTAATGATAGAAAACGAAACTTTAGAAATGAAAAAATAATCCTTGAGATAATTCAAAGTTAATGTAAGGATCTGTATGACATTTTGATATCCTTATAATGATTTACCTACCTATGGTTGAATGATCATTGAATAATTGTTAGATTAGACACATGACAATTATTATTCATGAAAGCAAAAATGTACATATTTTTCTTTAATGAAAAGTACCTACTTATTATTAATAGCAGATGATAAATACTTTGATAATCACCTGTAGGTATATTTTGAAGGTTCAAGTGATAACAGTAAATTTTCTAAACAAAATAGTGTCACTTTTGGATCATTCAAAGCAAATTTCACCACTTGTCTTATGTCTGCTCAATTACTATGTGCTTTGTACCAGGCACCAGTCAGAAAATCTCTCATTCCAGGTGCCTACGTAGATTTGAAGTCCGTCAAAGTCCAGACCCCTCCTCAAGCCCCATCCAACATGACTGCCGGCAATCTGAGAAGCGACGCCATCTTCGAGTTCATCATCGAGCAAGTCAAAGCTGACCCCAACAAGGCCAAATCTATCGGAGGCGTCTTTCTGTACAATATCACCAAAGATGGCAAACAGGCCAAACAGTGGAGTAAGTGTACTTTGAATTCTGTAATTTTTTCCGTCACTAACTCAATGTTACGAAAATTACATAATTTACATAAATTATGACTTAACTTGACCCAGGGACGGCGTTCAATGGGTGCCAGAAGAGGGGGTAAGGTAAAGCAACCAAAAATGGGCACAATAGAAATTTGTTTGTTCAAGGTCGAATGCTTTCAGATCTGAAACTTACAAGGTCCAATGCCAAGTAGATAAGATCAAGAATAATTTTGTATACAGTCTAAAAGATGGTGTTACCTCTTACTTTTATGTAGTTGAGTGTCTATACCTTCTCTCCCTATACATCCCAGGAACACATGATTTTTCAGGAACATAAAAGGGATTGTTTTTGTGCGATCCTAACGATTGAAGATATTTTGTAGGTAATAGAAATAACCTTTATTATTATTGGTTCCATGGTTTGGATGACAAAGTCTGGAAGTAGAACAACCTCATTTTCAATATTGTCACTGTGTTTGTGATACAATTTTAATTGAAAATTCTTTGAAATGACTATAGCTAAGCAGTGAAAACATTCTGAAAAAAAAAAAACGATTAAACAAACCAGAAAAGTATAAATTGTTGTACTTTGAGCTCCAGTATTGATATGGACTGATGCTATTAAGAACTGAAATAGGAACAGCCCTGAGAAAAAAAATAAGTTATTTTCTTACAAATTTTGTTTTGAAAGGAAAACTCGGAAAATCATTAAAGAACATGATTAAAAAAACTGGATCTCTGAAAAATGAAGATTGAAATCAGATTGGTACTTTGTACAGGGTGATTCACCATAAATGTCCCCCCCCCCTCTAGCTCAGTTATTTTCAAACCGATTTCAAAATTTTTTAATATCATCTTGAATGATTTTCGATTAAGTTATTTTCCGCTACATCAGAAAATACAGGGTGCTCGGAACAAACGATCTACAGGGTACTATTTGATTTTTTTATATGGAAACCCTATTTTTCATTGTATTTTTAGATTCTCCCTGAAGAGCTGATTTGGTCAATGTATCACACTTGGGGTCTAGCGGGAGATATAGGGTGTTCAAAATCGAGATTTTTCAACTTCCGGATTTTTTTGAGACGAAACTATTCATCATCGGTCAAAACGGCTTTCATGTCCATATCTCAACTTTTGATTTACTATCTACTGACATTTAATAATTGGAACATATACAGGGTGATCAGAATTCTGAATCTTTAACCACCCTGTAAATGTTCAAATTGAATGTCAGTAGACAGTCAATCAAAAGTGACGATGGAAATATAAAAGCCGTTTCGATGAATAGTTTCGAGACAAAAAAATCCTAAACTTGAAAAACCTCGATTTTGAACACCCTATATTTCTATAATCATTCCTGTTAGACCCCAAGTGTGATACATTGATGAAATCAGCTCTTCAGGAAGAATCTAAAAATACAATGAAATGCAGGGTGTTCCATTTGAAAAAAATCAAGCAGTACTCTGTAGATCATTTTTTCCGAGCACCGTGTATTTTCTGATGCAACGGAAAAAAAATCTTAAAAATAATTTTAGATCATTTTTCAAATTTTCAAATCGGTTCAAAAATAAGTGAGCTAGAGGGGGAGACATTTATGGTGAATCACCCTGTACCTATTGGTAGACCTGTATGTCCGTTCTATGGGTGCATTGAACCCATACCCAATGTCTGCATGGGTGCATTGGCCCCGATGCCCCCATGCACTAGCCGCCGCTGACCTGACCTTATGACCAGGAATCCACAGTTTATAACCGGTTTCAATAATTTCTTATTTGGTAGACAGAAATAGCATGAACATTTGTCTGCCTGTCAGAAAATATTTGTCCAAAATAATTTGAATTATTATATTGGGAACTATACAGTGTGACCAAGAAAAGGTTGCACAGCATGAGGATCTCGGAAATAGGAGATAGGAATTGGGTTAAATAATAAAAAGTGTCTCATGTCAAGGTGTATACCAACTGCCCTCGAAAATTCAATTCTCAAAATCGTTTATATTTCTGTTCTCCCTTATTATTAGATATCCAGAAAAACTAAATAGTATATTATGTAACAAGTGTTATAAACGTCCTTTTAGTAACGAGTAGTTTAAGTACGAGCGGAGCGAGTGTTCAATAAACGAGTGTCTAGAAGAGTTTATAAACGCGTTACATACTATGCTTTTTCTGCGAACTCCGAAAATTACTTTAACATACCTGCTATTCTTGCTAACCTACAAAATAATTCGAATGGAATGGGAATTGGGAACATAATACATGCAACTGCATGCAACCAGCGAGACACTTATAAGTGATATTGGTTGTAGATGTGTCCAGTTCATTGCTTACTAATCTTTGTTTCACGTTTATTGTCATGCTTAGCGCAGAATAAATAAATTGTTCTCAAAGATGGATGCTTCATTTTTACACTTCTTGGATATATGCAAGTACCCGAACATTCTCTTTGATTTCACTCTCGTCTACTTTTCGCATATATTTTTAATGAATAACTCTGATACAAAATTTGAAAATAATAGTTGACAGTTAAAACAATTGACAGGCCAGATATGTCTCAAATTACTGAAGCTGTGTTTAATGAACTGTGTTGCCTTGGTAATGTGTTTAAGAAATCGTGTTGCCATGGTAACGTGTTTAAGAAATCGTGTTGCCATGGTAACGTGTTTAAGAAATCGTGTTGCCATGGTAACGTGTTTAAGAAATCGTGTTGCCATGGTAACGTGTTTAAGAAATCGTGTTGCCATGGTAACGTGTTTAAGAAATCGTGTTGCCATGGTAACGTGTTTAATATTTTGAATAAATCACAGATCGTCAATCCGTGATTTTAGTTATGTGAGCTTGAAGTTTGTGGTATCAATAAATTCATAAGCTTCGATTTCCATCTAGCTCCTTCTTCTCAAATATATGAAGAAGGATCATATCTTCACAAACGTACTGACCAAACTTGAGCGTAGCCCCGTTGAATTTTCTATCAAATGCTGTTTCTATCAAATGCTGTTTCTATCAAATGCTGTTTCTATCAAGTGTATTTTCTATCGAATATTTTTTCTATCAATGGGGGAGACCACTAATTTTTTAAAATGACATTATCGTGAACTCTATACTGAAAAACTACCAGCGAATTAATTTTGAATTTTGTCATTCATGCTAAGACGATGAAAATAATAAATTAGAATATGTCCATTTCAAAACACACAATTCCTGCGCCATTTGAAATTTTGTCAATTCATTGGTGTGACTGCTGCGACGTCTCATTCCCAACACGCCTATTGTCCTTGAACTGACCAATCACACTGCAACACTGCAGAATGACGAGGTATCAGAGAGAGATAGCTACAGTTCGGGACTAATACGTCACGACTCCACCATCATATTTGGCTGTTTGAAATTTCGAATGAAATATGCTGATTTCAAAACGATATAGATTCGATTCCCTTCAACTTCAACTCATAATATTGATTGTACATCAAACGTAAATCATGATTCGTCGATTGTAAGAGGTTTGCACGGATTTCTTCTCTCAGTGGTCTTCCCCATTGTATTTTCTATCATTTATGTTTCTATCAAATGTATTTTCTATCATAAAACCTCCGATCAAATGCATTTCTGTCAAAAACACTTTCGATCAAAAGACTTCTATCAAATGTTTTTCTATCATTTGTCTTTCGATCAAATTTCCGCCACCCAGAAAATTTAACTAAAATATCTAACAGAAAAAATAACTCCTCCTATGAACTTGTAATTTTTTCAAAGGCCATTTTTTTTTTGTTCAGTTTCCAGGCAATAAAATTCTCATTGAAATTTCAAGTTTACTTGGACAAAAATAATCTCTCGTGCGTAAACCCATCCTTAATTGAATATTCGAAATCACCTATGATAAGAAAATTATCTGATAGTGTTTCTGTTAATTTTTTTATCTATTATCCTACTAATTGTTTTACTTGCCCAATTGAGATAACTGTAAAAATACCCATCATACTCGAATATGAATGAATTAAATGATCATATTCCCACTTTTTTCAAGCTATGGATTTGAAGAACGCCAAAGTGTTCCAAGGTGTTCCCGATGGCAAGCCAAACACGACTTTGACCATCTCCGATGAGGATTTCCTTCTGATGTCAGAAGGGAAGCTCAACCCCCAAACGGCCTTCATGAAGGGGAAACTGAAGGTCACTGGCAACATCATGATGGCACAGAAGTTGGCCCCCCTGCTCAAAGCCAATGCCAAATTGTAAGATGAAAATATTCGGTGGTCCTGGTTTTTAGTATTAATCTGTATTTATGGTAGATTGTCACACATTTTGATGACGCAAATGGGCGTTTTGCGATAAATATTGATTGTACTATTAGTCCAATAAATAAAGGGAAAAAGTCAACATTAATTACGCACTATTTTCATCTTCCGGTTCTAAGTAGCTTTTGGTACCTCATTAAACATGAGACAAAGTTTGACTGGAAAACGCGTGCGATGGCGGAGAAAATGGCCCCAAAAGACCAGAAAAATAGGTTTTCAGCCAATATCTCCTAAAATATGGCAGTTAGAGATTTTCAGTTCAGATAAAAATTAAAGTTCAGTTGATTTTCTACAAAAATGGTCCCTATCATTTTTCTCGAAAATTTGCCAGGTTTCGAGAAAAACGGCACGAAGCGCACCTCGAATAATGAGCTTCTGTGTTGTATGCCGGAGAGCACAGTCCGTGTATTTACACATCGGCGGGGGGACAAATTATTCAATAACTTTGTTAAAAATGCATATTTTCTCATGATTCAAAGTTCATGTGAAAGAGGAATTCTGCTGCTAGCATACCCTGTGAATTGAGTCACGCTTGACTCCTTTGGCCATATCGAAACATGGGTCAAACTTTCTGCTCCCGGTCAATATTGACCTCGCCAGGAATTTATTCCTATTTTTTTTGTATTGCACTAATTTACTCAAAATTCTCTTGATTATGGGTCCTCATAAGGTCCTTTGTCATCCCTGAAATTTGTATACCCTAATTTTTTTCAATTTTCATTTAATCTTTGTTTATTGAATCCCAATTTTTTGCTGTTTTTGGAGCGCGGGAAATTTTGTGAACAACCATCAATTAAAAATTTATACATCTACTTTCCGATTTTGCAATTACTTTTTTAGACGAAGTCGTCCATTTTTCAATAAAATTAGAAAAAGCGGGGTCAAGGAAAAAACGCACTTTTTTTTCGGTGTTTTTTTTCTCCTCTTTATTTCTAACATTTTAACACCTTAACTAGTGTAACGGGGGAATTCCCACCTTTCCATCGATGTATATAAGTCATACCTTCGATATCCCGGAAAAAACCAGTATATCTAAATGTACACTCTATAATTTATTACTTTTGTTCCTCCGTCGTTCGCCGCGTGTGTGCTCTACGTGGCGCTCGGGTCGTCTGCTACAAACCATGCGGCCACGCAGGGTATGATAGCAGCAGAATTCCTCTTTCACATGAACTTTGAATCATGAGAAAATATGCATTTTTAACAAAGTTATTGAATAATTTATTCCCCCGCCGATGTGTAAATACACGGACTGTGCACTCCGGCATACAACACAGAAGCTAATTATTCGAGGTGCGTTTCGTGCCGTTTTTCTCGAAACCAGGCAAATTTTCGAGAAAAATGATAAGGACCATTTTTGTTGAAAATTAACTGAAATTGAATTTTTATCTGAACCAAAAATCTCTAACTGTCATATTTTAGGAGATATTGGCTGAAAACCTATTTTCCTGGTCTTTTGGGGCCATTTTCTCCGCCATCGCACGCGTTTTCCAGTCAAACTTTGTCTCATGTTTAATGAGGTACCAAAAGCTACTTCCAACCGGAAGATGAAAATAGTGCGTAATTAACGTTAACTTTGCCTTTTTTCCTCCTTCATTTATTGGACTATATGGATTATTACTTTTTTATCAGCGTCATGAATTTTTTTCCATTATTTTAATAGGTATGAGAAGGTGGTTGATGGAATAGTTTTACTCATTGTGGTGTATCCTGTACTGTTGATTATTACTTTTGTACTGGGTGTTCAAATATTCTATGGATATTTCCAGTTTTATAAGACTTTCAATAAATGTTTATACAATGTTACAGTTTCTGTTACATATTATTGTTTTCCATTATTTCTCACTATTCAAGATCACTGATGTTTGTTTTTCGCAAAATTATGGATTGCATAATTTGCTTTCCATAAATTTACTGATTTTTCAAGACTTCGAAATTTGTTTTAAATTTTATTTTACATAAAAACGAAACATTCTAAAACTCTATGCCAGGGAACAGTGACAAATGTAGGAATATATTAAACCATTAAAATCGAACAAAATCTAAAAAGGTTTACTTGGGAATCAAAGTTGAATATTGGCAGTGATAAAAAGGATCTGAATGTGAAAATATTCTATCTCAACTGCAGAATTGGTCAAAAATTTGATTAACTGACCTTAGGAAAATGCCTAATAGAAAATAATTTGATTTATTATCATTAGTTAAATACTTTCATAACAAACTAATTATTCAACATCACACAGTACAAACATTTCAGGAATAAAAAATTCCACTCCGCCAATGTCTGAACATAATTCAACCACAAATATTCAATTAAAAATAATTTTCATTTTCTATGAGTAAAACTTGGCAATACAAACAATCAAATTAGTTAATTTGAAAAACGTCTTGTTATTTTGAAAATAAAAAACTCACAAACATGTTTTTTTTTTCACTTGATAGAACTGATTAATTTACAGCCTAATAAATCACTGAGTTTGAGAAACAGGTAGATCTTTTTTGATCAATGGTGCACCTAGGAGGGCTCAAACCTCCAAACCCTCCCCTTCCCTAAGAAAATGAAGACAAAAAATAATAATTTCTTCCTCAATGTTTGACAGATATTGTGGTCCACCTAGGCAAAACAAAAAAAGAAAGGTTTGTACCTCAACTCTACTGTTGTTTTTTCTTATGCATAATATCAAGTTGACTGCCCTATAAACAAACTCATGATACAGTTATAGGAACTCTTTCTCTTGTCATATCATTAGCAAAACACTACAAAACCGTCCACATTTACTTAAGAAACACATTTTTCATGGAGAAAGTTGGGTTTCATTTTTGATGTTTTTTTCAAGAAATGTATATGTTGCAGCCTCTTTGTGTAATCAGCCGTTTCATAAAATGCTGCCAAACATTGAAACTGACTATTATGCCAGAAGCCTTGGCCAGAAGGCTATAGATTTGTTCCTGGGACGTACTTTCCATACCTATGCATTCAAAGACACATTCCTTCCTCTAAACAGTAACTTTCTTAAAAAACTATTCCACTTGTCCAGAGGAATATGTCTTCTTATTATACATATACAGGCTGATTCACGGTGAATGGGACGTTTCTGGAGAACGCAACGTAGGATTATTTTGAAAATTTGGTTTCTTGGTTGTGTTCTATCCACCTGAAATATTCTCAGCGCTGCGACGCTTATATTGAAAAGTAGCAACAACTTTGATTTTTTCAATGGGACACCCTGTATATCATTCCGTTTTGAGATTCTTCCTGAAGAGCTGATTTCATCGATCTATCACACTTGGGTACTATCGGGAATGATAACAAAGATATGGGGTGTGAAAAATCGAGATTTTTCAACTTCAAGAATTTTTTGTTTCGAAATTATTCATAATTGGTCAAAACGGTTTCCATGTTCCTATCTTAACTTTTCACGTACTATCAATTGATATTTAATTGAAATAGATACAGGGTGGTCAAAAATCTTAATTCTGAACCACCCTGTATTTATTTCAATTAAATATCAATTGATAGTGAATAAAATGTTGGGATAGGGACATGAAAACCATTTTGACCAATTATGAATAGATTCGACACAAAAAATTCCAAAAGTTGAAAAAAATCTCGATTTTTCACAACCTACAACTCTGTTATTATTACTACTTGATCCCAAGTGTAATAGGTCAGTGAAATCAGCTCTTCAGGAAGAATCCGAAAATGGAATAATATACAGGGTGTCCCTTTAGGAAAATCAAAGTTGTTGCTACTTTTCAATATAAGCGGCAACGTCGCAGCGCTGAGAATATTTTAGGTCGATAGAGCACAACTAATTATCCAAGGCACCAAGTTTTCAGAATAATCCCAAGTTACGTTCTCCAGAAACGTCTAATAATGTGCCTTCCACCGTGAATCAGCCTGTATACAGGGTGTTTCATAATTGAATGTCAATATTTGGGGACGCAATTCTTGGGCCCATTCTGAGAAGAAAGTTTCATATGAACGTATGACCTAAACATCCTAACTTTTGAGATACAGGGTGGTGAAGTTCTCAAAAATTAATAGTTTTTTATTAATATCTGTAATACCACTTCAGATATTCTGATGAAATTTGGCATACATGTACTATGTATCAAGAGGCATCAGTTAGCGTACCACATTTTTTGTTGTTGCCACCAGTGGCGTTCGTATGGAATTTCACATACCTATTTTGGCAGACATTGATGGTACGCCACTGATTAATCTCCAAATTGAAATCATTCCTGAAATTCCCGATCATTTCTATGCAAATTTGATCACTACAATTTTTTCAATCTGATGCACGGTTTTCGCTTAAAAATAAAAAGCTTTTCACTACATGATTATAGTAATATTGTTAATATGATAATATCACAATGCAGAGAAATAGTTTTTATTTTTAAGATCAAATTTCAGAAATACAATTCATAGTTCATGAACTTTGTATTCGTATTTGGTATTTTCGAATTATAACTTCTCATTGTAGTAGGCTATATTAATTTTCGAGAATTTTACCACCCTGTATCTCCAAAGTTGGGACGTTTAGGTCATACGTTCATATGAAACTTTCTTCTTAGAATGAGCCCAAGAATCGCCTCCTCGAATATTGACATTCAATTATGAAACACCCTGTATATTATAACTTTTTGGCGTGATAGTTATTGTTTCAGTGTTTGGCAGCATTTCATGAAAAAAGCAGACCTTTCATGAAACAGCTGATTACACTATGAAACTGCGACATATACTGGGTGAACAACTATGAATGGCTGTCGGCCATATCTCAGCAACGAATAATGATACAAGTTTGAGATAGAATGATGGTATGCATATCATTAGACGATGTAATAGATAAACTAAATCTCAACCGACCAAAGGAAACCGTAACATGATAGCTTTTCGCCACCGGAAGATATTAACTATCAAAGTTGGCAGAATGATAGATATGACAGCCGTTCTTAGTTGTTCGGGTTCGCGTGCACGATGACCGACCCTGGAGCCAAAATATTGAAACACAACCTCACTCTTCTGTGAATTATTGAAACACAACCTCACTTTTTTATTTGTTTACAGAGGAATCAAAAGGTTGAAATAGTTTTTCACAATATTTTGGCATATGAATCGTGTTTCTTGTGTTATTCATTAATTCAAGCATGCCTTCGCATTGTGCTGTTGTACAATGCACAAAAAATGCAGCAAGAGACTATGGAATATGATTTTTCAGGTAAATAGTAATCTCACATAGTTATCATTATGAAATGTTGTCATTCCTTATTAAAATTCCTTCTGCCTTCTTCCACTTCTGCAATACAAACTGCTAATAGATTGAAAATGTCTTCAACACACACGATCGTCAGCATGTCAGATCAGTCCTCCCGATTCATTGCATGAATCCAATCTTCTTGCATTATTCTAGAAATTTCAGGTATATTTCTATTAGCTCCTATTGCAGAAGGAATTCCGATTAGAAATCAGAGAAATAACCAAATTTCAAAAATGAAAACTATATGTGAGTGACTATAGTAGGTACTTACTTTTAAATCATAATGTACCATCCGGATTCCTTCATCTTCCGCTGCAGTTTTTGTGCATTTTACAACAGCACAATGTGATGGCATGAGCGAATTGATGAATAGCGGGAAAATACGATTCATATGCCAAAATAATTGTGGAAAACTATTTCGATCACTTGTAAACAAATAAGAAAAGTGACGTTGTGTTTCAATGTTTTGCCTCCAATGTCGGTCATCTGACAGTTCTTGCACGCAACCCATTAAGACACCCCCCCCGCCACAAAAGAAAATTCCGAGCGTGCCAGCGTTTCCGGTATCATTCAATAATCCCCCAAAAATAATCGACTTTCCACTAAACCCAACTCATTCTTTCGCATCCCCGATACCGTCCGCATTGATGGCGAACATGGCCTCCGATTCGGGCAGGCACGGCGAATCGTAAATCTTGCACATCCTCGTTTCGCCCCTGCCCTTCCTCAGGTACAGCCTGGTGGTGGAGGCGTGCGCCATTATGTTGCCGCCGATCGGCTTCTTGGGGTCGGCGTTGAACATGGCGGCGCCGTCCACCTGCGCCACCACCTGGTTCGTTATCACCACAGCGACGCCGAACTGAAGGAAAACGAGGATGAATGAATGTTTATTGGCAGAAATAACTGATTACATGGAAGTTAACAATGATATTTCATTTACGAATTAAATATTGTAAAGTTTCGGAGCATCGGCTGGGGATAGTCCTGCACGATTCGCTGTTGCGTTCCAATTAACAGTGTTGCTCCTAAAGTGGCGCATGGAGTTAGTAACAAAGCCTACACAGAACACGCAGAAAGATATGATGATGTGGTTGTGAGCATCAGAGAAGTGGAAAAAAACTACCAGCTGAGCGTGAGAGCGGGCCAGCTGCTTAAGTAGACCTCGGTCTCGGGGGTTAACGAGGATAGTTAGCAGGCCTGCCACTGCGCATATGGTAGTGAGTACATTACTAGCCTAAAAAACACAGCTGAAAAACTCTGAAAAGAGAGCTGATGGGCGGTGCCTGAAAAGGATGTTAGCCAGCTCTCTTGAGCGAACCACATCAGTCATTGAAAACACTTGGGGTTTGCAAAAAGGTCCCATTGGGGACTAGTTGCTGACGTGGAAACGTCCCCCACCAGTACCAGTACCAGTACCAGTAACAATGATTGTTACTATTCAATAAACATTTAAATAACTCACAGAAGCCATTGACGACAACATCAATGACTTGTACGTGGTATAACACAATATCATAAGTATACATTATACAAATACAAAATTCACACAGTTATTACAATATAATCACCTATAATCTAGAATTTATACATAAAAGTTGAAAATAAAAGGAAATGAATTAAAATAGAAGAAATAAGGCGAAAGCGCAATTTCAGACAGGATTCAAGACAGCAGCATTTTACTATAACTTATTTAAAATCGTGGCAAGTCAATCGTAGATGTGCAGTAAGTATACAGGGTGATTCACATAACAACCGACATAGGGCAGGGGCATGAAGGGGGTCCCAAAATATGGCAATTTAACGCATCTTACCTCTATACCAAGTTGCTTCCCTAAGGAGTTATAGGATAGGCATAGCACTAACACCATGTCAACTTGCTCGTTAAAAGAAAACTTCCCGTTCATTTTAAAAGCTCTCAAACAATAATCACTTAATTGAACAACTCACTTGCCTCATTGTCAAGTTCGACGTTTATTTCCATAGCCAACTTTTGAATTTTCGAGATTTTAAATAACACACCTAGAGCGCGCGTTTTCAGTTATTCGAGATTTGATAAAAATGATGAGGTTTTCCGAAAAATTACAAGAGTAAGAAAAGTTTTAGAATTGAATTGCCCACAAAACAAAGTGAAGATTTTTGAAATCCATCAAGGGTTAACAAAATTATGTTGAATATTAATGGTGCGCCACCCGGTATACGCCCTTTACAAATTTCAATTAAACTCTAGTTACTGTCAAGTAACGAACTAAATACATCCACAAAGTGAACCAAATTTGGTTGCTTTAAGTTCAAGAATAACGGAGATATTGATTTTTTTCAAAATTTATAACTTCACTTTCGAAGCCTATAATTATCTCCTTAGCGAAGCAATTTGGTATAGGGGTAAGTTGCTTTAGATTGCCATATTTTGGGGCCCCCTACATGCCCCTGCTCTATGTCGGTTCTTATGTGAATCACCCTGTATAATATGTATACAGGGTGTTTCGGATTCAAATGTACATACGATACCTGCAGATAGAGGACACTGTGATGGTTTCAAATCACCCCCCATTGATGTGTCTACCATCATTTATAACTGAGATACAGGACTTTATCTTGATTTTGGCAAAATTTTCATCTGGTCATTATTTTTGAACCACTTTATATAATGTTTTCATACTTGGTTGAAATATAACACTCATATTACTGATCAAAACTGAATGAAATTCGAGATCAGAATCCAGGTCCGTCTTGAGGAAAAACAGAAAATCTTTCATTTCAAAAACAATACTCTGTATGGCAAAATTTTGTAGATCTGTTTTGGTATTTGAAAAGAGCGGGAAAAAATGAATAGAGTGACCCACTTTTTACGAGCGCGCATCCGATTTGACAGATGTTTTATTATTAATTTTGGAAATATTCATCTCCATTTTGACTCGAAATCCAATTTTGGTACAAAAAAATGACAATCTTCAAACTTCAATATCATTAGGATCCAATCAGGTGAACTATCGATAGATTTGTTTATTTGACAGAATAACTTGTCAATGATTTAAGAAATTTTCGAGGACTCATTTTATTTTACAATATTTATTCATAAGCTGCGATAAAGAAAGCTGTGCAAAAATTTTAAAATTCTGACAGTTTCTAATCACGTGTGATATTATTGGTAATGTCATAACGTTATCAGATTAAGGCATAATAATTAGGAACACTTTGAAATGTAACAACACAATACAAGCACCAACAATTATCTCAAGGTTACCAATAATATCACACTAGTGATTATGAACTGTCAGAATATTAGAGTTTTTTATACAGCCTACTTTACCGCAGCTTATGAATTAATAGTGGCCAGGTAGCCGTGCGGACAGAGTGTCTATATCCTAATTCGCATTCGCTTGCCGGTCGTGGGTTCGATCCCCGTCGACTGCAGAAATTTTTCTGATGGCCCAAGAAAGTGTTTGGGATCACACGTTAAAAGGTAAGGCCCCCGTCATTCCTTGCTCGCACAAGACTTTCGAAGACTTTTGAGGGTTGCTCGTAAGGGGGCAACCGAATGACGGATAGAACAAATTTTAAAACAAATTTTTTTTTTTTAGAAATTTTTTTAGAAAATGAGCCCTCGAAAATGTATAAAATCGTAGACAAGTTTTTTTTGTCAAACAAGCAAATCTATATAGTTCACCAAATTTGACTCTAATGATGTTGAAATTTGAAGACTGTTATTTTAATTACGAGTTCAATAAAAATGCCGCAAAATGGAGCAGAATATTTCCAAAAATAATGATAAAACATCTGTCAAATCGGATGCGCGCTCGTAACAAGTGGGTCACTCTATTCACTTTTTCCTACTCTTTTCAAATATCAAAACAGATCTACAAACTTTTGCCATACAGAGTGTTGTTTTTGAAATAAAAGAATTTTTCTGTTTTCCCTTGAGACAGACCTGGATTCTGATCTCGATTTTCATTCAGTTTCGATAAGTTATACGACTGGTATATTTCTACCAAGTATGAAAAGATTATACAAAGTGGTTCAAAAATTATGACCAGATGAAGATTTTGCCACAATCAAGATAACGTCCTGTATCTCAGGTATAAATGGCGGTAGACACATCAATGAGGGGTGATTTGGAACCATCAAAGTGTTCTCTATCTGCAGTTATTGTTTGTACATTTAAATCTGAAACACCCTGTATAATCGTGGCAAGTCAATCGTAAATGTGCAGTAAGTATATGTATACAGGGTGGGTCACGGTAGATGGCACCTTAGACGTTTACGGAGAACGGGACATAAGATCATTCTGAAAATTTGGTTACTCAAATATTTTCAGCTCTGCGGCGTTGCCGCTTCTATCGAAAAGTAGCAACAACTTTGTTATTTTAAATGGAACACCCTGTATTTTATTGCATCTTCAGATTCTCTCTGAAGAGCTGATTTCATCGATATGTCACACTTGGGGTCTAGCGGAAATGATTACAGAGATATAGGGTGTGAAAAATCGACATTTTTCAACTTCAGGAATTTTTTATGTCGAAACTATTCATTATTGGTCAAAACGGCTTACATGTCCCTATCTCAACTTTTGATTAACTATCTACTGATATTTAATTGGGACATATACCGGGTGATCAAGAATCTGAATTCTGCACCACCCTGTATTTGTTTCAATTAAATGTCAGTAGATAGTTGATCAAAAGTTGGGACAGGGACATGTGAGCCGTTTTGACCAATAATGAATAGTTTCGACAAAAAAAATTCCTAGAGTTGAAAAATGTCGATTTTTCACACCCTATATCTCTGTAATCATTTCCGCTAGACCCCAAGTGTGATACATCGATGAAATCAGCTCTTCAGAGAGAATCTGAAAATGAGATAAAATACAGGGTGTTCCATTTAAAATAACAAAGTTGTTGCTACTTTTCGATAGAAGCGGCAACGCCGCAGAGCTGAAAATATTTTAGATCGATAGATCAAGAGCAATTACTTGAGTAACCAAATTTTCAGAATGATCTTATGTCCCGTTCTCCGTAAACTTCTAAGGTGCCATCGAACGTGACCCACCCTGTATAACTGATCATGTAGATAGTTATTTTAAACCTGAATCAACTCATGAATTTCTCTTCTGGGTCTACTTCCGACATGGGCGGTGAGGCTCATGAAAAATCGAACCTCAAAAAAGTTATGTTTATAAGTATTCAGTAAAAACCGTGTAACTAGCGCCCTCTGCGAGAGTCAGATATGAAAACCAATTCATGGGATGTGTCTGAAAAACACATCCATACAAAATTTCATTACAGTGTTGCCAGTAGTTTCGACAATCTTAAATTGTAAAAAAAAACATTTTTTCAACACTTTGTATCTTGAAAACGGATGCCGTTACGACAATTTTTTACTGAACAAACCCAACCTATTTTGAGGTGTTCTACCTACCATAGCAACGGGGATCGAGTTTTTTTGAAAAACCCTGTATATTGGCAATTATATTATTACTAAAAATCATCGCAGAATTTAGAAATGTTTGTATTTAATATAAAACCCTTAAAACTGTACCTTGTCTAGAGAATATGTTGTCAAAAAGTATGATTGATTGGCATTCAACTGAATATAAAAAAAATAATCTCAAGTAGGTTACCTATCTGTTTCTGTAAATCACTATTTCAATTCTGATATCATCAATCTATTTCAAATTAGACAAGAGGAGATTGTAACATTGCAAGGAAATGAAGGAGTATTTTCTGATATACCGGGTGTCAACGAATCTATTAGATAAGTCATAACTTCTAGACCATTAGGTGTATCAAAATGAGATTTGGTATAGGTAAATGGTATGTGAAGAGGAGAGTTTTCATATATTTTTCACTTCCCGGTCACTTCCGGTTTCACCGGAAATGGCTCCGGTTATAATTTTTTTAATGGAACACCCTGTATATTGTAAAATTCTTGGATTTCTGAGACAATTCTAGATCAGAATGTGACATTTTCGAGTTTTTATGCCTACTCAATTTTTCCGGAGTCACTTTTGAAATTACATCTAGGTGGCCATGATCAGAAGTAAACTAATCTAAGGACCTCAGGTGATATCAGAAAATTACAATATCACCTGGGGTCCTTAGATTAGTTTACTTCCGATCATGGCCACCTAGATGTAATTTCAAAAGTGACTCCGAAAAAATTAAGTAAGCATGAAAACTTTCGAAAATGTCACATTCTGATTTCTGAGAATTTTCTCAGAAATCAAAAAATGCAACAATATACGGGGTGTTCCATTTAAAAATATAGAACCGGGGCCATTTCCGGTGAAACCGGAAGTGACCGGAAAGTGAAAAATATGTGAAAACTCTCCTCTTCACATACCATTTACCTATACCAAATCTCATTTTGATACACCTAATGGTCTAGAAGTTATGACTTGTCTAATAGATTCGTAGACACCCGGTATAAGTATGTTCACAGTAATTCAAAGTTAAAATCTTTCACTCAGCAAATGTGACTTTCGGTAAATTGGAAAGATAATCCAACTCCCCCCCGCCCCCCAAAACCAATTTTCATACAAAAAAAAATTGAATTGAAGGAGAAATCCTCATTTCAACACCAAGTATCTCTTTCCTTTTTTATACAAGATTCCTATACATGATTGTATCATTATAATGTCCATTATAATAGTTATTTATTATATAAGGGAAAAAAGTAGTAGATTTTAGCTCCAGGTTGTGTTGTCTCTGGAGTGTAGCAGAGGGAGACAAAAAACCATGAGCTAAAATCTAATATTTTTCCTGTGTATAATGCACTATTTTTTTCTGTGACAGAAAAAAAGCGGACCAATCAATATTGAGAAGATATTACAATATAGCAAAATCAGAGAATTATTGACATGAAATTTGAAGTTTTTAACAGGAATGACACCTGCATTGCAGGCATCTTTATCATTCTTTTGAAGTAATCAAATATCTGTCAGTCTAATTTTGTGATTTGATTTTGAAAAATTGCAAATTTAGTGTTTGTTTAGTAGAAATCACATGGGAAATAAAAGGACTTGCAGTTCTTTCTGGGAGTTCTTTCTCAGGATGGTGTTATTGGCTTATTTTTCAGAACTATAGCACAACAAAAGCCATCAACAGTGTATATGGTATATATCTGGGTGAAAAGTACTCACTTTTTTCCATGAGAAAAAAGTAATTTATGAAAGGTGACATTTTACAACCTGTCAACAGAGATGACATTTTAAACTTTTTATATTTTGTCTATGCTGGGAGAAAAATTTTAATAACAGAAAAATGTGAAATGAATTTCTTTTAGAGTTTTTAGGGAAACTTTGAATCTGAAAGGATGAATCATTTTGGAAAATGTAAGATTATGTGATTGAAGAGAAACTGATTATTTGAACTTGAGTCTTGGTCACCACAATAGCAAACTACTACAAAATATAAGTATACTTACTTCATCAGCTAATCTTAACAGCATTCTCAAAAACCTTGCTAAATGCATTTGCCTTGCAGACAATTCACCTCTACCAGAATAATCAGTTCTATACAGTGCCATAGCACTATCCACAACTAATAATGCATACCTAAAAGCAAATTTTGAAACAATTACTAATGTGATACAGACTGAATTTCTCTGTACCTTGATTCTGACATCATGGCTGAAGCCTGTATGAGCAACTGAGTTTGGTGGTCTGTATTATAAGCCCTAGCATAAGCCACATTGTCTAAAACTTCCTGTCCATTCATCTGATATCTCTCAGCAACAGCTAGAAGCCTCTCAGGCCTAAAAGTCCCTTCTGTATCAACATAAAGACATTTCCCTTCACCACCACCACTTTCAATTGGTAACTGGCAGGTAACAGCAAGTGTGTGACAGAGCTGGGTCTTGCCAGTACGGAATTCTCCAAACATTTCAGTGATGGAGCCAGTTTCAATACCTCCACCTAATAGTTTATCAAGTTCTTTGGACCCTGTGGTCAATTGTATGATTTCTGAGCGTTTCTGATGGAATTCTGTGGCTGTTGTGAATCCCATAGGTACTAGCTTAGCTGCTTCCAATAATATTTTATCAGCTTTAGCCTCAGAAATGCCTTTTATCGTGATCAGGTGCTTTTTTGGGGCAAAAGCTATTGATTCCACTGTATGATACCCTGCTTCCTCCAGTTTTTTCACGTCCCCTGTTGTGATTCCATTACCCTGAAAATATAAAACCTCATTGCAGAGCATCATGCAGGAGACCATGATAATGAAGTACTAGGCACCTCTAGTTTTCCAACTGGTTGGGGCCCACATTCCTCAACATCATCTTCAGCTTGTGAGTTTGTTGAGGCTACGGAAGCTGCGCTGACGCTCATCGTGAGAGTAAAATAATTGTGTGATCATAAATGCAAATATTTAATAATTGTAATATCGGAATATAGCTCAAAACTTTAAAATTCAATAACTTCTATTCAAGTTTTGACATGAAAAATGAAAACAAATGAATGGAGGGAAAATCAAAAGGTAGGGATTCTTCTTCTCTTTTGAATCCTATTGGTTTTCTTCTTATTTCAACGTATCTTGCCGAAAAAAACAATTGAACTACTGAAGAGTGAAAGTTTGCTGGCGATGGGCGGCAATGATGGAAGTACTTTCCAAGGTAACACACAGCTTTAAGACAAGGAAGAGGAATGAAAAAGTCATATTTTATACGTCAATTGTCTTGGGACTCGGGTATCATCGGAAATCGTAACTGCTAGAAAATTTAGCAGCTGGCTGCCGCTGCCAAGTCAAAAGTCAAGTTTCCTTCCCGCACCCGCAGTTCCCGCTGTTTTTGATTAATTTTCATTTTTAGAGGTTCTGATTTTGATTTCATTGCAAATATGTGGTATGGTAGTGATTTCGGTGAGGCTCAATCCTTTCAGCTATATCTACTTCTTATATTACCTGATATTTTCGTTTTCAGGAAATACAACCGGTGGTGGCTTCTTGAATAATACAAATACACAAGCTGATACCCCAGCCAAAAAAGAAGTACGGTAGCTTCCCTTTAATATAATAATACATCAGATATCATTCATTTTTCGCTTTAGGGAGTACGACGACTACAAAGCATTGTTCCAGTTGTAGTTCGGCAGATCAGAGACAGTCCAGGAGATGAGTTCAAGTTATTTGGCATGAGTACACAGATAGTGAGTGCTAACTAATTATCACCCTTTCAACACTATGGCCTTATCAATACAATATCTTCTTCAGTTGCATGTCTGTGGTATCCTTCGTCACTTTGAAGTGCTCTCTACTAAAGCTACCTACACCATTGAGGACCACACTGGAGAAATCAAAGCCATATGGTGGCTTGAAAATGATGAGGATAACACCCCAAATTTACCTAATGTCAAGGAAGGCAGCTATGTTCAGGTTTTTGGGTCACTTAGAAATCAGGATGGGGACAAAATTCTCATGGTTTTGAGGATGTTTCCTGTGGATGATGCTAATGTGATCACCAATCATCTTTTGCAAGTTATCCACACAAGATTGGCTGCTGAATCAATGATGAAAAATTCTGTAAGGCCAGCCACAATATACTCATTCCATAGTAAGAGGATGTTTTCTAGAATTCTTGTATTTTCTAGGAGTCTACTATAAAAGCAAACAACCCTGGTGCAGAATTAGCAAATTCAATGAGTTTTATGAATGATAACCCTACTGATTCTGGAATGGGAGGTCTTACAACTCTGCAGGAAAAGGTCTACAAGATTCTACAGACTAATAAAACTCAGCAAGGAATGGACAGAGCAACCCTGCTGAGTAATTTTAATGCTAACCAACATCGCCAAGTCAAGTGAGTACCTACTTTTAAATTCAGGATGTGGTGAAACTGTGCTATGATAGTGCTAAGAGTTTTGTTATTCAATTAACTCATCCTATTGAATTTTTCCTTTAGTGAGGCTCTGGAGTTCCTGAACAATGAAGGCCATGCATATTCTACAGTTGATAATGATCATTTCAAAGTTACTGATGCTTAGGGAACATATTCAGTGTTTTCAATCTTTTTTTTTAAGGCCAAAAAATGTATTATGTATATGAAAGATGTAGTATAATAGGTATTTTTTCATTTGTCACATTTGGTATGATGTTATTCATACTACATTATTTGTAAGATTGTTTATAGAATAAATGGATATTTTTATAAAACTTTTCTGAAAGTTCAAATGTCTGTATTCCTAACAAGGATATCCCCAAGTATATGTTGGAAAGATATCTTTTTCAGTAGAGAAAATGTGATTTTTTCCCACTGACAACTCTATTTTCAAATCTACTTCATGAACTGATAATTTTATTTTTGGAAAACTATCAACATTGCATTGAATTATGTTAAAGCTATGGTTAAAGACATCACAGGGATGTTTTGTTGCAAATGGCCATAATTTTTCTACTGTTCAAGGAGAATAAGTCATTTATTGGTGTAAATAGTTTATTTAAAGAAGTTAATCATGTATGTATAATAAATAGGATACAAAAATTACAAGTAACATTTCAAATTATTCATAATAGCATAAATTATTCAGTTTCATTTCGTCACAGAGAAACATCAAAACCATCATCTGATAACAGTTCAAGCTCAATTATTAGAAAAATACCCTGTATATTATGAAATCCAAAGAATTGTTTGAAAGTGAAGTAAAACTAGAATATTTTGGAGTTTTGAAAAATCTGCAATAACAAAGTACTATCAAAAAATGCTCAAGAAAAGCCTTCATTATCTTACATAACTAGCCTTATAAAATACTCTTATCTGTAGAACATACCCAACTATATAGAACAATTAAAAATCTCAATTCAACAATATACAACATTACATAACTTGCTCCATATGATGTCACATACTTGAATATACCGTTTCATCATAAAGTTTTCACAGATTAAACAGAACATCATTATTTTAAAAAAATTACGTTACCTCTCAAGTGATTCAACATTTGAAAGGAGGGCGAAAGAATTCAATGTACCAGTTGAATCTGTGAGCAGTTTATTTCAGAAAAAAGGCAAAAACAAATTGGAGCCAGACTTCAACAAAACAAAAAAAAAACTGGTAAAAAATTGATCAAATTGAAAAACACACACCAGCTAGTTATAAAAGCACTGGGAATGTATCTTCTTTTTCTGTTAAGAGCGTTAAATAAAATATATATTTTTTGGTTATTACTGGTAATAAACTGTCATGTTTGCGCATAATTATTCATTACTTATTCTTCTTATTATCATTGTTTTGCAACTCAGTCTTTGTACAACAATGAAATCCCCAATTATTTCATGTGCACAGGGTGATTCATAAAATTAATATTGCGAGAAATTTCAACAGTTCCCTTGTCTAAAATTATCTACAAAAAGCTGTTTTCTCTAAAAAAATGCCTTCTTCTGAAGTTATACTCCTCCAAAGTGGGAAAATAATATGAAATTCCATTTTTTTTCTTGAATTTGAAGATTGCTTGGAGAATTATAACAATTCAGGGATCATTTTCTAACATTCAAAAGGTGGGAATGTAATTCTTGCGAATGTTTGACGAATAAAAACTTCAATTAATTTCTTCACTTTTGAGAGGGAAAATTAAAAATGATATCTAAAATTTAATGACATGAATGCCCTCAAGATTTTGACTGGGAACCATCTCTTGATGCAATTTGCAATATTTATGAATCAACCTGTAGAGCAACAGAGTAAATAAGATTATTGCATAAGAAGTTGAGAAGCAGTGACTTCTTCATTGTAGTTTAGTTTTTTCAATACACTATTTCATAGGAACGTTTTTCATACAAAAATACAGCATTATCCCATAAATTGTGACATACACCTGTTGATTACTTGTTGCTATATTTTTCTTTCAGCAGATATTACTAAAAACAAGAAGCCTATTTAAAAAAATAATATTGCAAGACAGAATACAGAGTAGTTGAACAGCCATCACTTTTTATTTTTTTCCTTTGAAATAATAAGAATTGCCATATCAGAGAGAGAACATCTTTATTAGGGATATACCCCAAAAGGCCATTGACCGAAGTCTTTCAGCCCTTGCCATATCATTTTATCAATAATCAAAACTTAATTGACAGGTCAATCTAGCAATTAACATAGCTTTATCTGTCTTTAGCTATATATTCACAAGATTATTTGGGAGAATATTCATATAATTATAATTCCAAACGAAAAAAAAAGGAGTTGTTTTCATGTCATGGCCGTTCAACGTCTGTGTACGAAAATAAAACGCTATTTCAAAGACAACCACCATTTATAAAAACCAGAAATAGGGGGTATATTTTCCGTATCATGTTTTATCACCGCAGTACGTTCAAAAATTAAAAGAGTGAGCACTGAGCAGGGTTGGAGAAAAAATTGCAGAGCGAGAAATTTCGAAAACAAAAACAATGTGCATAAAATTGAGAAATAGCAAGTATATCTTCCGTATCATATATTATTATCGCAGTACGTTCAAAAAATATACAGAGTGAGCACAGGTGAAGAAAAAATTGCGTAGCGAAAAATTTCTAAAAGAAAACCGAACACCTAGTCTCAGCTGGTCTCTGGCACGAAAATTTCGATACTCTCCTGGGACTTGCTTTCGCGCATCGCCCTCCTCCTATCCTCTATCAGCTTCTTTCGTTGCGCCTCACGTTGCCTGCAGACAGAATAGATTCGTTTATCGCGAAATATGACTCACACATTACAGAACATCACTAAAACACAGATCTCCTTTAATTTCTGATGCACTAAACATCATTTCAAGCTTCTGCTTTCATCAGAAGGAGCAGTGAAGATGAAACTTATGAATTTTTACTGGAATAATGGGGTTGTACACACAATAGTAGTATTGAAGTTTTTATCTCACTGTAAAGTTTGTAAAAAATTAATATATACTTTTTTTTTCGTGAGATCAATTTTCACTTTCAGAGAAAAAATAAATAAAAGAGAAACTTGTCTCCTCCACCATTCCTATGACGTATTTTCTGAAAATCCACATTCAGACAGTTAAAATACGATTTCCTGTGCCAGTACGACGTTGCCGACATCATCAATGTGTCTAGATTTCCGGAAATTGTTCTTTGAATGCATAATAACTATATCATAACAGCAATGTCAAGTTTTATGAATAATTCCCACAAATCTCTCATTGGCTGAATGAAGTTGATTACTAATATTACTATAATTAAGAAAAATTATGATATTTTCCGATAGTATCTATAACTTTCACTATCGTTATATTACAATATGTTATTCATAACTTGTCAGTAATTTTTTTGCTAATGAATTCGTTCCGTACTAAAACCTATTTCCTAGGAAAGTTGCAGATTATATCTTGCAACAGCGCCTAATAGCTCGAGTCTGTCCACACCACTCAAAATATTGACAGGCACAACAAGAGGAAGGAGCCATATGTGTCGGCTTCATTCTGTTCTGACCGATGACAGTAAATTCGGAAGGATAGTATCATTGAATGTAGCCGATAGTGATTCATTGATTCAATGATATTTTCGTTTAGGATCGAGGTCTATTCGAGATATTTCAATGCATAAATAACAAAACCATAACCTGTCAGAATGAAGCCAACTACCTTCTGCATTCCTGCTTCGAGTGCATTTGTGGTTATGTATGTTTTTGTTTACCAGTTTTACTTCTTCTACGATTTTTTTCAATCGTTTTTTATTCGTTAGCGATATTCTTCACCATCAGATATTTTCAGACAGTTTACCGCCCCGAAAATTAGAAATTGCTTTAATTTGAAAATGAAAACGAGTTGGACTTTATCGGTCGCCATTCTGTACGGCGTGGACATAAAACTGGAGAGTTCCGAACTTATATTTTACGAAAAAGTTCGAAATTTCACCTTCTTTTGCCACCCATCTTGGATATTCATTTACAACTACTTGTCCTTCTTTTTCCATCACTGGACAATTTATATACTCACGTTGCTGCGTTGTACTTCAATAACACATTTCACTTCCTAAAATCAACAAGAAGTATGGTTTATTTGGGTTCTTTTAATATTTAAGTGAGGTAAAGTATCACACCAGGATACCAGCTGACGGCCATTCAATCATCAAATCTAGTTATAACCATACAAATACAAGATGCCAAATGAAGGACAAATGTCAAAAAAATTCCCGAGAAACCAAACTTGTTCACCTCATTTGCATATGAAGAAATTCCAAATAAACCATACGTTGTTGATCCGGCCTGGTTACTCATCATCCGGCCTCTATACCGGCGTAGAGATAAGAGAGTCTGATATTTTTCACACACACTTATCAAACTTCACATCAACTTTTTCATTTCCATGACTGTCGTGGATAATTTTGGATGCGCATGCTTTTATGCAACAGATTTTTAACCTCTAAAAGCATTCTTATGTTGGGAGATACACATTTTAACAAGAGGAAGAATGGAATTATTGAAAAAAATCAATTACTATTATGAACAATGGGCATATTGAGCCTCAACTCATCGTTCTATCTTCAAGTTCAGATGAAAACAAACGTTTTTGCTGGAAATCCTCAAGACCAATCTGGAGAATGGTTGTTTTGAATAAATCTGTACTCAGATTACGAACTCAGGGATCATTTTTGGTATATGTATAAGTGTATGAATATTTTAGAGGGAAAGGTTCATGTTCAGGTCTTGAACTTGATAACATCAACATAAGCCAAACCTAAATATGCCTATTCACGTGAGTCAAGACACAGCATATTTTCAAGAAAAATAAATTCAATAGGAAACTATGCCATATATGCAGATGCCACAGTACTTTTATTTGAAAACAAAAACCCTGTAATTTTAGAAAACAACATAAATCAGGATTTGAAGAAAATGGAAGAATGGCTATACTCCGATCTTCTTTCCCTTAATTCCAATAAGACCCAATATATAATTTTCCATCAAAGAAATAAACAAAATATGATTTGAATATTAGAATAAAAAAATTAAAGATTGAAACAAACTGCCTAATATACAAAATTTAATTGGATTGATGAAAAGTTATCATGGGACAAGCATATTGGCATGCTCAAAGAAAAAATGTCTCCCATAGTTAGTGCCCTAAGAAGATTTCCAAAACTTATCCCAAATATAGCAAATACCGTTCTATACTTTCACATCCTTAGTAAAATGAACTATCTCGTAAATATTTGGGGTTCATGTTCCAAGAATAATTTCAACAAAATATCTGTACAATATAAAAAAGCATCAAAAATACTGTATCGTCTTCCATATGACACCCCATCAAATCAACTTTATGAAGAAACAAATACATTTTCTTTGGAAGAGCACTATCTGATAAATACTCTCAAAATTTCTTTTGATATTATCAACAAACACCTCATATCTAACTTCATATTGGTGAGGAATTCTCAAATCCATGAACATCATACTAGACAATATGACTTGTTTCATCTTGATGCTGCTAATTCTACACTTGGCCAAAAAAAGTTCACTCACGGAGCCATTTCAAAATTCAATAAATCACCTGATGATATCAAAAATTGCACAAATATCACCCAATTCAAAATTAAAGTCAAGAAACATATCCTCTTGCAAAGAGAAAATCAAACCTGAGTGAATGATTTCTCATTCACTAATTTATTTCATCATGTCATAATGTACTTCATGAGCTTTTTGTTTTATTATTATTTTTGAATCTGTTGTTTACTACAACAACTATAATTTAATTTAATAACGCATGAATAATCTCATACCAGATATGAATCTGTCGGATTATTAATTTTATTTCATTGTAAATGTTAATAAAATATATTTATATGAGATGCGATGTGATGTTTATACTTTATAGCAAAGAATGGAATAAATATATTACTATTATTATTATTGAAACAGGAAAACGCCGTTTGCGTTTATCTGGTTTCAAAACTATACCAGACTTGTTTCGGATTGAATTTGATGCGCACCTGATTCTGCGCAGTCCAAGGGCCGTTTCAACAATTTGGAACACAAACAAACCAAACGAATGAAGGCAATCAATTTACCTTCTGGCCTCCTCGCTCGCCGCAGTCGGTACCCGCGCTTTGGGCGGCGCCACGACCGCCCTTCTGCTCTTGGCGGTGCCATTGTTGGCGGGCTTGGGGCGCGTTTTAGGCACCTCCCGCCAACCGTTGGCGCGCAGCTCGTCGATATCTCCGAAGAGCGCATCGACCTGGCGCACCTGCAGCATCACCATGTCCCAGAAGCCCTGCAGGTCCTCGTTGGTGGTGGGGAAGGCTTCGCCGGCGCTCTGGAACGTTTCGGAGAAGCGCTTTTTATTCCTGGTGCTTTGGCCGATATTTAGTGTAACAAAAAAGGGTCCCTTGAATTTCTATTCCACCTCCTTTTTTGTACATATACCTTCATGGGTAGTGGAATTGATATACGAGAGTTCAGTTGCAACAGCATACAAGATTAAAATTTCACTATTGTCCTCTACTGATCCATACTCTCTAGCCCTATTCGCGATAGCAAATAACACGTCGCTCTACCTCACGGCAGCAGCTTGAACACTTTGATGTGACCAATAAGAACAAACAAAAAACAAATGTGAACCAATGAAAACAAAGTGAACAGGCCGCTTTGTCAGCTTTCAAAAACTCCGATAGGTGGCGTACGCTTATTTTCTATCGCGGTAACAGTGACGTTAGATGAAGCAACAACATACTTCGGTAAGTTGTAATATTGGAGTGCGAAGCACTAGCACGTTGGAGATACAACCTTCTGGGAGCAGTAAACTCTCGAGAGGCCTTTCCAAAGAATGCTTTGGTGAAGAGGCTGCTAAACCTTATCAAGGTAGCGAACCTGTTCACCTAAGTCAACAGCATGATCAGGAATATAATAGGCCCAAAGGCTGTAGTGTTATGGGGTTCGAACACTGACTGATCATTCTGCTATTAATCAATGAATCAAGCAAACCCATGAAAAGGGATATCCTGTAATGTTCAGAGAACATCGTGAGAACCAAGGGAAATAAGGTAGGAATTTTATCATACACATTGTTATTAATCATTCTGTGGACTGTAAAAAACCTGTATTTGGTTTTTTCTTTATCTTCTGGGGGGTTTGATAGAAGACTGTCACAAATTTTACAACTATTTAATATACGAAAAATAGGTGGAAAACAACATCCAAATAGAAAAATGGGCATAGAATCATCAACAGTTCATGCAAAAACTTGTGTCCATATTGATTGATTGATTGATTGTCTTTATTACCCCAAGAAACATAGTTGTTTATAATAGGGATACATAAACAATATACATAATGTTATACATACAATTATGAAATTATAATAAGATATAACAAGTAAAAAAAATGCAAATAATCATGCAATATCAACCTTGTCTTTTATAAGTAGGTATTCAAATAAGAAATGGAATTATCAAAGTCTCTGAAGCAGATATTTTTTCAAGTTAATTTTGAATCTTGTTGCTTCCTGTATATTCCTCAATTGACTTGGTAATGAGTTGTATAGAACGATTCCTGTGTGAAAAATGGATTGTTTGCAGATATTTGACTTGAACGAATTTGTTATTAGTAAATTTGATTGTCTTGTTCCATGATTATGTAATGAATTGATTTCATATAGTAGTCCAATCACGAAATAACAAAAAGTTTACTCACAGATGTCCAATAGCACTAGTTAGTTTATTACTCGATGGCGAGCAAAACATTCTTTTTATTTACCGCTAAATTTCCATCCTAGGAACAATATCATCGGAAACTCGATGATTTCTGTGTAGTTTCACTTTATTGCCCCAAAAGATGCTGCATTTGTAGTTATTTCGGGCTTATACTGAACATAATGAATTGGAAACAACAGGATCTGATTTTTGATTTGTTCTAAGCGAATTCCAAAAAAAAATCTGTAAGAAACGAATCACTTACTCTATTGATGTTATTGGTGCACAGTCCTCTGAATTGCTGCATTTTCTGGTTGACCAGCAGTCTAGCCTTCCCGGAAGTAGATCTGAGCAAACCGATGAGATCCTCGGACAAATCTGCAGTCAACATGTCGTTTTCTACCCTAGCTGCCAACTCCAGAAGTCTCTTGGTCTGGTCTTCCAATATCAGCAAGAAATAGTGGCCGTCTTTTTCAACTGTAGTGGGATAATTATCAATTGAAGACATGATTTTTCGAAATTTTGATTTTTGTTGTTTTATGTAACAATACCATGTTTGAAATTTGTTCAAGGTTATCTTCACTATCAGGAATCTCTAATTGTTCTATAACTTATCATGTTTCTGATAAGGTGATTGAATTTTAAATATCCTTGAGAGATAACTTTCTTTCTTGTTTTTTCAATCCAAGAGAATTGAGAGTTCTTCCTTTTTCACAATTTTTTTAGTTTTAATTTCGAAAATAATTCAAAGGACGTTTTACCACCATGTTTCTTCCATTTGGATTTGGTTTGATGACTAATTGAAGTGGAACAAACATATAAAACAATTAACAAAAAACTCTCTATCATTGGAGAAGATGTTCCAAACTTGATACACTGACAATAAAATAACACACCCTATACAGTGTCATTCATAAAGTCGGCATCATATGGGAAAAACTTTTATTAATGACTTATTTTGGAATTCGAGTTGGAAGTTAAGTTTTGCTTCAGAAAAGATGAAAAATGGCCTACTCAATCGGGGTCACGTGACTTTCGCTACATGTCAAAAGTGACATTTTTTCAAATTAATCGCTGAAAGTAGGCTTATTTGTTCGAATATCGAAAAAGTTTACTTGAAAAAGTTGTTGGGACAATTGAGAGAATACAGAGAAAATTTCTCAGGCATTATGCATTCAGACTGGGAATAAATTGGAATCATGATTATGACAACATTCAAAATAGCACAGGATTGGAAACTTTGGAAAAACGTAGGTTCAACACAGACTTGCTCATTTTATATAAATTGTTAAATGGTACCATTGACTGCCCCGAACGTGTATCCGAAATTCAGCAGTAGGACTAGAAACAAAGCACCATTTTACATTAATCATCATTCCACAAATTATGGCATGCATAGCCCCCTCTCAAGGATACCAAGGGAATACAATAATAATTGTATACATGTTGACATTTTCAGTAATTCATTTCAGTGTTTCAAGAAGTCATTGATTACCATCAATAGAACCCCTTTATAAGCAGCTGTGTTTGATTACTGTGATAGATTCAGATTCATACTGATTTAGGATATTCTCTTGTTATATGTTTATTTGTATTTGTTGTGTTTAATATTTACAAAGATATTTTTTTCCATCTTGAAATAACATGTGTGATTATAATGTATGCAATGGATAACCGTAAATAAAGTTCTATTCCATTTAAAAAAACACACTCACCGCTACCGTTCCCGACAGACCCGCCTTCCGCCACGCCCACCGCCTCCTTGGCCGCGACCACGCCCCCTGCCAGCCCCTCCCCCTCGTCCTTCAGCTCGGGCACGGTGACGCTCTTCGCCATCGCGCCCACGCCGGTCGCCGGCCCCGCCCTCTTGGCCACGCCCCCCACAGCGGGCAGCTGCGCCCTGAACTCGGGACGCAGGTGGCGCATCACGGGCAACGTGGGGCTGCTGGTGCTCTGCCGCATGCCCGGTTCGGACGGCGAAGAGTCTGAAAGGGAATCCCGAATGAGGTATAATTGGGATCCAAATACAAAGCTATAAGGAATAGACAGTTTGTGGTCACCCATACCACCGAACATAAGCAGAGACTAGAAGGTTCACTTTCAGCATAGAAGTTCCGTTCACGAGATATTTTGTATCAAGAATAAAACATTCATAATATAGTTATTATATTTTCATTATTTACAACTCATGAGAAAGAACAAGAACAATATATGATCTTAGCAAACAACTCTTCGCCGCTATTATTACGAGGGTGCCTGTCTCGATATTTCTCAGTAGAGCGACTCAAAGAAAACGGTGTAGTTTATTTTGGCTGTATCATTGGTATTCATGATGTTTCATTTTATTCCAATACATTTTTTTACTATGAGGTAGAAAAGTCAATGTAGAAACACAGAATACCCGACAATCAGAAGTGCTTCTCTGGTCGGCGCCTTTGATATTTTAGGATCTGTTTTCTGTGATCCGCCATGTTCTTGGGTTAGCAAGCAGGGCTGATTTAAGGGAAATGACGGGATTGTACTAGCTGAATTTATTCACTTTTTGTGTCATTTATCGATACCAGTAAAATGTATTCAATTCTTACAAAATTACACTTACATTTAATTCCATGGAAAATAGCACTCCCAATTTCGAAAAAACCTGTATATAAAAACAAATGTCAGTAAACTTCGATCGAGATTGAGGAAGTTCGTCCAGGTCAATTGGATCTTTAATTCTCATGAAAGAGCTTACCCTGGTTGGTTAAAAATCAATCGAATTTGATTTTCCTTTGTTTAGCCTGTTGTAGAGTTCAAAACGTGAAATTATAATGAATACGAGATCCAGGTGACATTGTACCATCATTCAGGAATGTTATTCCATGAATAAATGGGCGTTTTGTCAATTCTCGGAGTTGTTAAAAATTCTGAGCAGAAACCTTCGCTTTTCATCTTTGACACCCTGTATCTCGAAAACTAGTCACCCGATTTCTTTGTGCCCATGGACACTTTTGCTTATGAAGTCACAATCTACATCATACCAAAAATTCAGAAAGCCATTTTCCATAAGGAAAGTGCGGGGTCCTTTTCGGGCGGAGCTTAGATTGGTCCTTCTAGTCTCTGTTTATGTTCGGTACCCATACCTTCGAGCAGCCTGTCCTGCATGGACTTGGAGTGCCTGTCGCCGTTGGCAGGCGGCTTAGAGTCGTCCTCGGACTCCGACAGGCGCTTCTTCGAGGGCGACCTGGTGGTGACGAAGAAGCCTTGCGCTAGGGCTCCGGGGCCGTACAGACGCTCGACGCGCTGCTGGATGAACGATTTCGTTTCCGAACCTGGAATACATGTCGGCGCCGTTAGATTCAGATCATCATTTTAGAACTATGTTCTTTTTCTCCCAATGTGGAACTCAAGTATCAATTCTTACATTGACGGAGAAGAAGATATCGTAGAAATCATATCATAATACAATAATAGGACTTGAATAGACTGATGACAAAAAATATCCGAATAGTTTCATACTGCAAAACTTCATAGAAAGGAGAAGATTATGCTTTTTCAAGAAATAATAAGGCTAAACAACCTGAAAGAGAAACCGTAATGTGATCAATTATTATAAAGCCACTTGTAAAGTTGTCAAATGTATATATAAATTGGATTATTTGGAACCAACAAGAAACCTTTATGAACGAAATGAAATATTAGATCTTCAATCAATATATAAATTTGAAATATTAACATTCATTCATTCAGTCAAACAGAATTATAAACATTCCAATTTGAATTTTAAAATTAATGCTAATATACATTCACATTCAACTAGACAAACAGACATGTTTTCCCTCATTAAAATCAAATCTGAATTTGGCAAGAGATCTATATATTACAATGGATTATTACTTTACAATGAATTGCCAACAAGACTTAAGAAAATATCAGTACCAAAAAATTCAAGAAAGAACCTAAAACAATATTTATTCGTCTGAGTTTTGTCATGTCATCCATATAGAGATCATATAACATATCAATTATTTTAATCATTCATTCACTCAAACGAGGATCAGCTCAAACTCTGAGAATTACTAGAATAATTATTATACCTATATTACCTATACCTACTACATTTTAAATGTAATGTAATACATTATGGTTTACTTTTTTAATGTTCCCTGTTATAGACATATATTCAATTGTTTCTTGGGAATAATAAAGATGATGATGATCTTACCATTGGTATATTCTTGCTTCATGGAAGTCTCGGAAACGCACTTCGTTTTTCCGTTGAGATTCGTGACACTTTTACTCTCGAAGCTTACGCATTTGCTCTGTATCCTGTGATGGCCATTTTCCATACAACCATCGGTGGTGTCTTTGGCTATGGTCGGGAATAAGCCCGCGGTGAAGGTTTCTTTGCTGATGAATGTCGAGGTTTTCATAGAGCTAAATCACATGAAAATAAAAATTGTTTTCATTATTCAAAATTTTCTAACAAACAAGGCATATAATATGTCGGCCTATTGTTCTTTAACGGCAAAAACTTGTAGACCTGTTGCTCTTTAAAGGCAAAGACCAGTCCACCTGTTGCTCTTCAACATAAATGACCTATCCTCCTGTTGTTCTTTAACGGCAAAGACCTGCCCACTTGTTGCTTTTAAACGGCAAATACCTGTCCACCTGTTGCACTTCAACGGAACAGACCTTTACACCTGTTGGTGAGCCACAATAGACCCTTACGGGTCGCAGTGGAGGGCCGAATAGACACTCACTTTTAAATTAGATTTAGAGTGGGGCCTTCGGGCTATCTGCCTTCACACCGCGATCTTTTCAGATCTATTTTGTCTGCCCTCAAAATCGTTTAGAGTTATTTAGCTAGCCCCGCCTTTTCTATGAGACTACATAGGCTAGCTTTCAGATCCCCTGTGTAACTTTGTGTTCTTGGTTTTTCCTTACCCAGCGTAAGGAACCTTAGTCTTGTCAAGCCCTAACAGTGGCAAAGTATGTGTACTGCTGTTTTCTCCTTTTCCTGACAAAACCTGCACAGCAGTTCTTCAGTCAGACCTATCGTACTCATGTGTTTGTTGAGCCTACAATGCCCTGTGAGAAGTACCACTAGTATTCTAGTTGTACTTTGTTTCTGGCTCAGTAGATATTCTGTGAATGTTGGCGATGATTTTGTAATAAACTCTTTTGCCTGTCTCATTCCTGACGAGTTGATCCACCATTCTTAAGATAATATGATACTTGTTTCTTGTATAGCTTCCGACATTTGATTATTTTTTCCACTTTTTTTCTTTTCTTAAGCCACGACAACTTGTAACTATTGTTTATTTTTGTAATCTGTGCTACTCTATTATTGGGTTTCTGACCTGTTGAGTGGCCTTAACTTGAATAAATAAATAAATAAATAAATAAATAAATACCACAAAAGGGTTCTGGGCATTCAGAGTTTTGTTTGCTCCTGCTCGGGCAAGTGAGTCTGCCTCTTCATTGCCCTCGTACCCTGTATGTGCTGGTACCCATGCTGGAGTCAGTCTGTTCTGACTGCCCAGTTCATTTAGGGTTTCTGAGCAGTTCCATACTATCTTTGGGTTAACTTGCATCGAGTTAACTGCTTTTATTGCCGCCTGGCTATCCGAATAGATTGCAATGGTTTTCCCTTTAAACTCTTGCCGTATCATTTTTTTAACGCAATGATGTATTGCAATAATTTCTGCCTGAAACACCATCGCGTATTTGCCTAAGCCCAGTGAGATTATTGTCTTTGGCTTGGCCCCATAAATACCAGCTCCTGACCCTTCCTTGATTTTGGAGCCGTCCGTATAGACAGCAATGTCTGCATTGATAGGAGATCCTTCCTCCCATGCCTCTTTGTCCGTTATACAGTTTTAACCGTTTTTTAAGCTATATTTTGGAATTATGCCATCTGTTGAGTATATGTAGAAATTACACTTGATTTGGCAACGTGGTACCAGAGCGACCCCGACCGATCGATTTGGACTGAGTAGGGTTGAGGGTTGACACAGAGTAGCGTTCCACACACTGTCAATATAACACGCAGAAGATAGTTCACAGTCCACGTTAAGTACAATAAAGTTAAGTAAGCAAGTTCATCACGATAGTTTATTTCACGTCCCTTAACAGGGTGGTCCTTCAAGCTAAAGTACATCACGAACGAACACCATCTGTTGGCATTCCCATGATGGGGTCGCTACCAACTCTTCATATAGCTTCAATCTACTCACGACTGCTCTGGCTTCGCCTTATATTTTTTAATCCTAACCATATGTTGGGCTTTAACGGCAAATATCTGTCGACCTGTTGGTCTTCAACGGCAAAGACCTATCGACCTGTCGCTCTATAAAATACCCATTCGTAATACAATACCTGTAAAACTCCCCGTGCCTATTCATCGCTATGGCCTTCTCCATGATGGGGCTGCGGCTCTTTATTCTGCCCGGTAGCGGCACCAAATTAGGCGGACTCAGCAAGTTGTCCTTCAGGCAATAGGTGGCAGAACAGCCCTTGTCGTCGACGGTGGTCAGATGATGGTCGCTGTCGATGCGATGAGGCGAAACATCCCTCGATCTAGACAGCAGACGCGAGGGGTCGTAGTGCGTCGAAGTGGAATATCCGTTAACGGCGCACGCTAGGCTCAAGTAGGAGGGTAGGTGGTGATGGTGGTGGTGGGGGTGGGGGTGTTGTTGGTGGTGGAAGGAAGCGGGAGGCGTGGAAAGGTCGCGGCTGCGCAGTGTGCCTGTTGACGATATCTCGGACAGATCTGGAAAATCATGAGTAAAAATACCGTTTCAGCAAATAAAAATGGATTGAGATTTTAATATGTTGTTGTGGGATGGCCCATTAGGAAAATATGTGAGTTTGAAAAGTTTTGTATGCTCAGTTTCTGAGATATAAGCCGACAAAGTTCGTAAAAACGTCGTATCGGGGTAGGATTGACAAAGAAAAAATCTATAAATAAATAAATAAGACAAAGTAAGCTAGAAAATGTATTGATTGGAACTCATAAACATGTCTAGTTATAACGTCTCACCAAAATATAACTTGCTGATTTTGAAATAGTGCTAGATGTTTTTTTTTTCGATAAATGAAATTTTTGACCGTGCCTCGTATAGAGCCTGATATACTTTAATGTATGTGACTATAACTAGACATGATTATGAGTTCCGATCAATACATTTTCAAGCTTACTATGGCTTATTTATACTAAAAAACAGATTTTTCTCTTTGTCAATCCTACCCCGATACGAAGTTTTTACGAATTTTGTCGGCTTGTATCTCAGAAACTAAGCATACAAAACTTTTCAAACTCACATATTTTTCTAATCCCAAACAACATAGCGAAATTTCAGCCAATTTGATTGAGAGCCAATTTCCCATGTTTTCGTGCGGGGTCCTTCCTCGGATACAAGGCGACCTAATAATTTTGAATAATTCCAAAATGGCAATAACCTTTTTCCCCCAAGATCTATTCGTATCAATTATTCTCATATGTACCAGGTGACACGTGACATAAAATGCCACCCACTTATAACTCTTGCATTTTCGACAGTAAAATATAAATTAGTAAAAGCTGGAAAATTCGCAAGTAAAAATACACATTCATGTCGACCTATTAATTTTTCACAATATATTTCCAAGAACTAATAACCTCCAAAAGTTTGAAAAAAAATCCAATACCTATCTCCTCTCCCTCTCCGTATGCACGATGTTTATCATGAACATCATAGGAATTTCCTTTCGTGCGCTCCAAGAGATAAAAAATGGCAACAACATTTTCTCCTTCATTCGTAAAAAAGTATAGAACGTGGTACGTTATAACGTGTCACAATCATAAAATTCTGAGTAATAAATCATAATTCCTTGATGCAGATACGCTTGTCTTCAGAAAACATGTCGCTTTTGGACGGTGTAAGCTCTCCTATTGCAGCAGTGATTTGGAAAGCTGACACTATCCATATGCGACATGTTCATTGAAGACGAGCGTACCTATGTCAGAATTCTGATATAAACTTCAGAATTTCAACCTATATTATGACAACGATATTATGACACATCTGGGATGAAAATCAAAACTCTTACATACAAGCAGAATTTTGACATACATGTCGATATGCTAGCACACATGCATAATTCTGTACTGTGTCATACTTAATTCAGTATTTTTGCTTGTAAGTAGGAATTCTGTTAAATGAAAATATGTAATTGTTGAAGGAATGTTTATTATATTACGTGTTTACGAAGCTACGTTGCCAAATGTTCTCATGATTAATTTAATTTGAAGGTGACATTTTTTATTTTGGCTAGCAAACGCTGAACCCTCTTTCTTTTGTTGACCTTGGCAGGCCCACCTTCTCAGTTCAACGGGTTCAAATTGTCCAAAACGAATGACTAATGGCCTGATTGTTATGTAAAATACTAATTATTTATTATAATGATTCAATAATAATCGATCGCATAACTATATACATCGAAAGAAACTTATTTAAAAAACCGATAGAAGCTGATAAACCATCAAGATACAGTGTAGCCCATTTCACTAACTGAACCGACTCAAACTATTATATCTGGGCCACTTCATATTATAATATATGCTCAATCAAGGTTCCTAGTTCCTGCTATTATTTCTGCTCCATTTTGTTGCTGAACTGGTTATCAATATTTTATTGATTTTGTTTATAGGTTCAATATTGATAAACATTTGCACAGTAGGCTACGATATCAGAATGAACAATATCCTGCGACAATATCTTTAGAATTTACTGAATAATAATTTTTCAAGGCCATAGGTATAAACACGGTATAAGTTGGATTGTTGAAATATTCTAGGATAATAATATTCAGAAAAATTCGAGGAAAAAATCAACATCAAAATCAATATATTATACATGTTGAAAATATGTATGATTTTTTTCATGAGATTTCATAACAGGGACACTGCTGTCGATGGCTTAAAAATTATGAACAGTAATTACCATCCCAAGTGATGGTAATTTTTTGATGATTTTAACCAGCTGCACGAATCTTTGTTGCTATAGAAATCTAATTAGTGGACGAAGTCTATGAGTGGGACTTCTCAATAGCAACAAATACGAGTGCTAATCTAGTTAAAATTATAAAAAAATTAACCACCACGAATGTAATTCGTGATTATTTCTTAGCTATTTCGCAAAATACCCCGCGAAAACGAACATTCTACAGCCACACTCCTTGGTTTCGCGCCATTTTTGTTCGAACAGATCCAAACGTGAAAAAATTATCGCTGTAATTTGCTGATAACAAATTATCAGTATAATTCCAAATGATTGGCTAGAATTAAGCATTGATATTGATTGAACAAACGAAAACGTCACATATTGACAGGTGAAAAAAATTATCATCTATATTTTAATTCTTGTTTGTATCCAGATCCAGATAGTATATCTTTTTCATGAGGGTCGTTTCTTCGATAGACGAACTTAATAATTGTTACTTCTTCCTGTTTCTCTCATGCCTATGGTGTATATAGGTACTTGGTCACATTAAAAAAAACAAATCAAATCGTGGTAAGATACAAATCAAATATGAAAATATTATCTTAATTGATTTGAGGCCAAAAATGTCTTGATAGAGATAATCAAAGTGTAAAATTGAAAACAAATCGACTGCAATGAAAATAACACATGAAAGAAGAAAGAAAGTGCCTATAAGTCCGCCTTTGAAGCTGAAAATGTAGATCACGGAGAACCAGTGTTCAAAGAAGAATATTTTTCCTGGGGCTAGTAGAAATTATAATACAGATAGATTTAATCAGTGAATTACGGGTTTTTGCATACTGATCAGATACCTGTTGATATTGCCTAGATTTAGTAGCTCGAGGCTTGTAATATTTTCATTAGATATTTCACTATATCTGATGAAGATTAAAATGAATGAATGTTTAAATTATTCACGTTGTTTCAGCGAACATTCAGCCATGACGACAACAATAGGTAACTTATCGGGATCGGTCTACTTGAACAAAGATGAAAATACAGAGTGTCCCAGAATCTAAGGGCGCTAGAGTCCTTTAAAAATAGGTCCTTGAATGCAGTTTTCTACAATTATCTTTGTTACCATTGATTCTAGAATCACCAAATTCGGTACCTGAAGGTGATTCGATATTACACATCGTATCCTGATACAAAAAAATTAATGTACAGGGAGGTCTGAAAGTCGTAACCGATGCTATAAAAATGCACCTTTTTTTTTGTTTCGAGATTCATCTCATTTTTACTAACAGAATATGCAAATATCATTGCATCTATATCCTAAGTTAATACCGGTTTTTCTAGAACTTTGAACTAATTATCGGCTCATGATGGGCTTATATAAGCCCGAAACATGTACCTTCAATCTTCATTCATTTCAATAAAAGTTGTGGAGATGATTTGGGGTTTTTCATCTACAGGGTATGTCACAACGAGCTTACATTATCTCTATATCGAGTATCAGTCAGGATAAATCCATGAAAAATTTCAAAGCTTATATTTTAGAATACGCTCTCTTCATTACAAATAATTTCGATAATGCAGTGGTGTCGCTTCGCTAGAGAGTAGTAGCAACATTGATACTTCAAATGGAACACCCTGTATTTTATCGTATTCTTAGATACTCCCTGAAGAGCTGATTTTATCGATACATCACACTTGGGGTCTATCTCTGTAATCATTTCCGATGTATCGATGAAATCAGCTCTACAGGAAGAATCTAAAAATGCAATGAAATACAGGGTATTTTATTTGAAATAACAAAGTTGTTGCTACTTTCATCTCATAAGAAACTTTTCGCTATTCAAAAATCGACTAAAATACTAGATGCGATTTCAAATAAAAGGAGGAACAGACCTTCATCATTTCAATTAATAACTATTGATAATTGAAAGAAATAATTGTATGGGATAGATATGTAACTAGGTGAAACGAGGATACATCGAAAATGTGACAACCAGCAAAGCTAAAGAAAAACCAACAGAACTAACCAAAAAACTAGAACAGAGGAAACGAAAAAGAATCAGAGCAACACAAAAACACACTTTGCTAACCTGAAGACAAGTCCACAGACCTCTCCAAGTCCAAGGAGCACGTCCCTATGGAGTCCACGGACTTTTCCATCGCCACCTGTATTTTCTCGACGCCGTCACTCGACTTCCCCGTGTCTGTTGCGCCTTCAGCGCATTTGTCTGGTAGGCCGTTAGATGGCGCCTCAGCCACGTTCTGTTGTTGATGGTGCGACGCAGGGTTCCGTACCTTTTGGACGATCATTCTCGTCAAAAGAAGATTTCGAGATTTTCGTGGAGGGACAGTCGGACAAGTCGATTAAAAAAAAAACTTAATTTCATTATATGATGTTGAATAACTAGTAGTGAACATCATGGGGAAATCATGGGTCAGTTCAAAGAAATAGGGAGTTGTGAACATCATGGAATACCATTGAACAGTCCCATAAAATGATGATCATTAATTTTGGCAGTTCTATCATGGGAAATCATTGGTTAGGTTCATGAAATCGGGAGTTGTGAACGTCATGGGAAATTATTGAATAGTCTTATGAAATCGGGAGTCGTGAACATAATGGGAAATCATTTGACAGTCGCAAAAAATTCATGAAAATTCATTTGCCAGTTCTAGACAACCATGAGAAATTGGCCATTCCCATGAAATTGAGCAGATGTGAATCATGGGAAATTATTGAATAGTCATATGAAATCGGGAGTCGTGAACATCATGGGAAATCATTTGACAGTCTCATAAAATTCATGAAAATTCTTTTGCCAGATCTAGACAACCATGAGAAATTTGCAAGTAGTGAAACAAGGGAAATCATTGGTCAGTTCCACGAAATTGGGAGTTGCCAACATCATGATTATTGGATTATCCTATGAAATCAAGACGTTGTGGAAATCATAGAATATAATTGGATAGTTCCATGAAATTATGATCATTCATTTTGGTACTCCTAGACAATTATGAGAAATCAGCTAGTAATGAACATCATAGGAAAACATTGGCCAATTCCTCGAAATTGGGCAGTAGTGAACATCATGGGAAATAATTCGAAATAATTGGACAGTCCTATGACACAGTTCCATTGGATAATGCTGTGAACATGATGGGAAATCTTTGAAGTGTCATGGATATGAAAAATGCGGAAGTTTTATAAAAACGGTTAGGAAAAATACTGTATCTAGGTCTAGGTTAATCGAGGAGGTGGAACGTTCATTCGTCTATAAACACTGACCTATGAAACCTCCTCAATCGACTTGTCCGAGTCAAAAACCGAATAGGTGTCAACCTACACTAAGTTTACACCCACCAGTGTAAGTTTACACCAACTCGTGTAAATGTACACCAACCCGTGTAATTTCACACCAAACAGTGTATTTTACTTTGAAGCGTGCAAACTCACAGCAGACCGTGCAAAACTCAGTATACCTGCACTCTGTCCCTCCCCTCGGTCTTTTTCGAGGAATGTCTTCTCACGACGACAACGCCTTTCTTGTCCGCCCCCCTCGAAGAGTTCCTCCTCGCCGTGAGGGCGCCGGAGGCCGGAGGGAAGGGCCGTCGCGACGCCAAGGGTGACGTCGGTATCCTGGTGACGCCGAGCAGCAAGACGGTGGTGCGATCGTCGGGCAGATCGCTGGACGACGAAAATTTCAGGTTATGTCGGCATAACGGGTCGCAGGTGCGACGCGAGACTCAAAGAGCATCGAAGCGTGCGAAGAACGGAATTCGGGAGGTTGAGACAATCCGATTCAACATCTCAAAGTTTTTTTTGGCTATGAGAATGATATGTATACACTGTGTCCAAGATAAAGGTGTCTAATACCGTAGGGATCGTTTTTTTAAGGTATTAAAAGAGATATAGACATAAGATATTTTCTCATTTCTACTTTATAGCTGCACAAAACAGCGTTGAGAGATTTTCCGTTTCACAGAAACCATCATCAACTTTACCTCATGATATACATCCTTATTCTTGGGACACACTGTCTGTATAAGAAGGCTCAAGGTATAATTTTGATTGCAACAAAATTCGAAAATGACAGTTGACAGTTCATACAATTGACAGGCCGGACAGGACAGGACTCAAACGACTGAAGGTGTATTGAAAAGGAATATTCTCAGATATAATTATGAACATAAAAAAATGGATGAATACATTGAGAATTCGCATTCTCTATGTGATGAAAATATAAATTCTTTCTCGGTTTATTCAACAGAAAACAACTACTTTCCTGGCTATATGCCACGACGAACATTGAATTACATCTATTGAACATACACGATAAGAATTTGAAAACAAAATCCTCTGAAGTAGAGAATTTGCATTCTCCTACATATAAAGGTGTGTTCAAAAAACTCTGTTGCCATGGTAATGTGTTTAAGAAATTGTGTTGCCATGGTATTCTGAATAAATCCGTGATTAATCGATCATTTGAATGCCATTCAATAGTTATGTGAGTAGAAAAAGGTATCAATATGAAATTACTAATAATTATTTCGCTATTTTGTGAACATATTAGGCCAAATTTGTAAAAATTATTCAAATATTCTTCATACTTTCATTGAAATTTTCATTTTACAGCCTGCAAATCTTATGTGAAACCACACGGCGAATAAAATAAGTGAAAAAACGTCAACAAAAACGGAGAAATTTCAAAATGTAATCAAATTCTATCTGTTTCGATAGACAATAGAATTCGTAAAAATGGGAAGAAAAGTCCATGTAAACTTGTATATTTCGGAGTCTCGTTTTCGAGATACAAGATGTTGAAGTTTTTAAAAACAATAGGTTTTTATTCATTTATTCACATTTCAAAACTTTCTCAGCAGATTTTCGTTAAATTCAACAGATTTGTTTGTAAATACAAACAAAAATTTATATAGCTAATCCAGGACTAGAAATGGCGATTCAAAATGTCGATGAATTTAATCATCGAAAACCCAAAAATATTTTTTTTCTGTGACGGGAAATGAGTTTGGCATTTCATCTCTGTTGGCAGGTTATAAAATGTTACTTTTCATAAATTACTTTTTTCCCGGATATATATCACATATACAGTATGATGCAAATGTATGGAATAAATTCATTATTTCAGAAATGAGCGACATTTGAAAAAAATCCAAAAACACGTGAGTTTTAATTTCTGAAGACTCATCTTATGATATTCATATGAGAGATGTTACGTCACCGGTGTTGGAGTAAAGACGTAATGGACGATTTTTTCAAATACAAATAGGGGTCATGTGACACCTTGATTGAAAGGTCTACCGATCGTCTATTCAACAGTCAAAATGTTGCATAAGAAGATTGAAATTAAAATGGATTATCATGTGATTAATTGAATCTTGCAGAGGTCTGCTACTGAGAATTGAACATCGAAGGGTCGTCTAGTTAAAAAAATACGTCGAAAAAAAAGTTCTAAACTCTAGTTTTTGGTTTTTTTTCGAAAGTCGTCTTGTTTTGAAATGAATTTATTCCATACATTTGCATCATACTGTATATACACTGTTGATGGCTTTTGTTGTGCTATAGTTCCGAAAAATGAGTCAATAATACCGTCTTCGAGAAAGAACTGCAAGTCCTTTTATCTTCCATTCGACTTCGCGGTTTCGTATATTACTAAACAACTACTGAATTCGCAATTTTTTGAAATCAAATCACAGAATTAGACTGACAGAAATGACATCAGATATTTGATTACTTCAAAAGAATGATAAAGATGCCTACAACGCAGGTGTTCCTACTGTTAAAAACTTAAAATTTCATGTCGATAATTTTTAGATTTCAAAATAATGTAATATCTTCTTTATATTGATTTGTCCTGTCTTCTGTTACAGAAAAAAATATTAGATTCTAGCTCACGGTTATTTGTCTCACCTCCCGATGTCTCAACATATAACTACAGTGGAATAATTAATTCAACAACGAAGCGAAACAAGATACAGCCATTCGGAAGACCATAAAATCCATGCCACATTGCAAGCGAAACACAAAAGAAAAAAAAAGATGTGCAACCAGCAGGAACTAAATAATAAGCATAACGAAAACAAAGAATGCATTATTCGAAAACAATGTTAGAACACACAAGTACAAAAATCAACAAACATTTTAATCGAATTCACCTCAAATCTAATAATTTCTAAACTTTTGTGGGATAAAATACTTGAACAAACACGAAATGTACCAAGTTTTGGGCCTCTCGAGTGGGTGGAATGAAATAATCAACAGGAAACTCACCGACAGGGTGTTTCTTGTTCTCGTCGACTCTCGGAAACATTTGTTTGTTTCCATAGTGTCACTTTTATAGCCCCCGTGAAACCCTAAATATAAATTTACCCCAAACTTCCAAAGAATAAATGATCGATCGACCAGATAAGATACCTTTTTTCACCGAGTTCCACCCCAGTAGTTTTCCAATAATAACCTATATACAGGGTGTCCTGGAGCTTTAAGGCCAGCAGATATAAGTATGGGTTATATGAAACAAATTCAAAACAAATTGAAAGTAAAAAAAAAAGTTTAATAAAAAGCAATTATTCAAATGTTCCTTTATAATTTCAACTATCAACTTATAACCTCATCATTATACACAATTCATATGATCATAAAAGCTTGTCGCACGATTTACTTATGTGGATAAACCAGTACTAATTTAATTTTATAAAATCTGCTGAGTTTAAATTTTTAGAATTTCAATTTAATTAAATATTGATTTTTGTATGTTAGCTAACCAAGGTATATGCTATCCTAAAAGCTCTGGGACACCCGGTATACAGGGTGCTCATACCTATTTCAGCATGAGTATAACGATCAACATTCTATAAGACTGTTTTTTTTTTATTAGACTCCACAAGGCATAGTTCATATTGCCACTTTCTTTAATGATCAATGACCTACAATATTAATGGTTTTTCGATTGTTTTGTGATCTCATCGTAGGTAGGAGAAAAAAATGAACGAATGACATTCCGAGAGAGTCAAGGAAGCATTAAAACGGAACTGTATTCAATCAGTGGAAAATTGGTCATCTAAAACAATGACAATTAAGAATGAAACTGTGAAATATCATACTTAGTATTATTCAAAAAGACATACTTCACACCGAGCTTCACACTTGACGCAATTGAAATAATTAAATTCAACACACTCAATTAACATTAACTCCAATTACGCTGATAATTGCTTTATTTGATTTTATAATGTTACAGGTACAATTATTATAATACAGAGCCAGTAAGGTGGTTATAAACCTACATTTTCCTTACCTAAAAAATGGAAAATTAATTTATTCTCGAAGTTTGGGTATTATTACTTCTAACCCCTCTTAGGTTGAGACATAGATCTGGTTGGTAAGCTTTGTCAACAGAACTACCATTCTATGACAACAAAACATAGATTTTGATTCTGATTCATTATCTCGATCCGCCCCTGTATTTTATTCTCAAATTACGAAATAGTTCGCCTTGGTCGACCTACTTCACATCCTGTATAATCATTTTCTTTTACAATTATTTCGACAAATGTTTTTCCAATTACCGAGGAGTACTTATTGAAGATGAAAAGTTTCATAGCACTCAAACCCAAATTGGATAATTTCGGTTTAATTTACTGCTCCGATGAAAACAGCAGCGAGTCTAAATGGGCCCCTTTTTTTCTTAAGTCAATACGAACGATATATACTAACAGCTCGTGTTTCCTATTATTGAAATGATTGTATACGCAACTTCAGAAGATCGTTGTAAACATTCAGCACCATAAAAAAGAAACAAGAACCATGTGGTGAATCGTATAATGAAAAACATACGAGAAACCATTGATTTTTTTCTAGTCTACATATCTAGTGACTATTTCGAGGAGATTGTAGCAAAAATATACCTTTTCGTCAATTTGGCGACTTTCATTATGGTGGATTCAAGCAAACATTTTATTCACAAGTTTTAACTAATAAGTCATGATAAAATTAAGTAATCGATTTTCAGTTGTCTTTGTCATAAGACTTGAGTTGTAGCGTTGATTGATATAAGCGTAATATATCAATCAACGGTTGTAGTCTTAAGCTATCAAGAAAAGCTGCCAATCATTTATCTCTAAAGAATAAAATCTCATGACTAATTCACTTTGCGCATGTGTCATACTCTATCTTCAGGTTTATTTATATTTATTTTCATTAAATCATTTCAAAATTAGTACTAATTCATGAAGAACATAACAAAACTTTGGCATATATGTATCAATACCCAATATTCATGGAAAAGGAAGCTCACAATTTTTTCTATAAACGAAGCATTGAATGAGACTTAAATTATGGTAGAATCAGTTTTATTTCGTGATTGAACTTCTTTCAGAAAGTGATTCTGCGAGTTTTTTTTATGTTCTGGTTCTCACGAAAAGGGATATCCTGTAATGTTCAGAGAACAACCAAGAGAAATAAGGTAGGAATTGGTGTTCTTCTTGAATTTCTGGAAGTTATATGCCTCGGGGAACACCTCCCTTGGCAATATGTTCCAGAGCCTCGCTGTTCGTTGGATGAACGAGTCTTTGGAAAGAGATGTTCTGCAGGTCTCCAAAGTGACCACGAAGAGGTGCGAAGCCTCAACTCGACGGGTTAATCTCGCGGGGACTGCCAAGGGAGGAACAATTTTTGATATTTCAGAAGGGCATCGTCCATGAAAATATCTATAAAATAGAGCCAGATCGCCAACTTTTCTACGGTGTCCCAGAGAAGTGAGTGAGTTTGTGAGCGAGGCACGAGACGAATTGCCCTTTTTTGGATAGAATCCAACAATTTCAGGGTATGTTTGGGTGCTGCACTCCAAATATGGGAACAGTATTTCAGGACAGGTCGGATCTGTGCCTTATAGATCATGAGCAGCTGACTGGAAGTGAAATAGCTCCTGGCTCGAAACAGAAAACCAAGTTCTTGGGATGCACTTTTAGCAATTGATCTCACGTGATTTTCCCAAGAAAGGTTATTGCTGATAGTAATACCAAGCATCGAAATGGCTTCACAGGTATGGTTACTCCTGAAAAGGCATGTTTGTTTTATGTTTGCATTGAATTCTACCACGTTATTGTGGTTCTGCTAGCTTTATCCCAGTCAGCACAGTATATTCTATGAATGCTCTCACAACGTTCACAACATACCTACTTCAGAATATTCCGAAGAATGTTCATAGAATATGATGACGATATTCTATATGTTCTCAGAATGTCTCACGAGAATATTTATGAAACATTTCATCTAAATATCCAAGGAACGTTCCTAGAATATTTCATTACATCCTATGAAATAGTATGAATGTTATTCAGGAATGATCATAGAATATATTTTTCGTATATTCTAGGTATGTATGTTCTTGGAATTATTTAATTACCTACGATACCTACTCTGAGAGAGAAAAATGTTTGTTTGTTTTAAACATATGTCTCAACTTGCTTCCTTTGTGAGATACAGGGAGTCAAAATTTTCAGAAAAAATCGATTAATTGATTATTCAAAATCCTTTTCGCTGATTCTGATATAAAACTTCAAATTCACCGCTATTTTCTTCAATTACTTTCTTTCTACCCCTTAGGGATGATGAAACTAAATATGCTTTCACACAGCGTGATATTCGTGATGCATCCGTGTATGTTATCTGTATAAATGTATATTTGAACTGTAACAAATTATGGGTGATGATTTTTTCAAGTGTGTGAAATATATAATGGTCAGTAGTCCACCGATATCGATCCCTGAAATATTTTCCTTGCTCTTTGAGATACCCTGTATACTGAGATTATTCCTTGAACAATTTGAAGATGTTCTATATATACTTAGAATGTTCTGAAAAATATCAAGAGAACGTTCCTGGAACGTGAATTTTCGTCCCATTTACATGCTCTTAGAATATCCTCGGAACGTTCAGTGGACCTTGTGAGGAAATTCAGAGAATATTCGGAATGTTCCAGAGAAATATTCTAAGAACGTTCTCAGAATCGCTTTGTACTTTCTAGGATAGTAAACTAACAGAACATGCGTTTTTTTTTTAAATAAATCGAAGCGAAAACTTTCAAATGGCATATTTTTCCAGAACAAATATTTTGCATTTTAAATGTAATCTTGTAATCTAACATATGATTTCAGTGCAATGTATAGAATCATTGTAAATTTTCCCATGGAAAATTTCCTGACGGTTGGCTGTTTGAATTTCAAGAAAACAAAATATAAAAAGAAAAGTTCGGCCAGGATTTTTCGAACACCGCCCGTTGTGACTTATGGTGACACCTAATATTAGGAATATCGTGCATGGTACAAATATAGCCATGCACCAAATTTCGAGTTTTCATTCCAACTACCTACGAGTAGGAACTGTAGGAATTCCTGTATAGTCATTCAACTTTTTTATGGAAAGATCACAAAGATTAGCTACGAGAGATGTTAGATGTTATGACAAAGAAGCGTGAATTCATAAAAAATTAGAACACGCTCATGGGTATTGGTACACGCGCGTGCACAAAAATCTAACCTTTTTATCCACTTCGATATGAATTTGTTCAGCCTGCGCTTCTTACCCATCTCACAACAATAAATGATTCTTTCTATGAAAGTATTTTTTCGCGAAAACGTGAACACTTCGTTTCAACTCACTTATAATGAGTCGCAGCTTCTACTGAACTGCTAACTGCACCAGATTTAGAGCATGCAGACACTTGGAATTCCCTTTAGATTTATTTTTAGATTACCCTATAACTAAGTATCCAGAGAGCGACGCTGATTCGACAGAGTTGCAATTTGGAAAAGGAAAACGAAAAGAAAAAATACTGGTGGGAAAGCGGGTAAACTAATCGATGGGAAAAATCTACATGAAAATATGAATATATTACCAGTAGTAATACTAATATAAGTACTTCAAAATATTCGGGTTATCCAACGATAACTCCTTGCAAAATTACGAAGAGTGTGTCAGTTTGACAGTTGAAATAATCCGACCGCGAAGCGGGAGGATTATTATGTTGTTCTTCATAGTATCAAACCCCCATATGCATATTTACATATGATTCCTAAAAGGGGTTTAAAAAAACAGGCACATCTAAACGATGTATTATGTATGTATTCATTATTTACTCGGAAACGGTGAGTTCGACATAATAGTTATTTATGTAATAAGGATCATAAAGACGATCATTATGGTACAAGTCGTGAATGTTAGCCGAGTCCGATAACACGGCGTGTGCCATAATGATTGTTTATGATTCGTATTACATACAAAATTTTATCTGATGGCATTTATATCAATTCATTTTCGAAAAATTAAAAACTGCATTTTCGACATGTCACAATGACAATATTTTTAAAGGAGTAAGTATTGTGTAGTTTCAAATATTAGTAGGTGAGTGAGCTGTGCTTTGCCATTATATTAATATTACAAATTGTAGTAATTGTTCTTTTACCATTTATAATAAATATAGTTTTGCACATAGTTATGCATTTTGAATAAACTTTTTTGATCAAACCATTACATGTTTTCCTTATAGAATTTCATTATGGTACTTAGTACCATAATGAGCTTCCTTATGTCATCAAAATTGAGTGACATAACGTTGTCATTATGACATGCCATCAGATAAAATAGTATATCTTATTTTTTCTTTCAAATAATGATTTGTTACCTACTGGTACTTGCAGTTAATTTGAATTTTACTATTTTTTCGAGGCTGAAAATGAAAAAAAATTAAGACAATCCTGTTGATTCGGATTGAGGTGATTTTTTGCATATGGAGATTCGAAAGCATGAGGAATATGAAGGTAGTTTTCCTCCAAGAAAAAATCGCCCACTTTTCATTTGAAAAAAAAGAACGGCCCAGTCCAAAAGGATGTTGGTCTCTGAAAAACTTATCATATTGATGGTTATTCGTACGAATCGCACGACTATACAGGGTGTGCCTAGACCAGTGGGACAGTTAAAAATCTTCTGAACCAATAGGAATTTTCGAAATATTATAATTCCATATCATATTCATAGAATTCTCAGTTTCAGTCGGAATTCCACACCACCCTGTATTTGTTTCAATTAAATACGAGTAAATAGTAAATCAAAAGTTAAGATATGGACATGTAAGCCGTTTTGACCAATAATGAATAGTTTTGACACAAAAAATTCCCAAAAATGAAAAATTTCGATTTTCCACACCCTATATCTCGGGAATCATTCCCGCTAGAGCCCAAGTGTGCTAGGTCGTTGAATTCAGCTCTTCAAGGAGATTATGGAAATGCAATGAAATACAGGGTGTTCCATTTGAAAAAATTGATGTTCGATTTTGTGAGCCTTTCTTGCGCCCCTCGTAGAAAATATAGTCATTCCTGAAGTTAGCACTCATAATGCGATATGATGTGGAATTATAATATTTCGAAAATTCCTATTGGTTCAGGAGATATTCCACTGTCCCACTGGTCTAGGGACACCCTGTATATTATGTTTCATGAATGAATGCTGATGATTTCCAGGATATTTTTTTCAGAGATATTGAAAAAAAAAAGAATTTTCATGGAAAACTTCAACTTGTACCTCAAAAATAAAGCAGTTGCGGATTAGCGATCATTTATGAATTTAATAAGCCAAAATACCGAACATACGTACCTACTTGCCAAAACATTTTTGCATTCTTGAAGTTGATGTTCAACTGTATTTCCAATGATATTCACTAAATGACTTGAATTAGTCGAAATAAGAAGAGTTTTTTTTCACAACGTCTCTGACTCTCTGACACAATCGACGCAATTCAACACAACAATTTGACGAATGACGGGCCATAACCCATAAATTATCATTATTTCTTTTCATTTCAAACGAATCGACCTACATTCTTTTCAGTACAACCCGAGGTACAACCATAAAGAACCGTTCAACACTGCTATTATACAAGTGTTATAGTCGTGGTACGCGAGTATAAAATATATACATTTTTATTCATGATGTATCCCACGACAAGAAAAAAAAAGGGAAATTACTATCAATGACATTTAAAAATAATGCAAGAATGTGTTTCAAGTGCTTTGCATAACAGTTGCATTGTTTTCTCGCTATTGTTAGGCCTATTGGATGATCGAGTGGAGGATATTGTACCTGCTTCAGACTTTAGAAAGTAAATGAAATAATTAGTATACCTACACCTACCTACCGAATATGGAGAATAACAATTATTGTTTTAACACTGGTAAAAAAATATCAAAAAAGTTAACCAAGACACTGAGATTTGAGACCGTCGAAGAATGGTAGGTACCTAAACTTTTTTTTTATTCACCATAATATCGGTTCTTATACTTTCTCTACAAATCAATCATTCTTCTGAATAAATTTTTTTGCACTTTCGGGTGTGAAGTAGGTTGGTGTGAGAAATTCTTCTCAAGGATACAATTTTACCGTAAATAAACACAAATTCTTCTAGTCATACCGTATGATGAACCGTAAGGCTACAACAGGTAGGCGTAGACAGAAGTGCATTTTCTTATGTATTCACCTGATTAAACACCAGTTTCTACGAAAGCGTCCAGAAGACGCATCTATTCAATATTCTCAAAAGGCACACATTTATTTAGTATATTCTCACTATGCCCAAGCCCACCACATTTGAAAGATTCTTATCAGGCTCACATTTAGTATATTTCCACAAAGCCCACCTTATTGATGCCCATATTTGATAAATTCTCATTAGGCCCATGAGGTACTCATGAATTTGTACAGTTATACAGGGTGTTGCGAAATTCCACCGACAACGCTTGACAGGTGATAGCCCTCGTGATTTCATAATCACTGAGATACAGGGCGTTAAAGTTGAGAAATAATAATATCTCAAGAAAAATTGCTTATACTGCATTCAACTTCGGTATATGGTTTAATCTTTGAATGGGTAATTTTTTGACCAGGAAGCCATTCCGGACATTTTATCCGGTGGTGCCTTACAGGGGGTTGTGGCAACTTTTCCTCCCATAGTTTCTACGCCACTGATTAAATTTCAATTATTTCCAATTCCACGAATTCATTGTTCAATTTTGTTCCAAAAATTCATCACCTTCAACTGAGCTGAAATGAACAGTTTTCGAGATATTCGACCCAAAATAGAAGATTGCATAGTAATATATCAACATTTTCATTTTTCAGTAGTAGAAAATTGCAAAAATATGTTTCTGGTGTTGAGTAGATTAGATACTATTCAGATATCATTCTGTAGCTGAACAGAAATAGTTATTCCACACATAACGAGACAACCAACATTTTTGTAATTTTCTACTACTGAGGAAGATGAAAAATAACTATGCAAACTTCTGTTTTGGGTCAAATATCTCGATAACCATTAATTTTAGCTCAGTTGAAGGTGATGCATTTTTTCAAAATAATTGAACAATCAATTCGAGAAATTGGAAATAATCGTAATTTCATCAGTGGCGTAGAAAATATGGGAGGAAAAGTTATCACAACCCTCTGTAGCGCACCTCTTGATAAAATTCTCAGAATGTCTTTCTGGTCAAAAAATTAACCATTGAAAGATGAAACCATATATTTGAATGCATTTATATTCTATTTTTCTTGAGATATTGCGAAAAAACTATTCTAATTTCTTAACTTCAACGCCCTGTATCTCGAGAACTAAACACTTGAAGACCGGATGTCCCTATCTCAGTGATTATGAAATCACGAGCGAGTCAAGCGGTGTCGGTCAAATTTCGCAACACCCTGTATATTTACCGAGATATTTACCTACATCAACAAATAAAAACCTCATATAGGTAGAATAGGTTTTTCAAATGATTTTGTACATTTTGTCTATTAATTTCATCCAATAATGTCAATTCATAAAGGGGATTGGACGAAATATTAAAAAAAAAATAAAGACAAAATGCCCATCCTGGTGATCCTGACCCCTAAGCTTATTCCTGACTGAGTGCCTGCACAAACACGAAGTTCTCGCTTAATCTATATAGATAGGCCCCCTCGATTATACTGCACTTAATAATGGTAATAATTTGAACCTGTCTGCATTGTAATGATTCATCATTCATCATTCATTCTCTTAATGTTATCACACACCTCTCATTCTCATGTTGGAAGAAATTGAGGTGTACCGTATATTATGATAATAAGATCGCATGGCGTTAAATTCGCTTCAACAAGCAATGATGCTGTTGTTAATTCATAAATTCGATAAAAAGTTATCAGTCTTTATTATTTTTCATGCCAATTTGTCCTAGATATTCAAGAATGTCATGCAAATCAAAGGAAACAGAGGTCTAGCGTAAATATATCTAGCAAAAAATCAACACACTTGGAGGACCCACAAAAAACACGAGCAAATCGTTAATAATTAGAAGTATTGCAAAAACTACGAGCAGATTTGAAAAAACATGAAACCCTGTCATGGTTTATCACGTCAAAGTACAGGTAAAAGTGAAAAAATATCTACTTACCGTTTCCCAGCTTGAAATTTGTAGATCTGCCTGGTCACTGAATATTTACGAACATTCTACGGCTTTCCATGAAATTAATGTCGAATCTTTGTTCGAAATAAAAATTTAAGCGCACTGCCTACACATCAAAACTACGGACGCAGACATATTAGATTTTAATTTTATATTTGACAGAAAAACAAACAAGGTCGGTAATGAAGAAACCCTTGTGATGCACCGTTGCCAAAGTCTCTACCAATGTGGGTAGACTGTAGAGATTCTGTAGAGGAACCACAGAACTCATATATTATTATTATAATATATGAGTTCTGTGAGAGGAACAGAGGAACGCTGAGATGTAATGCAATTTAGGAAACTGGATGAACAATATAATATTGGATGTTAAAATGTGACAACAGCGCTAGCGCTTCAGTGTTCTCTTCTTCTTCTATTATTTTCGACTCGAGGTCTGACTAGCATGTACCCAAATAGTCAATTCCACTTACATCACTAGACACACCAGACAGTAACTTTTATGTTGAGTTGAACTAATTCTAGTGGGGATTTGGGGAATGCTGATCAGTTTCAAAATTTGAATTTATATCGCACAAAATGTCCCAAGAAGAAACTGATATAACTTTGAACCCTTATTTCTCAGCCATTGAGTGGTAAATGGTGGTAAATATCCCAAAATTTCCCTATTATGACTATTGCTATCATTTTTTCAGTTTTGAAAACTTGGAATCCCTTTTCCACAAACAAATTGTTGATTTTTCCAAGATTAAACATGAACTACAGAACTCCTATAATAAAATTGAAACTATAATGATTACCGAAGATTTGAATTGTCCCTTTTTTGTGAGTAGAAGTAGCAGAAGCAGGTTTTGATTTAATATTCATATCATATTCAAAATGACAATAATTATTGAAATGTATATAATTTCTTAAAACCATTCTTGGATATCGAAATTTCCAAGATTGCAATTGAAATCTCGTAAATTTTCAGGTAGATTTATTTCAGTTGAAAGCACAAATCATAGAACTAATCAAATTAGTGGAGACCAAAATGAAACCGCCCCAATTGAACCCGCACCAGCCTGACATCCCAAAAAAATCACACCAAAACAAGCAGGACACCGAAAAACTCCTAAACTTTGTCGAGAGCACCATCGAAACCCCAAGAATAAATGGTCTCACAGAAATAGCGGGGCTCTGGGAGGCCAAAAAACTCTTGAAGTCACTGTTAGTACTCCCCAGAAGTCAACCTCAGCTGTTCATGAATCGAAAAGCTTCAAACAGCGTTCTGCTTTTTGGTCCCCCTGGTACAGGCAAAACTCACCTAGTGCATGCGTTGGCTTACGAGTCACGAGCTGTCTTGCATTGCGTCAGTGCAGGGAATATTGTGTCTCCCCTTATAGGACAATCAGAGAAGTAAGAAAGTTCTGAAGGAATTAATAAATAAGTAGGGAAAGTGGTCGCTTATTATTCATGAATACTCTCCTGAAAATTTTCAAATAATGCACCATAAGTCATATTGATACTAAAAATATTAGCATTACCGAAGGCGAGTGGAGTAATTTTTTTATTTCTTAAATATAATCACTCAAATACCTTTGGAATCCATATTTTTTTCAGAATTTGTTGGTCGATTTTTAGGTGCTAAAATCATCAATAATGCCACAGTAATTTTCAAACTGATAGAAATTAACCACAAGTAAAAACTGACGTCACGATTTCATAAGTAGGGGCAGACCATAGCACTGTTGCCATGTGTTGAAATACGGTTGGGACCTTCAGAAATATTGATTTATTATTCAAACATTCATAAATTCTCAATTATGTATTGGTAATATTCCTATTTAACAATATAAAATCAATTCTCAAAATGTTCCATCATGATTTGTGGCTAATGGGGAAGACCACTGAGGGAAGAAATCCGTGCAAACCTCTTTCAATCGACGAATCATGATCTACGTTTTATGTACAATCAATATTACGAGTTGAAGTTGAAGGGAATCGAATCTATATCGTTTTAAAATCAGCATATTTCATTCGATATTTAAAAAAGCTAAATATGATGGTGAAGCCGTGACGTATCAGTCCCGAACTGTAGCTATCCCTCTCTGATACATCGTCATTCTGCAGTGTTGCAGTGTGATTGGTCAGTTCAAGGGCAATAGGCGTGTTGGGACTGAGACGTCGCACCAGTCACACCAATGAATTGACAAAAATTCAAATGGCGCAGGAGTTGTGCGTTTTGAAATGGACATATTTTAATTTATTTATTTCTTCTTCTTAGCATGACTGAAAAAATTCAAAATTAATTCAGTGATAGTTTTTCAGTATAGAGTTCACAATAATGTCATTTCAAAAAATCAGTGGTCTCCCCCATTGCTTCAATACATTTGAAGCGGTGACTTGTGGGCGTGGTCTTGTCCCTTCTCAGCATTCAGCACAATGTTGCCAAGTCTCCAACATTTACATGATATTTTTTTATAGAGTATCAGAAATATTTGGACATGCTGTTTGCTTGAAAAAGTCAAGAATGAACTATAATATCATGGGTGCCTCCTATTATGTTTTCTTCAACAACAGGACTCTTAACAACTTTTTGATAACTTGATTATAATTGGTGACTTGACAACCTTGCTTCGTGAGTGGGAATGGAAGATTATCTGACCAATCTGTTGAATAATGAATAATGACTGTAGCTTATTGATACTTTAGCAATGTATGTTTTTTTTTATATGAATAAATGAATCTGACGTCACCATTCATTCGACGTATCGCCAAATGATTCAACAATTTCGGACAACGCATACACTTATTATTTTCATCAAAAAGGCGTGTGAAGTGTTGCTAAAATTAATTTAGGTCCCTATAACGACACAGAGTGAAGTAATTGAATGCCAATAATTCATTATACAGGGTGTCCCACTTACCATGCTCCCATGGGTATCTTTTTTACGGTGAGAGATACGAGGTCGGTTAAATGACACCAAATGTGGAGTTTGTCAAGGCCAACTATAATGTGAAAAATATTTTGATAAAATCTATTCGTTTTTGTTATATATGCAAAAAACAGATTTTGATCATTTCCATGTCTCCTCCATAACTTCTTTATTTATGAAAATATTCAAATAGTAATTTCACATTCTTATAGCAGTTCTTCAAAGTGATTTCGAAAAAAATATGAAATTTATACCAACTCTTCTAGAATTTGAGATATCAGCACCAACTTTGGTTTTTCGAATGTAGGTCATAGCTCACTATGACTTAGTTACGAATAACTTTTTTTTCTCTTACAGATGATATGTCGCAGTAATAGTTTTGTGTTGATAACAACGGAGTTATCGTCATTTATACAAAAACAAAAAATTATTTGGAAGCCGCCATCTTGAATTTATAAATTTTAACAAAAAAACATGATCTCCGACCGCAAAAACTCCCACTTACCAATTTTGAATGGTATCGGAGCAAATCTTGTCTGCCATCTTGGAGCAGCCATTTTTTTTTAATTTCAACAAAAATTCCATAATGTATTGTCACCGAAATTATGAACATCTGCCAAATTTCAAGTTAATCGGAGTTATGGAATTTTTGTTGAAATTAAAAAAAATGGCTGCTCCAAGATGGCGGACAAGATTTGGTCCGATTCTATTCAAAATTGATAAGTGGGGGTTTTTGAGGTCGGAAATCATGATTTTCTTGTTAAAATTTATAAATTCAAGATGGCGGCTTCCAAATCATTTTTTGTTTTTGTATAAATGACGATAACTCCGTTGTTATCAACACAAAACCATCAAAACTATTACTGCGACATATCATCTGTTAGAGAAAAAAAAGTTATTTTTAACTAAGTCATAGTGAGCTATGACCTACATTTGAAAAACTAAAGTTGGTGCTGATATCTCAAATTCTAGAAGAGTTGGTATGAATATCATATTTTTTTAGAATTCACTTTGAAAAACTTCCATGAGAATGTGAAATTCCTATCTGAATATTTTCATAAATAAAGAAGTTACGGAGGAGACATGAAAATGATCAAAATCTGTTTTTTGCGTATAAAACAAAAACGAATAGATTTCATCAAAATATTTTTTCACATTATAGTTGGCCTTGACAAAGTCCACATTTGGTGTCATTTAACCGACCACGTATCTCTCACCGTTAAAAAGATACCCATGGTGAGCATGGTAAGTGGGACACACTGTATATAAGTCCACTCGCACATTGTTGTGGCGTTTTTTCACAGGTTTTAGTTCGAATTAATGTCATCAATTTAAAGGTGGCTGTTTGTACACCTCTTTTTCGCACCCTTACATAGATCACCTTGTATTGTAGGAATGTACAGTTTTTGTTCAATCACTTGAGAAGCAGTAGCAATTTTTCAATGTTGTTTATTGATGAGGTGGACGGTTTTTGCAAAAGAAGGACAGACTCAGAACACGAGCATTCTCGAAGGTAATATACAAGGTGATATATGAATTTGTGTCTCACATAATTTGCATTTTCTAAATATAGGATGAAGACTGAACTGATGTGCCAAATCAGCAGAATGGAAGAAAACTCCAACATGTTTCTGATTTGCGCTACCAATTGTCCTTGGGATTTGGACCCCGCCTTTCTGAGAAGGTTTCAAAAACGGGTATATGTCCCCCTGCCGAATAGATCGGAAAGACATGATCTTTTCAGATTGTTTACAAAACACAATGACATTGAGATCAGTTCTAATCATTGGGAGTATCTCATCGATAAAACTGAGGGGTTTTCTGGGTCTGATATTTCTGATCTCATACAACAGGTAAAAAAATATGGTCAATGAACATGAATTTTTGGAAATAATTCATTTCATTCTTGATTTTGTAACATACAGTGTGTTACAATTTGGTCCATTGTGTTTGAATTTTTTTTTGCTGGACTATACAGGGTGTTTCATTATTAATTGGAAATATTTCAACCGCAGAATCCCGAACTCAAAATATGAAGATTTAACCCAATCACCTAGATAAAATATGTCTCCTGTCTGAGTTACAAGGTGTTTTATTCAAAAATTTTGAAATGATTTTGGCCCAGTTCTTCAAAACTATTTGACGTATCACTTTCATATTTGGAGGGAAGTGTAGGTATTATACATCCAACTGAATTATGTGAAATGAAATTTTCTAGTTATTACCAGAGGCGTGCGACAGGGGCAAGTGACTGGTTGATCCTTCCCAAATTCTACGCCACTGGCGGAATTGCAATTTTATCAGAATTTTTCGATTCTTCAATACCTTCTTCGTAAATATTGTACTCTTTCTTCATAGCGCGATAAAGTCATTATTTTTCGAGATATTTCAAGTTAAACGTGAAGCAGCACAATTATTTTGATTTTAATGTGTATCAATAATGTCGATATTTTGGATCAATGGACTGCATTCATCAATCAAATGAAACTTCAATCCATATTAACATAAAAACATAACAGACGGGAGCTGTTACAGGGTGTTTTAATTTTTTTAATATATTACATAATTAAACACCCTGTAACAGCTCCTGTCTGTTATGTAATTATGTTTTTATTGTTAATATGGATTGAAGTTTCATTTTATCGATGAATACAACCCATTGATCCAAAATATTGACAAAATTAATGCACATTGAAATCAAAATGATTGTGCAGATTTATGTTTAACTTGAAATATCTCGAAAAATAATGACTTTATCGCCATGGAGAAATAGTACAATATCTACGTCAAAATTGTTGGAGAATCGAAAATTTGTGATAGAATTGCAATTCCGCCAGTGGCGTAGAATTTGGGAGGGATCAACCATTCAATTGCCCCTGTCGTACGCCTCTGGTAACAGCTAGAAAGGTTCATTTGACATAATTCAGTTAAGTGTATAATACCTACACTTCCCTCCAAATATGAAAGTGATACGTCAAATAGTTTCGAAGAACTGGGTAAAAAACATTTCAAAATTTTTGAATAAAACACCCTGTAACTCAGACAGGAGGTGATTTGGGTTAAATCTTCATATTTTGAGTTCGGGATTCTATGGTTGGAATATTTCCAATTAGAAATGAAACACCCTGTAAGTAGATAATTTTGAGTAGCATATTATAAGGGAAACAATTTTTAGATAGCCCTAGGAATACAAAAGTACAGGGATGGGGTGGACCAAATTGTAACACACTGTATGTTACAGAATCAAAAATGAAATGAATTATTTTCAAAATTTCATGTTCTGTGTATAAATTGATAATCAAGAAGTGGAATAAGAGACCGACATATATCGGGTGGTCACGAAAAAACCGGAAGTTTTTATTTTCCTCGTGGTTTCATCATTTCTCAACCGATTTCGAATTTCTTGGCGTCGTTTCATAGCTAAAGGGCTATAGTATACAGTGAAATATTTGAAAATATCATGATAAACAAAAACAAAATGGCGGATTCTACCAAAGTATTGTTATTTACAAAAACCGCTGGTGAAAAATAAAATCAGATTTTTTTCAACCTGTACCGATGTCATCTTAGGCTATTCATTTCTGAAGAGAATGAATACTCGAACTTCGAAATCGAACAAATAGTCCAGTAGATAGACTCTTTTCTTTGCGATTTGTTATGGAGTGAATGTGCTAATCTCGTATAAACGATTATTATTATTTTGTTTCGGGCTTCATGAAAATTCAATCGAATTTGGATTTCTGAGAGTTATTCCAAAGATAAAAACCTGTAGTACACAATGGAACATTTGAAAATCCAATAACTGAAAGAAACAAAATGGTGGAGAATCCAGAATTTTTGTGATTTTCAAAAATCTCAGGCGAATAAAAAAATGTTTATTCTTCCAATCGGGACCGATACAATTTTCGATCATTGATTTCTAATAGTCGGTCAAGTTTCATACCGAACAGGCATGAAAGGGAGAACAGTTAAGGATATTATTAGAAAAGATTAGATTTTAGTCTTGAAACTTTGAAGAAATCGTATACACTTTTAATGTTAGCGAACAAAACAAGAATCAAAGAAAGCAACGTTGCCGAAATTTATTGAATAGTTTCCGGCTGTAAATCACGGAAGTTAGGATTACTCCACCATTTCGTTTTTTTTTTCAATTATGAAATTTTCAGATGTTCCACTGTGTACTACAGCTATTCAGCTTTGGAATGGCATTAAGAAATCCAAATTCGATTGAATTCTGATAAAGCCAGAAGCAAACTAAAAGTAATTCTTATCACGGGATTGGCACATTCACTCCATAACACTTTGCCAAAAAGAACGTGTTTCTCCTGGACTAATTGTTCGATTCAGATCTTCGAATGCTCATTCTTTTTAGAAATCAATGATTTAAAAATGTATCGGTCCTGATTGGAAGAATGAACATTTTTTTATTCGTCAGAGATTTTTGAAAATCACAAAAATTCTGGATTTTTCACCATTTTGTTTTTTCAATTATTGGATTTTCAAATGTTCCATTGTGTACTACAGTTATTTATCTTTGAAATAACTCTAAGAAATCCAAATTCGATTGAATTTCCATGAAGCCTGAAGCAAAATAATAATAATCGTTTATACGAGATTAGCACATTCACTCCATAACAAATTGCAAAGAAATGAGTGTATCTACTGGACTATTTGTTCGATTTCGAAGTTCGAGAATTCATTCTCTTCAGAAATGAATTGCCTAAGATGACATCGGTACAGGTTGAAAAAAATCAGATTTTATTTTTCTCCAGCGGTTTTTGTAAATGACAATACTTTGGTAGAATCCGCCATTTTGTTTTTGTTTATCATGATATTTTCAAATATTTCACTGTATACTATAGCCCTTTAGCTATGAAACGACGCCAAGAAATTAGAATTCGGTTGAGAAATGAAGAAACCACGAGGAAAATAAAAACTTCCGTTTTTTTGTGACCACCCGATAGGTTGCAATACTTTATCGGGATACTTTTTTCTGGACTATTTCATTGCATATACCTACATGTTTTTAGGCACTGAACATTCCTATACTGGAATTGGAAGACACGAAGATATGGAAAAATTGCCCAGACGAATTTTATGAACCAGTCACGACGGCGGATGACTTTAATTTGGAAGAGATAATTTGCTGTGAACTTAGTGACCTACCTGCATGTTCTGTTAGAGCGAGAAAAGTGCAACCATTAGATCTCATAAATTGCTTAGATAGCATAACTGTGACAGTCAGCAAAGTTGATATCAAAAGATATGAAGTTTTCAATATGAAATAATGAAAACCATGACATTTTTTGATAAATTTGTTGTTTGTCTTCTAAATAAAACACAAATTATGGATAGCAAATCCGAAAAACTATCACAACATTACTTGTTTAAACACTCAATATTGTACTTGCTTCAGACGATTGAATAATTATAGGAATGGTAATGAAAGAACTTTATAATTGTTATACTTTTTTGTGTATTGTACCATTTTCAATGAAAAAGAAAAAACAAAAAACTAAATCGAATATTTAGATTTATACTATACAACACAACAGTTGGAACTTATTTTGGGAATGAAACATTGCAACTAAAACACAGCCAATAAGTACAGATAATCCAAATTAATGATGAAAATAAACAAACGTTTCACACTATTGGATAGAAATTTTCATCACACAAATTTCACACTAAAAAAGTTCCTAAAACATATTAACAATCGATCAATTATAAAAATCATATTTTCACTACAAGAAATATTTTTTTTTTGTAAAATAATCTCAATAATTTTGGTGACTAGGTGTATTTATACACCATGTCCAGGTATATATATGTTTTCTCAGCTACGCGAAATATTCATGTACCTACTTATCTTAGATGAGGTTATATTTTTAAGGCTTACATATTTCTGGTACAAAAAAGACAAAATAAATTTTAAAAACACGTACAATAATGGAAATGAAAAAAGTGATGTAGTCATTAGAGTTGAAAAATCCACCCGGATGTTTCATTATAATGATTAGCTTAGTGTCTTTGTAAAATGTTTGGTAACACAGACATTTTTGAATGATAAAAGTACGTTCATCTCACCAATCGCGAGTCAAAAAAACTCTTGCCGAATTTCCTATATGTATACCTTTGCTTAAGAACACTCATATTTACATACTGACCAGCAATTTTTTATAATACGAATATTATTATGTTCAACGCAAACTATTTAATTGTTTAAATATCGTTAATAATTAAATTCTGTGAGCTTCCAACATTTCTACTAACATTTTAGCACACCAATACTCTAATTCATCATACGAACCCAAATTCATCTTTGAAGTGTTTAGTATTTTTCAGCACCAGACTATTTCAGACTATAGGGTGTTTCACATAAACATCAAATGTAGTTATCATTTCTTAGTATTAAAAATGCCATCGAAAATACCGGAAGTTACGTTCTTGCCCATTCAAAATATTATTTCTTAACATAGTGAAATTTTTGAGGTACGTTTGCATTCAATTATTTGAAAACACTAAAAAAAGTCGAGGGACAAAAATGTTGCATTTCTAGTGGGTTGTTTATATGAATCATTGATGAAAACCGCAAAACCTATGTGATTATTTTTTTCGTAAAAAAACAACCTACCTGGATATTCTGAAGCAAACCTAATTGGCCTAGTAGTTGTCTTAGAATTACATGAATAAACCGTGAAATTTTCATTATAATGGGCTTAGACGCTTTTGAGCTATTAAAAAACTTGAGCAATTTAATACACTCAAAAAAGGTACTATCTTGGATACGAAGCATTTCCGGACCCACGTTCATAAGTACTTTTTTCCATATTTGTCAATCCAATTATGAAACACCCTGTATAACAGATTCACAGTCAACTCGTAAATGAACTGAACGAAAAACAAGAAAACAAATATTATTTTCTGGTCAGTTCAATTAAATCTCATATTCTTATTTCTTTACTAAAATAATGATCAACAATCCAACCACTCATGACTAAAAAAAAAATAGAAGAGTTGATAACATGTTCGGTGTAAAAATCAATATTCCTTCCAATCTCAATTTATGCATGTATAGACTAGCAGAAATATTTTTTTTTCAGATTTTTCATGTTTCTCACCGTAACAGATCTATGGCGTAACTAAATCCTCGCCTCAAGTTCAGTTGATTTTTACATAGGAATCCAACTATAGGGAATTTTCATTCATTCGGATTATTAAATGAATGAAAAAGGCTTTCAGCAGTTATTTGGTTGCCGACTTGAAATTGCACAAAAGCTTACATTTAATTCATTTTTTAAAATTACATTATTGATGAAAAAAATACTGTGGTTCCATACGTGAGCACAAACAAAGACACTATAGTTTTCAGTTAATTCCATTCGCATGGGGTGACCAACAGATCCACCCCTGTAGATCTCAAGCAATTCAAAAATAAATAGTTGAAATTTTGCATTATATGCTAATGGTATTTTGTCCGGACAATCTCTGCTGAATCGAAGAATAAGACAACTTCATTCTTTCTCCTATTTAGCCGTCAATGCTCCGAATTTTCAAATGCAACAATTTGTTATTTGTTCTAAATGAAAACCTAGTTAGTTTGCGAAATCGTCCTTATTGACTACATTTCAATAAGCTAGCGACCTCTATTCCAAACTGAGTTATTAATTTGTTATCATAACCCTAAAAAAATTTCAAATTCCAGTGGAGATCTACTTTTCTGTTAAGTTTATATTATCAAATTTCTCATACTCAAACATTTCAAATACTTACACAAATAAGAAAAGCAGGATGTATAAAGAAGAAACTGTTGTTTATGCAATAATAAAATTCTCGATTCATTGATGTTATCGACATTAAAGTAGGAACCGGAAACTCATCAGAGCTGTGATCAAACATTACTGTTCGCACTTCATTGAAATGATGACATTCAAGCTAAGAATAAAAGGGTTGTAATTGCTTATTTACCCTTGCATTGTTAATAACTCACTACATTATCTTCATTCGTGGGATATCAATTCATTATTATGAAATGAATAAACCTCAGAGAAATACTTTTACCTGATGTTACCGAAATCAAAGAAACAACAAACCAAGAACTAATTTGAAATAGAGTTCCTAAATGTACTTGACACTGCTGATTTTGACGTTTTTTGTATATCAGAGTACGGACACTATGACAAGCACTGACAATCAGACATAACCACAAATAAATTGATGGAAAAAGCGGGAACTGACAGTACACGGACGTACATGACATAAATTTCAAAGGTTTGACAAATTGAGAGAATAAGGAGAAAGATGCAAGTTTGTTAACGTGATTCTACAAAAATGGAAACAGAATATGATGCAGCCGGCATGGAATATAGGTTCAGGCCACAAAATTTGCGAGGTATTTGAATTTCTTGGTAGGAAGCTGAAGAATAGGATCGTATTGAGAGAAAGAGCAGAACCCACAATTTATAAACTGAGCGAGTATCAAAAAGAACCTTATTCCAAATTAGACTCTGGTTATTGCTTGTGATGGAATGATGGAGCAGAGATTACAATAGCCACCATGGAGATCATGGTCGATAATCTGATGATGAAATAGCAGCAATTTCCTGAATTGACTGACTCAAACTGATTCCACATCCCTGTGCAACCAAGAATTATTCTTTAGATCATCTTCCTATACGAACTCTTATAATAATTTTGTGAAAACATATAGTCACTTTGTGGAACTCTGATTGATGTACCAGATATTGATATATCTATATCAAAGAGTTGAATATATTGTTCGTGTATCACTTCTTCAAAGTTGAAATCCCAAGTCTGAATGTGCATGTTCATGCGTAGTTGAGAAGTGCTAGACGACTACATAGCTCCTAGTGGATTTTGAACCATTTCTAGGGTACCAAGATATGAGCAAGATATTATCTGAACACAGAACAAGAACGCTTAACGAGTGCACCATTAATGTTAGGTATTGAAAATGATCTTCCGATGGCCGGGTTCAAACCAACAATCCCCTTTAGCAATGTGAACGGCCATCTATAGTGAGTCGAGCGCTGAAGTCCATTTATACCTACTTCCGTATGTCTTGGAGAACCTATATTATTTATCCTAACTGAAATCAGCTGTTATTGTTGCCATATCATTTGTTTATTTATTAATTACTTATTACCACTCTTGTACAAGTGAAATTGAAATTTATCAGTTTTTACCCCATTCTGAACTTTTGTGATAAACAAATATTCAACTGAACGAATATATATACCTATGTATAAGAGACTAATTTCATAGAAATACTATATATATTTCGTTGATATATAATTATGTACCTACTAACTTGATATCGACCTCCATTGAGGTCCTTCAGCCTTATCATTCAATATTTCGAGAAGAAATAATTTTCTGATCAATTTATCGTACCCTTTTACCCACTCGAGGAGACGCTATGCACTCTCATACAAAAATCAATGACAGAGAAAGATATATGGATGTACTCTTCCCAGGACTTGTGGAGGATGGAAGATGCGAGGATCCTTTATCAAAGCGGAAAACATATTCTTGTCCTTGTCTCGCGAAACATATGATTTGCTTCAAAATCGTTTGGTAATGTTTGATTGACACTGCTTGTCTAGTGTCCGTACTCTAATATACAAAAAACGTCAAAACAGCAGTGTCAAGTACATTTAGGAACTCTAGTTTGTGGTAGATCCCAGACTGAGCACCCCTGATTGACAACGACAATGAACAAACACCACTCCGACCAACCTAGAAACTGCTGACGCTGTCTCCGTCCTGCTCCTCGCTTGTCCGCCCCGCAGCCGCAGGGGGCGGCTCCAGGTCGGGCGCGCTGCCCCACTCGCCCCGCCCCCTGCCGCCGCCCATCATGCGATCGTCGTAGAGCGAGAAGCGCGCCGAATCGGCGGCCGCCTTGCCGCGCGTGCGCCTCACCGAAGCCGGCACGTCGCCGGGCGTTTTGACGCGATGCGCGGGCGGCTTCAGGCGAGATAGGTCGCCCGTGGACGAGAACACCTGGAAGCAGTGTATTCTCAAGGTCTATCAACTTCTATAAGGTTCAGTGCCGGTTTATGCACTAGGCGCTTGGGGCGGCGCCCATGAGACAAAAATTCTTTGAAGTTTTGAAATAAAAAATTGTTAATTATTTTGCGAAAATAATCTTTCTCAGCGTGGCCATGTAGGTATTACTTTGATAAAAACCATTGACCTGGGAGTATATCATTTGGAGTGGAACTGATGACGCATCTCTTGACATTTGTTGCAGAAATAAGAGAACAGTTCGACGAAATTGAGTTAGAAACGAAAGTTCATTTCTATGAAGGCGAGGATAGCACAAATATAAATTATAAAGATGAGCTCAAAAGAGCTAAGACGAGGAACGTATTTTTTGGTGAAAAAGATAAAAATTAAATCATTTTAAAAGCGAAAGAGAGATTCAGAATTGACGTATTTAATGTTATATGCGACAATATTACCCAAGACCTTCAGAAAAGAATAAAATGTTACGAAGAAGTGACATGAGCGTTCAAATGTTTCTTCACCATAGATAAAGAGGAATTCGAAATATGAATCGACATTTTATGTGAGAAATATAAGTACGATATTAAAGTATATATAGAACGTATATTAAGAATATTTACAATACGAAATCATTCATTTTCAAAAACTGTGCAAAAACTTGAACAAAAACACGCTTCGTGAAAAGTTGTCCAGAAGGTGAAAGCTACATTCCCGAATAATTTGCCTCTATTACAAATTTACTAAACGATACCCATTTCTAATGCGTCTGGTGAACGATCTTTTTCAGCTCTTAAAAAAATAAAAACATACTTGAGGTCTAATTTCAAGGAAACCTTGGGTAATGTCACAATCATATATAACAAATCAATTAAGTGCATTTTTCATCTACATTTTCTAGAACCAACGATAAATTTATACAAACCAAGACATTTTCTGAACCTGATTTCGTTATATAAACTTAAAATATGTTGCTTTATTCATTTTGCCAGGAATAAGTTGAAAATATCAAATTTAGCTTTCAATGAAGTCAATACAGTCCATAATTATGGGACTAGACAATTGAATTACTTGATTGCAAATACATTCAAGTCAAACATTGGCAAACAATCTGTTTTTCACAATGGAATAATTTTATACAATTCATTACCGAATGAGTTAAAAAATATACATGATGCAAGAAGGTTCAAAATCAATCTTAAAAATACTTGCTCAGGACAATTTGAAAGAAAAATATGTGGCATGATTTGATTACTTAGGAATGAAATATAACTTTAATCTTATAAGACACAATATTAATTCGTTTCCACTGAGTGGAATTCATTATAGTTAACCCTTTATTATTATTTTTTTATATGTATTTATGTATCCCTATCATAAACAGAAATGTTTCTTGGGGTAATAAAGACAATCAATCAAAATGAGGCACTGGAGAAACTTAATTGTGATACTATTATACGGCAGTTTGCCAATATTAAGTCAAGAAAGAGAATGTTATAATTTTTGTTATTTTTCATATCAGAATGTTATTTTTATTTTATTTTTCAGAATGTTATTTTTATTTTATTTTTCAGAATGTTATTTCAATTTTCACAAATTGTATATATAAGAATACTCTTTTATATTTTTGCAATAAATATCATAAATTAAGATTTTGTTTCTATTGTTGAATGAATGACCATTGAATGTGCACCTCCCAGATCAAAGAGCTCACCCCCTAGATCCGCCAGTGCCAAGGGGGCCCGTAAAACTTCTGCGCCCAGGACCCGAAATTATCTCAAACCGGCACTGATAAGGTTACCTCATAGTATAGCATTATGGTGCGGGGGTGCGCGCAGGGGGGAATGATCTGTGACGTCACTGTTTCCCCGCCGTGTGATTGTAGATTTCGTTTTGCGTCACTGTCAAATGGATTGAAACAATTTTTCGATTTTGAATTCAAAAGATTCGCGAATTTTAGACTCAAGTTGAAAACATGGTGACAAGAGGACTGAAGATATCATTGAAAGAGGGTGAGAGGTTGTATAATAATATGGTGTATTATTCAAGGCTGGTCACATCATAATATTATTTTGTGTGGAGTCAAGAGTGGATATCGAACAAACAAATGTTATAAAATGCCTGTGTTTACAATCATCTGCTCTTGGGCAGCCTCTACATGAAATTCAAATAATTCCAAAGGAAAATTATGAGCTGTGGCAATGTGAATGTGATGTGAATGTACCTGTGAAGCAGGCATGTCATGATTTTGTAAACACATTTTATTCACAAGATTCACGAAGTGGGCGACATCTAGGTTACATAATACGAACTTCAAACTGGGGGAAAACAAACTGTTGTCTATGCATAAAGTGCATAGACTTCATTGCATACATCTTGCTGTAGCTGTAGTTGTCAAACTTGTCAATGACATAAAGTGTTATCACTCTTATCAGTACACAGTACACAAGCTAATGGCACTAATGGGATTGAGTGAGGATTGAGTTTGTTTTCCCCCAGTTTTGACGTGGCTTTGACATGGAACGATGAAAACCGAGCGCCACCTGGTAACATTGATTCCCGCGAATAGGGACTTATATTGAAAGGAAGGAAGGTGCACTTTTGATCTATCACACACAGGTAAAAAATAAATGAAATTTCAGGAATGAAGACTTGGAATATGTGAAGCAGCACATATAACACACACAGAAGTGGTGAATAGAAATAAAGGGAGTAGATGGATCATAGATCTGTTATACAGCAAAACCATTTCAAGAGTTCTGCCATCCACTTATTAAAAGAAGGAAGTGACCCCCTAACACAAATGAAACGAACAGTACCTACATGCAGGAGCGTTCATTCCAAAGAGGGTACAATTTCCACTCACCTCGTTGAATTGCTCGAGCGACTTTTGCCTGGACAAGCTGTTCTGCTTTCGCGCGATCTGGGCAACCCCGCTGGCGTGCGTCGTCTCCAAGGGCAGCGTCGACGGTCGCGCCGGCTCGACGGGCGCGGCGTCGCGACGCAGCAGCGACGTCGTGACGCCCGTCTGGCCCGAGCCGTTCACCACCTGCACGATCGAAATGATGACGATTAAAAAACAAATACAATAGTACATTATCATCAAGGGAAAGAAATGCAAGATTTTCGCCAAGGTGCGATTTGCAGTTCAAGGGCGAAGCCCGAGAGATACAAAGCACCGAGGGAAAAATGGCGTTCTGTCCTGAGGTGTATATACTATTTCTGGAATAATGAGTGTTTTTTGAGCTATTCATTATTTCAAGCATGCCATCACATTGTGCTGTTGTATAATGCACAAAAAATGAAGCGAGAGACGAAGGAATATGATTTTTCAGGTAAAAAAGGTGATCTCACATCGTTTTCCTCCTGCCACTTCTGCAACAGAAGCTAATACTGCTAATAGAATGAGATTGTCTGAAACACACACACGATCATATTTCTTTGGCATGATAGACCAGTCCTCCCGTTTGATTGCATGAATCCAATCTTCTTGCTTTCTTTTAGAAACTTCATATTTCGATTAACTCCTATTACAGAAGGAATTCCAATGAGAAATGACAAAATTTCAATATAATAACTATATGTGAGTGACTATAATACTTATTTTATCACAATGTACCTACCTGAAAAATCGGATTTCTCCGTCTCTCGCTGCATTTTTTGTGCTAGTACAACAGCACAATAAGACGACATGCTTGAATTAATGAATAGAAGAAAACAACACGATTCGTATGCCAAAATATTGTGAAAACCTATTGCAATTCCTTTGTAAAGAAATTATAGAAGTGAGGTTGTGTTTCAATGTTTCACCAACAAGGTCGGTCATCGGACAGATCTTGCACGCAACACACAGAACACATTGTTCAAAATTTGGAGGTTATCCTTATCCATCGCCATCTGTTTGAACCTTTTCACTTACCATGTCCTCAAATAGGGACAGCCTATTCTAATATGATTTACATACAGCTCAGATTATTTTCACTCTATTCTCATATCAAACTCTCATCATGATATGTAGTATGATATTTAGAATGAACATGCTTGCAGCCAACTGAGAGAGTGGAAATTAAAAAAATGAACACTATTTATGACAGTGAGAACATCGCCGTGTAGACTTCCGTCCTGTAATATTTTTTGCTGACATTTCAATTGCATCAAATGTCAAAATTACTTTGTTGTGTGGACAAACAGATGAATTTTAAATTCTGATTATTCTTTCAATTATTAAATGTTCCATTCTATTCTATTTATCGACACTACTTTTTTTATAATCGTGCTGTACCGATTCGCCATGACACAGATCAACAAAATCTAACTATTTTTCAATAACTGATATATAGAAAATATTTTCTCAGAATAGGATATATTTTTTTCTCAATACATAACAGATACGTAAAATTAGTAGGTAAATGTTTACTGTTAGATATATAATCAATAGCTATTGTACACTATTTTTCTAATTAGTTATTTCCAATATTGGGCAGATATAATTTAATATTCTGTGGTTTTAGCTAGGAGAGTAGTTGTTTTCTGTTAGTTATTTCAACAATAATGTTCTTATTTATAAAAAAACATGAGCTAAAACATTCACAGGCGACCAAAGATGAAAAATAAACTTAATGGTACCTACCTTTGTGTCAAGCTTGACTCTGGTGTTCTTGTTAGAGGAGTCTCCAGAGTGTCGTTTACTGTTGAGGAAATTTTTTAGGCCACTCCACCTGAATTTGGATTTTGAAGGAGTTACAGCCTGGAAGAAATCATGTTGTACAACCCTGTACTATATTTATTGGTTAAATAAAAAACAAGAAATAATCAAGAAGGAAGAAAGAAGTGATAGAAATAGAAAATACAAAGAAGAAAGGACAAACAGGGATAAATGACAACAAGGAAGAAACGAATAAAGAAAATAAAGGAAGAAAGGATAAAAAGGGAGATAGGGCAATAAGGAAAATATGGTTAAGGTAGAAGAAAGAGAGGACAAAATGGAAGAGAAAGCAAACAAAGAAAGGCCAAAACGGAAGAAACAGGGAAAAGGCAAACAGGGACAAAGAACGAATAGGGACAAGGGAGAAACAGGAAGAAAGTTAGAAAAAAAAGAATGGGAAGGAAGAAAGTATATAGAGACCTGGATATTTATTGGTCCCACCTTTGTGTTTTGTTGTTTGGGGATCCCGTGTACAGCGTTCTGTAGATACGGTATAGGCGTGGCTCTGTGGTTCACCTGGAAGTTCAGGAAATCGTTCGGGATCAGGTTCTGAGATTCTGAGCCGCCGCAATGTTTCGAGGATTTGTCGATCAGCAGACTGTCGCTGGAACCTGAGAGGAGGTTCCTCTCCATGCAGGGGTTCCTGCCTTGGTGGGGTTGCAAGGGAACCACACAGGCGGCGAGCTAAGAAATTGATCAATTCAAAAAATGTTGCACTTTTTTTTGTACAAATCGTTTGCTCAATCGTTTAATATAGGGCATGTGAATGGCAACGTAGCTAGAAAACTAGGTCGGCTATCGTAGGTCTTCGCCAGTGTTGCCAGGTCAAGAATGAGATGAATGGTATAGGTAAAAATCAGTACATTTAAAAACAAAACGGTAGATATAGTTTTTAAATTGTAATTTTTCCCAATTACTAGTGGTTTACCAGTTACATAATTAGGTAGGCAATTAACAGAAGTAAACAAGAAAAATTAAATAATCATCATTCTTGTATGAACTCTCTTAAAATCATGAAGCTTCGAAAAAAATGACTCCGACAATCAGTAAAATTGTGTGGTAGCCATGAATATTGGATATTCACCGATTACCGTTGTTTCCTAGGGTATTCACCGACCGAAACCAATCGATAATTGAATAGAATCAAAATTAAATAATATGAAAACTTTTCATTTAGGTATAAATAAATTTTAAAGTGTGAATGAAAATTTCAGCGGTTGATATTGAGAATCTGCGGCAGAGTGGTAGAACTAACACAAAAACGGTGGACCTGGCAACACTGGCCACCACAGTGAAACCACTGCTATTCTCTGTAACTCGCCATGTTGCCAAATGCCATTATTTCTTAATACTCCTATATGTAAAGATTTGACAAACAATCCGTATAACTTTTTATCAGCACAGTGCTCTTCATTACAGTACAATCTACAATGAATTCAACGAGTCAATGAATAAAAACATAGAACTCAGGCACATAATTTAACGTCATATTTTAGAATAAGAAAAGAATGATAATAAATAGCTAGCTATCTCTGAGTAATTTACAACTTTTTTCTCAATTAATATCATATCTTCTCATTTCACAAGGCAAATTGTTGAACAAGACTTGATCTAATGTAAATGAAGTATCAAAGAAAACAATTTCAGAATGCATAGAAAAATCATTTGCTTGTTGCATTCCAGTATAGTGACATTGTATGTACAGTCAGATGCAATTTTGTAAAAAATCCTACCTGGTTAGAATTCTTGCAATTTTCCTCAGAAGGCGATAAAAGCGTCTCTATTGTATTGACAGAGGCGTCGAACTGCACATCGTGCAAGTGGTTATTGTTTATGAGGGTGGGACTAGCAGGAGGGCGATGGGGGTGCAGAACACGCCCTTTGAGCGAGGGCAGCTCTGTCAGTCTCTCTGCCACACATAGGGCAGTCAATCTGGCCTCAGCATCCTGAAAGAGCAACATGACACTTAGAGAAAATCATGGAATATTGTTACTCATATGGGACAGAAGAGGGAAATGTTTCTTACAAGGATCAAGGAACATGTTAAAACGACTGATAGAATATTGATCATTTCATACATAGGCCTAACAAGAAAAATGTACAGAATATGATCTGAGGAACACTTTGCAATGACAATTGGTATAATCTACTCATGAATAATGATATTGAAGTTAACAAGACTCAAACATCCTATAAAGATAGCAACATGACATTAAGGGAATCGTGTAATATTGTTACTCATATGGGACAGGAAAGGAAAACAGTTCCTAAAAGAATCAAGGAACATGTAAAAGTGACTCAATAATGAGAGCAACATGACAATAAGGAAATCGTGGAATATTGTTACTCATATGGGACAGAGAAGGGAATTGTTTCTAACAAGGATCAAGGAACATGTAAAAACGACTGATAGAATATTGATCATTTCATACATAGGCCTAACAAGAAAAATGTACAGAATATGATTTGAGGAACACTTCGCAATGACAATTGGTATAATCTATTCATGAATAATGATATTGAAGTTAACAAGACTCAAGCATCCTACAAGGGAATCGTGTAATATTGTTACTCATATGGGACAGGAAAGAAAAACAGTTCCTAAAAGAATCAAGGAACATGTAAAAGTGACTCAATAATGATTTTGTAGAATATTGACCATTTCATACATAGGCCTAACAAGAAAAATGTACAGAACTTGATTTGAGGAACACTATGAAATGAAAAATCATACAATTTACTCATAAACAATGATATTGTAGTTAACAAGACTCAAGGAACACTTCAGAATTCGTTTTAATACCTGATCCCAGCAATCTTCAGCTGTTTCACACAACAATCTGGCTGCTGCTGTATCTTTCCAAGAAACAGGCCAGAGCGGCCTGGCTTTTTTCCTGCTGACCAACGTCTGCATTTGTTCAAGTGAAGGATTTTCTCCAGCTTCCTATGGAACATGGAACATATTAGTATTTTTTTCTATCACAAATAATGAAAGTATTACCTTGGAAAATGGGGGGGCATAAGGGCTAGGTTCGGCGTTCTGTACGTCGGTACACCTAGAGCCAAGTTCCCACAGAACTAGGCCGAGGGCGTAAATGTCGATTTGCTTGAGGGCGCTTTCGCAATCGCGTAGGTTGACAGCGCCTTCTAAGACTTCGGGGGCCATATAACGCAAAGTGCCTGAAAAAATTTATTTTCATCAAGTGAATTATGAATCCACCAGTCACATTCGCGATTAATGCTGGGTGAAAATATAATCAAATGGTACCTGTCACATGAGATAGGATATCTGATTTTGGTTATACAGGGTGGGGCATAGAAACTAAGTGTTTTTGGTTTGGGTAGTACTCTGCCATTAGGAAACGGAGGGGCACGCGGTTTATCACATTCCATTCCTCGACTGGAAGCATTTCACTTTCTCAGTTGCCACTTGCCATCATGGAGCGGTGTACGCTAGAGCAACGCGTGTTCGTTATTGTTATTTCACAAACACTTGATTCCTATGCCCCTTCTTTTAGAAGTATGCAAGAAAACCACACTGACCAAAGAGTTCACTGAGAAACAAGTGGAAAAAAGACTTGCTATTTTCATAACCAAAGCTTCTGAGAGGTGCAATAGAAGACTGTAAGTATGTTATTGTACAGTAACAATAACGAACACGCGTTGCTCTAGCGCTCACTACTCCATGATGGCAAGTGGCAAATGAGAAACCGCTCCAAGATAGCAAGTGGCAACTGAGAAAGTGAAATGCTTCGAGTCGAGGAATGGATTGTAGTGAACTCGCATCCCGCCCTTTTCTAATGGCCGAGTACTACCCAAACCAAAAACACATGGTTCCAATGCCCTAGCATGTAGTAATTCATAAACAAAACTTCCTCTAACGCATTACCGTACCGCTCTGTGTCATAAAGTATGAACACACGGAACGTCCAGTAAATCAATCAACATTAATAGCGAAGTCCATTAGCAGGAACTAGTGGAGTGTTATTGCGATTTCGAAATTCAATAATTTACCAGATGATATCAAAAACAGCCCAAATATTATGCAATTCAAAAATAAAGTTAAGAAATATATTTATATGCAAAGGAATGATCAAAGCTGAAAGACTATGAATTTCTTTTTTTCTTTTTTTTTTCACTGTTTTTATTTTTCCCCTTCTTGTTCACTATAATATGACTGTATCTTAATGATATGTAAGTTTTGTTCACTATTTGTAATTTCAATTATACAACAGTCGATAATACTTCATGAATGATCATATACCAGGAATTACTGTATGTTCATTCATTCATTCCTACTAGAAAATTAATTATACTTTATATATTATTTGTATGAAATGTATCAATGAAGAAAAGAATGTAATGCAATAACTGAAATAAATAAATAAAATGTATATGTTTCCTTCTTACTCGCATGTGTTAAACAGAGGTAAATATACACTCAGTGGAGAAACACTTCACCAGTTTCTGCTGCAAAACTGTCAAATACATACAGGGACTTTAGTTCCTGCCAATGTAATTCGCTATAAGTATAATTCTGGGTAACCAATGAGATCCCGATTGTAACATGACAGAGCTTGTCCGGCACAAGTTAACTGCATACCAGGAAAGCTCATTTATTCCTATAAGAATGTTAAATATTGATGGATCCTTACATTATCTTTAAAAACGGAAGTGTCTCAACTGACTTTGCAAAGACAAGACAGCATAATTGTTGTGTGAAGAATTCAATACAAGTTCAGAGGCCAATAATTTTCACTATAAAGCCTGTTCAGAAGCTATGCTGTTGTAGGTCTTTGAAACACCTGTTTGACACTCAATTGTCATAGAACGACGTTGACATTAAGCCAGTTATTATCCAAAAACCAGACTTGAAACGATAAGAATGGTTCACCAGTAATCAGAAATGGAAGATTCACTAGGCCAGCTACTGGTACTGGTGGGGGACGTTTGCACGTCAGCAACTAGTCCCTAATGGTACCTTTTTGCAAGCCCCAAGATGTTTTTAATGAGTGATGTGGTTCACTTAAGAGAGCTGGCTAACCTTCTTTTCAGGCACCGCCAATCAGTTCTCTATCAGAGTTTTTTCGGCTAGTAATGTACTCACTACCATATGCTGCAGTGGCAGGCCTGCTAGCTATTCTCGTTAACCCCCGTTAAAGACCGAGGTCCACTAAGCAGCATTGCCCCGCGCTCACGCTGAGCTGATAGTTTTAAACACCCCCCCCCCTACATACACCGTCCTACTTCTTCTCTGATGCTCACAACCACAACATCATATTTTTCTGTGTGTTCTGTGTAGGCTTTGTTACTAACTCCATGCGCCACTTCAAGAGCAACACTGTTAATTGGAACGCAACAGCGAATCGTGCAGGACTATCCCCAGCCGATGCTCCGAAACGTTACAATATTAAGTAGTTGGAAAACTAATTCAAATTATGAAACATCAATATTTAGAAGTATGCAACTCAGAAAACAGTGTAGTAGAAAGTTGATGTATTTGATGTATCTTTAAATTTTGACAGCAGTACGTACGAATGTACGGCTACGTTCAGCGGCAGGTCGGACCATGGTCAATTCGTCTCAATTCGTTCAGACCGTAGTCAGACTATGGATCAGACCGTGGTCCACGTAGTCTCATTTAAAATGATGCCCAGCATGGTCCAAATCGTCCAGTCCAATGTTCCGTCAGTAAACGTCAGTTATATTTGACATGAATTATCTCTTCGCGGGTGAGATAAAATGATGGCCAGCAAGTTCAAGAGATATTGCTTTGTGTCTCAGTGTAAACAGTATGAAGATAAAAAATGTATTGATACACAGCTATTCAACCAGATGCAAATTGATACAAAATGTGGCAGAACCAGAACATATCAAAAAATTGGGGTAGCCCATTCCCAAATGTACGTTTGTCTGTAGCAGATACTTCTCAGAAACAGATTATGAAGGTAATTTCTTTCATTTTCTTGTCTATTCAGTGTTTTGTATAATGTTTTTTTCTTTCAGATTTCAGAGGAAATCGATTCCAAATTCATATTTTTTGTGAATCAGATGCATTACCCCCACAGAATTCACCGATTATACCTTGTACCAAAATGCAAAACCTGTGCTTAATGTCCAAAGAATTGATTTCAACAAGCACCATCATTCAAAAATCACTCTAAACACTTAAATTTCGAAATAGTTCTCATGACAACTTTGACAGATACTAATGATATATACAAATACAAATCCATGGACCCATCATGGACCGAGGTCGTTCAGAACTCCTATCCTTGTTATGGTCCGACTACGGTGGTCCAGACCTGCCGCTGAACGTAGCCTACCACATAATGTAGCTACGATAAGTTGAACAGGCAGAAAATTGAAAAACAGTAGGAAATACAAATACATTGACAGTGAAACACAATAAAGCCCGTTGTTAACCAGACTCGGAAACGAAACGAAACCTCCCACTCACCTGCCTCGCTGATAGCCTTGTTCTCCGACCGTCTCGGCACCACTGCCAGCCCAAGGTCGCACACGCAACAAGACAGATCGGCCCTGACGAGCACGTTGCGCGTGTTGAGATCGCGATGCGCCACGCACGGCCTTTCCACGTCCGAGTGCAGGTGGGCCAGACCTCGAGCGACGCCGAGGCTCATCTTGGCCAATGTCGGCAGGTCGACGGTGTGCTGCTTCAGGTGGTCCTGCAAATGGATGTCTTAGTTTGAAATAGAGGTCACTGGGTAACTGAAAATGAAAATTGTTGTTGTTGTTTTCACTAGTTAAGAAGTACAATGCAGAAGCCAAAGCAGTTACAGTTTACAATGACTAGGAAAAAGTCACAGGGAGTTAAAAGTTAGCAAGACAGAAAACATGTTTTTTTGTTAATAGGAAAGACAGACACGACAAATGTACAGTTGTATAAAAAAGTATATACATATAATTAAGTATTGTAATGAATCAGTTCAGCTTAAAAATTCGTCGATGGTGTAGCAATTTTTCTCGACGAGGCTTCTTTTCAGAGCAGATTTAAAAATATTTATTTTAGGTGAGAGTTTAACCCAGATACTCCCGAAATGAAATTTTTGCGAACATACATATTTTGTTCTCACACAATCAATTATGACCTAATCCAACTCCTCTCTGTTACTTTTAGTTGTATAATTGATAATTTTATTGATAATGCCCGTCCTTCATGAAGGACAGTGGTATAATGAGTTGTAGTAGTGAGATACATTGCAGGAATAATATTTTTATTCATAAGTTGGAGATCGAAATACAAATTGATAGAAATGTATGAGTGAATGATTATAACTGAGTATGGTACTTGAAGATACAAGTTTTAAGGTGCAAACCTACGTTGCACTTGATTGATATACATACATGATCCCTACCATCAAATCGGGAGAATGTATTCCGGTTAACATTCGATCGGATACGTCCTCGCTTGGTATTTTCCTCGTGAGTTTCTAAAATACCTTCAGCTAGAGATCGACGAAAATTATATATTATTTTTTTCCGCTATTATGGCGATGAAGCTACCAAGCATTCTGGATTGCCATATCCACGCAATGACCAATTATTGGAAAGTACCCTCTGATGGTCACGCGGTATAGACTGATATTCTGGTCAGCCCTATACCCACTTCCATATTCTGGTTATACTTTATCATTTTGGGTTGGGGCACTGTTATCTTTTTCCATTCTCCCTGGGAGAATCGAGATTCATAAGCTGTTGGTGGAACATTTTTATAATAATTGGAAGCAATTGTGACTATATTGTTATCTTCCAAGCGACATATTATAAAGTTTTCGAAGCTGCTCCTCTCTGTTTTCATCAGCACTTTACATCTTCTTGTATTTCATAAAATAATACATAGGAATTTCATCTCCATTATCATTATCGATATTGGAAATAGGTTCAGTACGAGCATTCAATAGAGCACCTAGGAGGTTCTCCATTGTAACTATTTCGTCATCGCCGGAGGCTTCATCGGTAACATCTTCATTAGCGTAGGTTGGAGGAAAGACAGCTATGGCATGTAGTAGTCTCGCATGATCATCATTACAATGCTCAATTTCGTTCAAAAATCCATTTAATGACAAAGGTATTTCCTAATAATTAAAAATTATAATAGTACGATTTTGGACCAATGGCCCTTAAAAGGGACGGTGACTTTTGTAGGGTAATGTACTAATGTATGAAAAATTCATGAGTAAAAAGACTTATAAATGATCAGAGCATGAAGATTTGACTATATTAAATCAGTGTTTCATAATTGACAATATATTTTAGTTCTGATAATTCAATTATCCTTACATCCAGTTATTCAAGAGAGCACAATTAGAATTTTTGATGAAACAATCAATATTATTTACAGTTCATCTAGATCTGAAATATCGGTAATGTGCAGAATATATCCAAGGTATCCTACTATATCAACATCACATCTCAATATAAGTAGTTGACACTTTTGAAACATAACGATTTCTTCAGCGACCTTTTAAAAGGAAGTTGGCAGGATTTGGATTAATTGCTTCATCTAACTTATTGAATAATCTAGGTCCTAGATCCTAGCCTTACAATCAACAAACTTTGTAACGGCTGAAAAGCCAAAAGAACATTACAATAAGTAAGTTCAACATCAGGAAAAAGGAATTAATTGGAAATCTACTCAATTGTGAGGCTGGACTGATCATTATTATAACGAACTGATTATTACTGAAAAATTTTTATTGTTAAGATGTTTTTCCACATAACAGGTATGTCATCTCTTTCTCAGCTAACACTTTGTTTCTGTACTATTGTATTGTATTGTATTGTTATATTTTTGATATTAAATATTGTGGTCGACCGAGTTTCTTCTTTTCTCCTGTTGTTTTATATATTAGATTGTCACTCGAAATTAGAGCTTTCCATCTTCTTCATTATAAATCCAATATTACCTGAAGACTTCTCTGTTCGAGCCCCAGCAGCAGCACGTAGTCGACGGCGCCGGTCGGCGTCACCAGCTCGCCCCCACCGAAGCACTCGAGCAGCCCCCGGTGCTCCCCGGCCACCTCGTACGCCTCGCGCTCGTTCAGGAACACGTTCCGGTGGTGGGCGGGGAACACCTTGACGGCTACTTCCCTGTCTTCCACCGTGCCGCGCCACACGCTGCCGTATCTGCCCTGACCTGAAGCGACAGAATTTGTGGAAGTTAACGAAGTTATCTCTCCGACTGAATGCAAAATTAATCGTATAGGTCGCGTGCACGAAGACCGACCCTGGAGGCAAAATATTGAAACACAACCTCATTCTTCTGTGAATTATTGAAACACAACCTCACTTTTTTATTTGGTTACAGAGGAATCAAAAGGTTGAAATAGTTTTTCACAATATTTTGGCATACGAATCGTATTTCTTGCGTTATTAATTAATTCAAGCATGTCTTCGCATTGTGCTGTTGTACAATGAACAAAAAATGCAGCAAGAGACTAGGGAATATGATTTTTCAGGTAAATAGTAATCTCACATAGTTAGCATTATGTAATGTTGTCATTCCTTATTAAAATTCCTTCTACCTTCTGCCACTTCTGCAATACAAGCTAATGCTGCTAATAGATTGAAAATGTCTACAACACACACGATCGTCACCATCTCAGACCAGTCCTACCGATTGATTGCATGAATCCAATCTTCTTGCATTATTCTAGAAATTTCAGGTATATTTCTATTAGCTGATCCTATTGCAGAAGGAATTCCGATGAGAAATCAGATAACCAAATTTCAAAAATGAAAACTATGTGAGTGACTATAGTAGGTACTTACTTTTGAATCATAAATGTACCATCCGGATTTCTCCATCTTCCGCTGCAGTTTTTGTGCATTTTATAACAGCACAATGTGATGACATTAGCGATTTGATGAATAGCGGAAAAAAACGATTCATATGCCAAAATAATTGTGGAGAACTATTTGGATCACTTGTAAACAAATATGTTTTGCCTCCAGGGTCGGTCATCTGACAGTTCTTGCACGCGACCTATTGTCAAGAAGAATAAATGCCTATGAATTAACACCACTCAAACTCTCGTTCGTTTCAAGATCTTTTATCATTAATTAACTTTTCCAAATTAAAACATTCAGTACATTGTAGTTTGATCAGGCCAGCGGAGTTCATAGACATGATTTCCTTTATAATTTGCAGAGAAATCGCTTACCGCGGCGATAATACCTAGGTAAGCGGTATCGAAAGGTAACGACCGTTCCCATTGTGGAAAATTGCGAACCTAGCATCGATTCCGAATATAAATAGTACCCGAATCGATGAGGCAATCATTCATTATCGACACAAGTCATTTTAGTGATCATCAATTGAAAATGTTCGCCGTCTCCCCAACTCCAAGCCTGCTGGTCAACCCCCTGCCTTCAAGTGTTGTTTTGCGTTGTTTTTTTCCTTTGCTAACCTGCCATGTGGCAGCATTTATTCATGATCTCTTGATTAAATCAATAAATGTCAATTTTATATGAAAACTGTCCGGTCTCTTTATTTGGGGATGAATAGGGTTGGATGGTGAAATGATCAAAGCCTCTTGTCAAAAAGCCAAGCGAGTAGCTATGTCACGACCTATAGGAGGGTCAGTCAACGTCTTCACGGTGTGTCAGGGGATCTGTCTGAATAAAAAGTTATTGAAATAATATATCTGCGTTTATATCGTATTGTACTCTAAAATAACTAGTACAAGTGGTCTTCCGGTGGTGGCGGGGAACACCTGGACAGCTACTTCCCTGTCTTCCACCGTGCCGCGCCACACGCTGCCATATCTGCCCTGACCTGAAGCGACAGAATTTATTTTATATAAAAAATCGTAATTTTTTCAAATTTTGGCGATTATAACCCTGAAGGAAAATTCTCTCAGGACGTTTTTAAAGCAGATCAAATTCGCAACAATATGATACAAAAACTGTCTCTATAGACCCAATAGTTTTCGAGATTGAGCCTATAATTTTTTTCGAACTTCAAAATTTTTTGCAATGTTTTAGGCGTCACTCGAATATACTCTAGCAGGATCAAGTTTCAATTACCTCCGACCCACCTGTAGCACGTTTCTAAACTTTTTAGACAATCTAAACCACGGGACTTTTTAAAATGGAAAGTCACAACAACAACAGTACTCCAAGCAGAGGAAGATGCTGATAGGCTCATCATCACTATAGCTGTAACTGCTCCCTCTACCTATGATATAGTGGTAGTTGTTGGTGAGGACATTGACTTGCTGATCATCCTCACTGCCATCTCAAACCAACGTGAAATTTTTTACAATAAATATGGAAGAGGAAAAGCATCAGAATGAGAATCCTCTTTGAAACCAGAGCATTTCTTCTTCATCCATGCCTTCAGTGGTTGTGATTCGACATCCTGCTTCTTTGGCTTAGGAAAGAAACAAATGATGTCCATAGTCGAGAAGAATCCGGACGTTGAAAAGCAAGCTGCGATTTTTCTCGACACTATCTCTACACCTGGCGAGATAGCAGCAGCAGGAGAACAAATGGATGAAATTTAATATTTTGAATTTGTAAATGGAGTTAATATCTAACAATTACCTCGGTTTATAAAGATTTCTTGTTGGTTCCAAGTAATCTAGTTTGTTTATACATTTAATAACTTTGTTTTGAAGGACAGAACCTGAAAATCAAACCAGTCAATTCTTGACTCTGCTTTTTTCACAGAAAATAGGTTGAGATAAGAGAAAAATAATGACTATATACATATTTACTTGTATACCTCAGGAGCAAACAATAAGAACATAGCCTATTTTTGATGATAACACAATTCTCAGCATCACTAAAGGAACGAAAACTCAACAGAAGTCAAATCCAGAGAGCCAGCCGGCCGAACCACTCACCTATGACCTCGATCATCTTGAGCTTCTCCAGGCTATAATCCGCTGGAGGCGACACAGTCTGTTGGCAGCTCTCCACGTCGCCCTTCTTCGGCTTCATCCGCCAACACCAATACAACACCATGGCCACAGTCACCACGAAGATCAGAAAAACCACCCCCACGGACACGTAGACGAAGGGGCCGACGGGCTCTGTTTCGACGGGGGGGTCTTGCGCGGGGGTCGGCTCCATGGGGATGTACCTGGCTCAGAACAAAATTGTTAGATCAATGGTTTTCAAATCACGTACAGGGTGATTCATCATTAATGTCCCCTCCTCTAGCACACTTATTTTTGATCCGATTTAAAGATAAGATAAGATAAGATAAGATAAGATAAGATAATATTTATTAATCCGTGACCAAATACATGGTATAGGACATGTCAACAGTTGTGTATAATATATTTATATATGTATTTATAAATACATATATAAGTAGACAATGGGTAATACTTCTAAATTAATAAATAGTATATAAACATATACAATTGTACATAGCACATAGATCATACATTGTTTGAACAATTACAAGGGGGACGCACATTTCATAAATTGTTGAGAATATGATATATGGGGACCATTAGAGACGACAGGGAGATTTAAAAAAAGCATAGATTATACTGGGATACTTATATGTCATAACTAGTTGTTTCAGTCATGTCAGGATCATCGAAGTATTCTTGTAATGAATAGTAAGCTTTTGAGAATAGTAGCATTTTCAGTTTCTTTTTGAACTTATTTAAAGGTTGGCAACTCTTGATATTGTTCGGGAGCTTATTATATATTTTGCAACTTGCATATGTTGGAGATTTTTCAAAAGTTGTTGTTCTGTGGGCAGTGGTTATTAGATTAGTCCCGTTTCTTGTATGGTATTGATGGTAGTTATTATTTTTTTCTAGTTTCTGTATGTTTTTTCTGACATATAAACAACTCTTGAAAATGAAAATGGAGTAGAAAGTCAACATTTTTTTTGCTTTGAAAATTTCTCTACATGAGTCACGTGGTTTCATACTAAACATCAGCCTAACAATCCTTTTTTGTGCTATGAATATTCTGTTAACCCCTGTTGCATTTCCCCATAGTGTGATATGAAATGATAAGGCAGAATAGACTAGTGCATAGTATACCTGGATTAAAATACTTTCATGTAGCTCATATCTCAGTTGCATGATTGCAAAGTATGATTTGGATAATTTTTTTGACGTTAGCTCGATGTGTTCGTCCCATGCGAGTGTGCCATCTATTGTTACACCAAGAAACTTAGTTGAGTGGTGTATATTAGGTAATTCATTGGGTATTTCGATATTTCTGTTGAATAAGATAATTTTGGTTTTTTGAGCATTCAATATTAATTTATTGGAGTTGCAGTATGATGACATTTCTTTAATTCCTAATTTGATGGCTTGGATCATGCCCCCCACAGTGGATTCAGCTATACCCAGAGTTGTATCATCAGCAAAGTTGATTAGATAGAATTGTTTGCTTATGTTGGATGGTAGGTCGTTGAGAAATAGTAGGAAAATGAGTGGGCCAAGGATTGATCCCTGAGCTACACCAACATTTATGGAAAATTTTTCAGATTCTGCCCCATCCAAGGTAACGTATAATTTTCTGTTTGATAAGAATGAGATGATTAAAGATAAGACATTCCCTCTGAAACCAAGATTATACAATTTGGATGCCATAAAATGTTTGTCAATAGAGTCAAAAGCTTTTGACAAGTCGAAGAATATACCCGCTACAAATTTCCTATGGTCAATATTTTTATGAATAAAATCCGCCAAAAGTGAAGTTGCAGTTTCAGTCGATCTGTCGGCCCTGAAACCATGTTGCGATTCGGCCAGTATGTTGTGTTTGTTCAGAAATTTCAAGAGTCTGTTATATATGAATCTCTCCAGAATTTTCGAAAAAATGCTGAGGAGGCTAATTGGTCTATAGTTATCTAAGTTCGACCTATCACCTTTTTTGAACACTGCAATCACTTTGCTAAGTTTCAAAACATCCGGAAACTCACCCTTCAAAATACATATATTTGTTAAGGTTGTTAAAGGTTCAACTATACTATCACTTATTTGTTTCAAGATTTTCACTAGCACATCATCTGGACCTGTTGACATTGTATTCTTGAGATTACGTATTATTGCTGAGATTTCTTCAAAAAATTTAAAAACCATCTGAAATGATATTTCAGAAATTTTTTTCCCGTTGCATCAGAAAATACAGGGTGCTCGGAACAAACGATCTACAGAGTACTACTTGATTTTTTCAAATGGAACACCCTGTATTTCATTGTATTTTTAGATTCTCCCTGAAGAGCTGATTCGCTGACAGCGTGGACATAAAACTGGAAAGTTCTGAACTTATTTTATGAAAATTCATCTGAAGGAAACTTCCCCATTGTCATACCTACTAGATTAAGTTAGATTATAAGTTTATATTGTGACATGACATGAAGTAAGTAAGTATAAGTAACTACCTGTCGGAGAAGTTGAGGTTGCAGTGGGACTCGTTGCAGCAGCAGAATTTCGTCTGGTTTTGAGCCTTGGGGGGCTTTTTGTCGGCGATGCACTCTGATCTTTCGCATTCGTTCGGTTTGCCGGATTGTTCCCAACATCCTATGAAAGTTCAGGAGACATCACAACATAGGAAAATTAATCCATTCAAAAAGATATTAATCTTTTTGCTAATTTCAACATGTAATGTGACACTTTTCAAAACTGACGGAATATTTGAAACGTCTTACTTTAATAACTAGTTGCGTAAAGTAGAATATTACATAACTAGTTATGAAATATTCATTTCAACACTAGTTAAGGAATGAAAATATGAATGGACGAAGAGAATAGTGCATTTTATGCTGCTTCCTCAATATCACTTGAGAAATCTGAACTTGAATCAGCCATTTTCCACTAATGAAAGTATCAAACGAGTTTATTTCGTGAATTTCCTGGCTTATTTGTGACCATAATATTTGCGACCGCCAAAGTCATAAGATAACGTTCTGATGCTCGTTCTGATGACAGTAAGAACTACGGGAAAACAAGTCCAACTTTCAATCCATGCCCGCAATTCGCGATAGAAAATAACACGTCGCTCCACCTGACGACAACAACTTGAACACTTCTGAGCGCTTCCAAGAACTCCGATATGTGGCATAAACTTATTTTCTATCGCGATTAGATGTTTTCCCGAAGTTTTTAATGTCATCGCAATGTCATCTAATGCCCTTGGCGACCGCGAATTGTTTGACGGATACTTCAAAGTTTAAAGTGACGGGCGAGGTCTTCTTGCCTACTATATTTTGTACATAATCACTGGTCATTATTTCTGTTCAAGCTAAATTTTCTACAAAATTAGAAAAAATATTGTACGTATCACGTTAGGGAACGCATTTTGTGTAACTGTGTTTTGCGGGATCTCGCTTCGCTTATTGTCCGGCAAAATCTCATCGTCACACAAAAGCGCGTGTTTCCCTACTGGTTATGTAAATATTTATTTCCACTACTAGCTACAGAACCTACCATTATTTAATCTTTTTCAAGGCATAAAGTGTATTTTTTTTACCAAGGTAGTTTTCGTTATTTTATGAACTACTAGTAGCTTCCTCTGTTTATAATTAACCCGAATTCAATTTTCTGATGCGAGATTCGCAGGAATGGCACTGGAATCTAGGAAGTAATACTCAATAACCACTTGTCATAATATATGCTGTCATGGTCATGCATGACTACTAGATTTCAATTAGAATTGAAAAAAAGTGCCTTCATAGCAACAACAGGTCTATATTTCAGTTTCACAGAGTAATAATGATTGAAATATATTGCTAGTGGTAAAAAAATCAATATACACTTTCTAAAGAATATTATTTCCGCGTGATCTTGGTCCCTGGGAAAAAATGATATTCTTTACTAGCTTGGTGTATAAATACCTATTGATACATGGAATGATTAAAATAAAATATATATATGGTGTAAAATTGACCAAAATCAGGAAGTAACTTCAAGAAACCATTCTGATGTATAGTACAGGTTTGTGTGCTCTTGTTGAGACATATTCATGAGTAAAATACCCCTATTATGTGAACAATATTGTAAATCTCAAAGGAAATTTCTAAGGAAAATATTGAAAACACAGTAAATAGTAGAATTTCACCAAACCATATAGTAACTGCTTATATATATTTCCCTCTGTACCACCAGTAGTATTTTATTTCTAATATCATTCTCAAGTTTCCATATAAACAAGATCACAAAATTTATAAAATGTGTTGAATGAATTCTTGTAGTTAATTGCATGCCATCAGAGATCTGAAAGCACTTGAAACACTTGAAACAAGAACCTCATTATACATTCATTTCATGGGAACTATATTGCAAAACTTTCAGTCAAGCACTGAGTATGTACTTGAAATCTAACAGACCCACTTTTTGTAATAGGCATCTGGACCATTAGGAATCACTTAATTGATAAAAGCTTGGAGACACTTTTGATGATACTTAGGCAAATAAATTCTGGAATAAATTATTGAACAACTTTTCAAATCACCATAATGAATTTTCTATTAAACTTTTGTAGAACTTCTGAATATTTGTGAATCTACATGCCCCTTATTGTCTGTATAAATTATGTTAAGTTCACATGATTTAAACAAACAATCCTTGTTACTTTGTCAATGTCTCAATAAGCAATAGTTATACAGTGGATAAAAAATCAGTTATTATAGCAAGCATTATTGTACCTACCTTTATGTTTATCAAAATAAAAAGATAGGTTACCTTACCCTATAGGTATACACGAGGGGGAAACAACTCTTTTAAGTGGTGTACACCATGGAATTTTAAGTATTTAAGTATAATTTTTAATACATTAAGTACAATTTAATACGCTTTTAAGTACTTCAGTACTAAAATAATTAATTTAAATACATCTTCAGTATTTTAATTACCTTTAAGTACATTTAAGTATTTTTAGTACCAGTTTAAGTATTTTAAGTACCAAAATTTATTCTTTAAGTTTCTTTAGTACCGAGTTCAGTACTTTAAGTATCTGTTTAGTACATGAGTACTGAAAATTTAATATTTAATTACCGGAGATAATACTCGACCCGAAACTTCCCGACTGCATTGGCGCCCTTAACGACCCATGCACCGATGAACAATAAACAATTTGGTTTCATTCCCGCATTCCGTCGCTGGACATTTATCAGTGAGCACGCGTTCGCGTTATTTTCGCAATACAAAATATTTGTTTTCATAATAGAAAGAGTTCAAATTAAAATGATGGGGTTAGGAGATACTGAAGGTAAGTGATACAGTTTTACAGTTATGTTATGTAGGTGCAACATTAGATCAATTTCAGATTCCTTACCCACAATTTGACACACGTTTTTTTTACCATGCTTATTAACTCATTGAGTTGAAGAAAACTAAGAAAAATGTCACGGTCAGATCTTGTAACCAACTTTTAGACCACTTCTAATCGTCTGATTGATTTGAAATTTTGCAGGTGTTCATGATTCCGGTGACAATGCATTATGAAATTTTTGTTTTAGAAAAAAAAACAATGGCGGCTTCAATATGGCGGACAAGTTTTGTAATTATGATCCGATTCTATTCAAAATTGCTATCTGGGGGATTTCGGGGAAGAAAGTAATGCTCCTTTTGTCAAAAATGAAAAATTCAAGATGGCGGCCCCAATATGGCGGACGAGTTTTGTAATTATGATTCGATTCTATTCAAAATTGGTATATGGGGGTTTTCAGGGTCGGAAATCATGGTTCTTTTGTCAAAATTTAAAAATTCAAGATGGCGGCCCCAATATGGCAGACGAAATTTGTAATTATGATTTGATTCTATTCAAAATTGGTATACGAGGGGTTTCAGGATCGAAGATTATGATTCTTCCATCACAAATGAAAAAATCAAGATGGCGGCTCCAATATGGCGGACCAGTTTTGTTTCATTTATTTATTTACCATTTTAGGTTGCTAACAGAACAGTTCATGATCCGATTCTATTCAAAATCGGTATACGGGGGTTTTTTGGGTCGGAGATTATGATTCTTCTTTCGAAATTTATAAATACAAGATGGCGGACGAGTTTCGAGTTTATAGTCCGGTTCGTTTCAAATTTGATACAGGAGGTTTTTGGGGTTGTAGATTATCTCGAAAATTGTACTTTTTTGTCAAAATTCATAATAATTCCAAGGTGTCGACTCTATTATAGGGGACGATCGATTTTTGTGATTATGGTCAGATTCTATTCAAATTTGGTATGTGAGGATTTTTCGGGTTGGAAGTTTTTGCTGTTTTTGACAAAATTGAATTCAAGATAGCGGATCTAAGATGGCGGACAACTTATGTTATTTATGTTCCGATTCGATTCAAAGGTGGTATATGGGGATTTTAGGGGTTGGACATCATGATTTTTTTTTTGTAAAAATTCGACAATTCAAGATCGCAGATTCAAGATGGCAGTCGACTTTTTGATTTATGATTCGCGGTGTCAGGCGAGTTTGTCAATTCCTGAGCGATTCACCTAATATCTATTATCACAGGGGGTTTCTGGGGTCAAGACACACGAATTCATGGGTACACATAATTTGGCGATTCAATATGGCGAAAGAGTTGGCCAATTATCTTTCAATTTACCAAAAACTGTATTCTGGGTTGTTGAGGTCGAGAAACACAAGTTTTAGGCATTGAAATTCATAAATATGCACAGTTAGAAATAGAAATCCGAGAAACAAAAACAAAGCATCAATCAAAACTTTCTCTGCCTTTTTAGAAATGTCTCAAGAAATGTGGCGTCACATTCAGAAGGAGTTTGGGATTCAATTGCCAGAGTTTATGACTAGTCTCCTGATTATGAATGGATATGATAATAAAGTGGCATTAGCGAACATTTCGGAAAGTGATATACATGAAATAGAAATATTTGCTAGGGAAACTCTACCAAAAATCATAGATATAGATGATGTTCAGACTAGAAAAAAATATTATGGCATATTTTTCAATTCTTGTGAGAATTTTATGATTCCCCGTGGCTACAAAAAAACACTACTGAAACTGGGAGAACTTTTTGATACTGAATTAAAAAATCAGGCAACAACAAATCAATCAGTGACCACTGACAGCTCATCGAATAAATCTGCTTCTCCAGAAAAAAAAAGATCAAAACATAAAGCATCGTTCAGTGATAAACGAGGTAATAAGTCCGCATTAGAAAAATCCGAATGTAAAAATAGCGACCTCGGCGATAACGACAAACTGGTAGAAGAGTTTAAAATAAATGATGAGCGACTGAAACTGAATAAAGCTTTAATGAAACACATTCACAGTCTGGAAGAAAAAGAAAATATAACTTTTGATAGGCAGAACATTGATTTCAATGCAAGAGTAGTCTTGGCATCAAGTAGCAATAGTAGTAACACTATTGCAACGGGATATATATCATGTTTCATATGCAATGGAGAAATCAAAGTTTCGAATAGTGTTGTTGGTAAAAGCACCTACTGGGTACTGTCAAACTTTTATAAACATATAAAAAATCATATTTCGAATAAAAAAGAAAAAACCGAGGAAAAAACTATTCCGCAAACTTTGGACAAATTTTTGATTAAACAAAAATGTAGTCAGCACATGGAAAAATCATCTGGCGATGAACAAATTTCCCATCAGCAGCCTACCTTAGATATCGAGGCAGATGTGTCATGTTTTCCAGGAACATCTATTTCTGGCATTACTGAAACCCATTCAAGCATTTCTGGAGAGCAGGAAGATCTGGCTTTGGAATCGGAAAATTCAAATTTTTAGGATGCAGAGATGTCATAAATGAGACACCAGACATTCTCTGCATCACATCAAATTTGAACGTGTCTCAATCAATATCAACAGTCGATTCGACATCTAAATGGAGAATGAAAAAATTCAGTCGGCAAGAGAGACAAAAAAGAAAGAGAGATAATGCTTCGGTCAGTAAGGGTCAATCCATACTGACCACATTTTATTCGGTGATTCCAAGAATGAATGAATTCATGGAAGAACTTCCAGATGAAGTGAATAAAGATTTCTCGAATAACATTGGGAATTATTGTTCAACAAACTCTAAAGCTCTCGAATTATTGCTGAAAGCCGCCGAAAAAAATGCTAAAAAAAAAACCGGTAAGAGATTCGATGCAGAAATAAAACTATTTTCCACCTATTTATACCTTACTGGTGGCTGTCTCCTGTATGAAACTTTGTACAACAACTTCAAAGCTTCATTACCATCGCTCTCCACAATCAGACAAAATCTTCAAAATGACTACAACTTATGTGAAGGAAAATTGCGGTTTATTGAGTTGAAAGAATACCTTCTGAAACACAATTATCCATTGGATGTATGGATCAGCGAGGATGCTACTGCCATTACAGGTATATTAATTAGCCCCACGAGCCTCTCTTTCAGTAATATATAGCAAATCGCCCCTTCAATTTCAATTTGTTTTTCAATTATTTCTGAGAAAATTTGCATTTGCTGCCAGATGAGTAAATGTTTATTGTTTTTTCCACTACTAGCATTATTTACTCCTGGGCGTGAAGTGTGTTTTCTTTACCAGGGTTGTTTTTATCATTTTATGAACTACCTAGTACTTCTTGAAGCCATTGCCACCTATTATTATCAACCTGAATTCACTGTCCTGATGCGAAGTTCGCAGCTATGGCAGTCGAAAGTTGTTAATCAATAACGATGAGAGAAAATCCCAAAAAACCTGGAACAATGAATGACGTTTATGACTATAATATATCATGTTGCCGATTATGACTACTAATTAATTGTAGGGAGTGTTTTCATAGTTGCGACAATAGGTTCAAGAGAACTATAATGTTTGAAATATATTGCTATAGTGGTGGAAAAATCTAATATACATCATACCATGGTAGTGAAGAATATCATCACCACGGGATCTAAATAAATATTTTTCTAGGGCGTATTCAATATGATTCTAAAACAGACAGTATCATTGGTTTTCCGCTGCCTTTGACCTCATCTACTGGGTTGCCGGTCGTTGGTCATTATGAAGCTACAAATGCTAAACGAATTTATCAAATATTCAGTACGGAGGATAAGTGCAAATATGCGTACGTGGTAATGGCTCAACCTTTAGCTCCAAATGCAGCACCATTTTGCATTTGTGCATTTGGGACGAATAACAAATTCAAATATTCAGATATTAGGAATAGATGGAGAACTATGAAAAACATGGCAAGGGAACATGGAATTCAAATATTAGGATTTTCTGGAGATGGAGATAGCCGCATATTAAAGGCGATGAGATATGAAACCATTATACCTATCAGCAACGATTTCAATACGTGGTTCCAAATAAATCCCGATATTTTTGAATCGTGCTACATACAGGATACAGTACACATAGGTATGTAGGTTCACGACATAATTTCATCAGTTTATTGAATACCTAGGTATGAGTATTAGCATCCATCACGGAATAAATCAATTAATTAAGTTAACCCCCAATCTAGTTCAAGTGTATTTCAGCACATTTCCTTGTACATGTGTTTCATTTTTATTTTTAGGTACTAAACTGAAGACACGACTGTTGAATCAACGTACTGATTTGAGAATTGGGAAATACACTGCAAATGTCAGTCACTTACATCATTTAGTAGAAAATGTGACCAAAGATAAACATCTTTTAACGAAATCCCATCTGAATTCCGACGACAAAATGAATTTTGAATCCGTCGAAAGGATTATTGATGAAAAAGTACAAAAGGGACTTCAAGATAGCGTTGCTGATAGCCAAGGAACTGTTGCATTTCTCAAAATAATGGCTATGTTTTTAGATGCATTTCTTGAAAAACAAATTGATATTGAAACTCGCATATCCAATGCATGGTTTGTTGTTTTTTTTTTAAGGATATGGAGGCACTGGATAAAATCAAATGGCTTCAGTTTGGATAAGAATTTTATAACATTGAACGCGTATATATGTGTAGAGCTAAACGCCCATGCGTTAGTATTAATGACATTGAGATGTCATTATTTAAAGCGACCAGAACTCTTAATGCCTTGGTTAATGAGTTCGCAACCCTGCGAAAAGACATTTAGAGCTACTCGTTCCATGACATCAACGTTTTCAACAATTGTGAACTTCAGTATGCTCGATATTCTACATCGCTTGCACAGAATACAAATATTAAATGACGTCATGTGTGACTTAAGTAAGTTCAATCCTCTGATTAGGTTGAGTGTCTGTCATATCTTATACTGAATGGCCTAATATTTCAGAAGATGAAATAATTTTTCCTCGTGAACATAACAGGAGGATGGGTTCAGTCCAAGAAAACCACATGATGGAATATAGAAATAGTACAATTGACTATGATCAAATCAATATAATTATAGAAGATGCCAAAGAAAAAGCGATAGGATATTGTGGACTACTTGGAATTCCTTCCTTGAATGAGGAATGGATGAACATATCGATCCCTAATGTACAATGTAATGTTTCAGTAAATTAAACTGATTACATACTTGATTAACTAATATAAAATTTCAGCACAAGAAAAAAATCTTTCGCATAATTTGAATGAGACACCAGGAAGGAAAAATAATCTCGGTAATGATACAATGATGGATGATATGGAAGATGATCAGAATATTTTGAATGATATGGAAGATGATCAGAATATGTTAAACATGGATTCTGACACCAATAGAGAAACAAATACGTTTTCAGGTAAACAGCAATATACCCACATGACGAGTTATATTGATTTCTACATACATACGGGGTGGTCCAATTGAAACAGTTCATCTGAAATATTTTCAATGGAGTTTTTTCCGAGGGTTTTTCCGTACCCCGATACAGGTCGATTTTGCATCCAAGGGAGACTTCTTCCGATCGTGAATATATATGTTATTATTCCCATGAACGGGGTTGCAACCTCTCAAGAATCTAAAATGGCACATTATTTTGAAAGGTATTTCTGAGGGTATCTCAATCCTATGACAAACACGCTGATTTTTTTCGTTCTGTGTCGAAATGAACGTAAAAACATGTTGGAAGTATCGGTGAAAACAAAGACTTGAAATAATATTCAACTGCGAAAAACTAAATTGGTGGCGTTTTTTTATGATTTTACAGGTGCCTAGTTGTGTTCCATTTACATATATTAGGTGGACTTTTTTAATTGGGCCACCCTGTATAAGTTTCCGTTCATACAAAGCGCTCACTTATATACTCCTTTCAGAGTATTCTGATGATCACCACGAGGGCTCGCCTGAGGATGATGTGTTGCTGAAAGAATTGAAGGATGTTAATCTCAATTTGGTTGATTACTCTAGTCGCACTTCGAAGAATGAAAGATGTTATGTGACTATATATAATAACACGAAAGAAATTACTGTTAAGAAAGGCACTCTCTGTTGGCTCTTGGACAACAAAAACCCTCGACTGAGTACTGACAGACTAGAGCGAGTCAGGGGTCCTAAATGTGCGAGCGAAGTTTTGTCTCGAGTTTTACCAAAAAAAGCCGCAGCTACCAAAAAAAGAAAGAGGCGATCATCAGGAACAAGTACTGAAAGTGTATCACTGTCATCACCCTCCTATGCAGATAGTGACGAGAGTGAAACATTTTCCGACTTGGAAAACGATAAATCCGCGGGTCCGGAAGAAACAGGAGACGTGTTTTTTCCCGAGAAATATTATTCCGTTGCATACAAAGAGAATTGGTATATTGGAAGAATTTTAGAAATTACCAACAATGGGTTGGTAATTAAATTTCTCAAATACGACTTAGACAAATATATTTGGCCACAGTCAGAAGACATTCAAACTGTAGAGGAACGGTATGTTTTTCATGGCCCTGTTGAACTGAAGGGCACATATCCTTTTAATATTGATAGGACTACAAAATTAATTATTGAGAAGAAATATAAAGAAATTAAGAGGACATTATTTTAAAATTTACATGTACCTACCTCCTATGTTGTGTGATATTTTAAGTTCCTGATGAGATTTGTGTTTATTTTATTAGCCGTTTTATAGGTTCAGTACCTGATTTTTTGTTTTGTTTTCGTTCGAATATGTGATATTAAACAGAGGATAGCCAAAAATTGGAATTATTATTTGTAGTAAGTAGCACCTTAACCGTCCATAATAATCACAGACAGCATTATAAAAATATCCTAATTTCTCTAGATTTATTGGGATTTTCTTTCCTCCCTTTCCTTTGAACGTTTCAAGAATGAATCGGCTATTGTTATCAACATTAAAATAGAACATCTTCTCATTGCAAATTTTCACTGTGTTTTGTCATTAGTCTCTCCTCACTGGAAAGTGTCCATGGGATAACTTTGAAAACGGGAGCAGATTCGTTTCTGAAACGTCTATAACTCAAAAGGAGGAGACAAAAGCACAAAAAACTGTAGAAATCAACATTCAACCAACTCGATCAACATAAAACAGAAATTATCACTATTATTATACCTTCAATTACTTAAATAGGTACTGAATAATATTAGATCTATTATCATTTAGTATTTTTAGTATGTGCTATTCCTAATTTAATTACTTTTAAGTACATTAAATACTTTTTAGTACATTTAGTACTCTTAAATATTGTTAAATACTCTTCATTAAACTTTAAGTACTTTTAGTACCTGTTTATTACTTTGAGTACCTTAAGTACTAGTTTTAAGTATTTTAAGTATTTTAATTACTTTTTTACTGAATTTAAGTACCAGATATTTAAATATGGTGTACACAATTTGGGTAGTTGTTTCCCCCTCGGGTATACAGCAGAATTTGATAATTCTATACCACTGAACATAAATGTTCAGTGTCTATATTGATACTTTTGTCTATCAAATTATGTATTGCCCAGTGATTCTCAGTTCTCACTATTGTCACATAGCAATAATGGCAATAGCTCAGAATCTATTGTTATTATGAATAGGTGTGTAAAATAAATCTGAGTGCAAATATGAAAGAAACAAGTTGGAAATGAAGATACAGAGACTGATCTGAGGACTGATCAGTTCCATCAATCTGTCTCTCAGGGCCAGTAGGCTTCCGCTTCCACTTGAATTGTTGATTAAGCTATTGCTTTCTCCTCTCTCAAATTTTTATTGATTCAAAATAAATTTCTCACCTTGGCTCATAATTTCAATGGTGTCATTCATAGGGTCCTTCGTCCATAGTACAAAGCAATAGGAATTTGTCTCCTTACATACTATTTGGTATGGGTCTGAAGGTAAAACTTCAGGGCCCCCATCTTCTGCAATATGAGCCACTGAACCTACATTGTTCCAGCAGAGTATTTTGTTCTCTGAGGGGTCACAGGAAATTCCACAGAGCAATAGGCAAATGAAGGGGATGCTTCTTCTTAGATACATTTTGGCAGGTATTTTGTTATGACCAAAGACTTCCTATTCATTATGCTGCAAGTATCAAGCTTGTTGTGCTGAAATTTTATTTTTGTTTTATTGATTATTGAAATGCCCCGATTTGTGATAACATTATCAGAAGCGGTATAAATATATCTACAATCAACACAGAGGAGTGAAGAGACAAAACAAAAACAACTTAAAGCATTCATCATTACTTCAGGTGATTTTTGGCTAAGGTTTTCATTCACCAAAATAAAATACCAAATGATGGAAGTTCTCAGTAAATAAATAACATTATGGAAAACTCAACTTACTCATCGATTTTCACATAGGTTCCATCAGAATCGCACATTTATATTTGGATCTTTGATTACAGTTAGATCTCTGAACTGTCTGGGTCTTACTTATTAGCGAATTTTTATTGTGGACATGTCGCCTCAGATCCTACCATTCCTACCGTAATCGGTCACGTGACAACATGACATCAAAAAAATGACAGACGAGACGAAGTGACAGGTTCTGTCGCCATGTTGGCGCCTATCAGGTGGCGCTCAAGAGAAATAGATATAATGGTTTCTCTTTCTCTGCTCTGAACACGAACATCTCTTGCCTTTGTCTAATTTTGCTGTTGCGCGCTGTACCGTTTTCGATGGGCGTGGCGCAAAATACAGGGTGACACTAACAAGTAGTGTACTAGAATTTCCATTTAGATCGACAATGGTGTGATATTCTCCGAAGGATAGAAGAGTTTAGTACATACCTTTTCCTGATTTTTCACTTTGATTTACTAGACAAAATGAATAGCAGAACACCTAATTTGCACCTAATGCTGAACAAAATAAATATTTTTTCAATAGATCTGATTTTGATTGCTCACTTTTACCACAGAGCGTTAAGAAGTTGAGGGTAAAAAAGTTACTTTTGTTTTTCCCTGTATAATGATTAGGACAATAGATGTTTTTCGGAAAAAAAATATCAGTCTGATTTTGCAAAACATAATTCTACGCTTTGGTCGAAATTTCATCGAAATCGGAAGAGGATTACGAAAGCTACAGGGCGAACAATTTTGCTAAAAATTTCACTGTCCGGAATTTATTGTCGTGAAGTTGAGCATAATTTTCTGAAATGAACAGGAACGCGAGGGTGCATGATTTTTAGGATGGGAATGAAAAATAAAACATTTTTCAATGAGATTTTCTTTATAAACTTTATGTACAGTGTACATTTTTTAAACTTCAATGTGTACATATTGCTCCCACTTTTGAAACCTTACAAACTATTTTTACACATTTCAAAAGTGAACGTTTAATGGGAAAATATCCAAATTTCAATAAATTAATTAATAATATATTTTTTATATTATGTGCTCAGTTCAACTTTTTCGTATAAAATGGAATGTTTTATACTGTATAAAAGTACTTTTTCATTGGTTATTTTCCCATTTTTTCTTCGTTTCTATTCAAGTATTTACAATGGATGGCTCAAAATGCTGACATATCATTCTAAAGCATTAGTATTCATCTTGTCAACTATTTTATAAAAATAGAGTTTTGTACTTACGGATATACATCTTCAAAAAGAACAACACCGAAATTTCTACAACATATCTTCGATGTGAAATGTTAAATTTCGAAAAAAATCAGCTCCAAAGAATATGTCAACATCGCTAAAATAATTGGAAAATAATGAAGCCTTTTTATTAGGATGACAAGGTCTGTCAGGAAAAATAATTTAGATTTTTCAGTACATTTTTCCACACATTAAAGCATAATGAAATGTAAACTTGATTTTGTACTATAATGTATTATAAAAAACATACAGAAAGGACTCCAGGGAAAAACAAACAGTCAACAGATTTAAAACAATCTCTTGTTTCAATCCAAAAATAAGTTCATATTATACACAACAATAAAAAAATACTCAATTTGATAAAAAAAACATTGGATTTGTTTTTTGCATTTTTGGATTGAAACTTCATTAAAAGGGAAAATTTTTGATTACAGCATAGTTCAGTTAAAAATTAATCTGTACAAAACAAGTACTACATTTTGGTTCTTAAATAATTACAATATTTATATAAAAAAATAGTATCACTTCGAGGATATTTTTTCACGAGAAATAAGTTAATTAACATAAAAAATGATAGACAATATCGTATGAAGAACAACAATTTTTTTCTGAGATAACTACTGCAAAACAGTTCAAATGATAAAATTTCCCCCTTTCATAAAAAAAATCGAACAATTTGAATAAAAAAAGCTTTGATTCTAGCTGAAAAATAAATATTCAAAATAGGATTGAAAAATTTTGATACATCCCTAAACAGTACAAACATTATAAAGGACCCCGCACGAAAACACGGTAAATTGGCTCTCGGTCGAATTGGCTGAAATTGTACCATGTTATTGTGGGATGGCTCATTAGAAAAATATGTGAGTTTAAAAAGTTTTGTATGTTTAGTTTCTGATATATAAGCCGACAAAGTTCGTAAAAAGGTCGTATCGGGGTAGGATTGACAAAATGAAAATTTTTTTTTTTTTTAGTATAAATGACACAAAATAAGCTAGAAAATATATTGATCGGAACTCATGAACATGTCTCGTTATAATCACATAAATTATAGTAAATCAGGGTGTATACGAGGCACGGTCAAAAAATTAATTTTTCGGAAAAAAAATTCGAGCACTATTCCAAAACCAACAAGTTATATTTTGGTGGGATATTATAGTTTTAGTCTATTGTAGGCTTCGAAAACGTATTTTGATTCTTGATAACTATCTCTGTTCGGAATATGAATTTTTAGAATTTTGTGTTATACCCCTTTTTGAAAACAATTGACAGCTTGTTTTTGATCACAAAGAAAGGGATTGATTGATACTGTTGATTGAATGAAAGCTGAGGTAACTCACTAGCGAATTCAGTTGTTCAATATAGTCTTTCATTCAGATACAGGGTGTGTTAGATTTTGTTGAAGATTATTTAACATGTTTCAATTGAATATCTCGAAAACAGTTCCGTTAATTCGGATCTCATGTTACTGACACTATTTTGAATATGTTGACTCAGAAACAAAACATAAAAAATTGAAAAACTTTTTGCATATGAGTCAACATATTCAAAATAGTGAGAGTGAAATGAGATCCAAATTGACGGAACTGTTTTCGATATATTCAATTGAAACATTTTAAATAATCTTCCACAAAATCTAACACACCTTGTATCTTAATGAAAAGTAATATTGAACAACTGAATTCGCTAGTGAGATACCTCAGCTTCCATTAAATCAACAGTATAGATCAATCCCTTTTTTGTGATCAAAAACAAGCTGTCAATTGTTTTCCAAAAGGGGTATAACACAAAATTCAAAGAATTCATATTTCGAACAGGGATAGTTATCAGGAATCAAAATACGTTTTCGAAGCCTACAATGGACTGAAACTATGATGTCTCATCAAAATATAACTTGTTGGTTTTGGAATAGTGCTCGAATTTTTTGACCGTGCCTCGTATTCACCCTGATTTACTATAGTTTATGTGATCATAACTAGACGTGTATTTGAGTTCCGATCAACACATTTTCTAGCTTATTTTGTCTTATTTATACTAAAGAAACAGTTTTTTTCTTCGTCAATCCTACTCCGATACGACGTTTTTACGAACTTTTTCTACAAACGCTTAACAAAGTAGCCTTTGACGCTTTCAAATTCCAGCACAAAGTTGACGTTTTCCCAGAAATGTCATTCTTTGACAGCATTTGCGCTCGTGAGCGAAAATATTGAAAAAACGCTCGCACATCTCTGTAACCTATACTTATCTATTCTTTTACTGGCTTATTTTGGTAAACAATCAAAGACTTTGAAGTCATCAACTCATTGGTCTATATATTCGATGGTACGTATACATGCTTGAATGTTAAAATTAATATCGGACTCAATAAGTATCTGAAATTTATCGCATTTCTCAAGAAACAATCTATTGGATATAAAACGAGAAAAATCCAAAACATTTACCGCCGAAGATATATACCAACAAATTTCTACAAGAAGCTCCCGATGAAGCTTTTCTGTTGAAAACGATGAATTATACTTTATATTTAAACTATTTGTTGTCATCAGAAAGACAGTGTATCTTTATTTTATTGCATCAATGAGTAATGTTCAATTTGATTGCAGAGTTTATCGTACTATGGCTCAGAGGTGTGAAGCTCAGGTTGCCTTGCTGGTGGTCCAGTTTCAATTCTCGGTAGGCCCGACATTTTTTTTCTGACTTGTCAGTTATTTCAATTTTTCTTTTTTTGTTTCCTTTGGACATATGGGATAATATGGATAAGAACTTTTTCAACTATTTCAATCGCTCATACTTTCAGGGCAGTTATTTCCAAAAGCTGCGTTAGTAGAAAAAATCTTGTGTGTATTTCGAGCACAAAGTGTCATTGCCGCTCTCCAAAGATTACCGCGCTCCGCTCCGCATCGCGCGGTAACTTTCTTTGTCGAGCGGCAATCTATCACTTTGCGCTCTAAATACACAAATAGCTATTGTCGGCTTATATCTTAGAAACTAAACATACAAAACTTTTCAAACTCACATATTTTTCTAATGAGCCATCCCACAACAACATAGTGAAATTTCAGCAAATTCGACCGACAGCCAATTTCCCGTGTTTTCGTACGGGGTCCTTTATCATCCAATCTACCAGAACTCAACAATATGAAAATTTTCGGTGAACATTTGAACTATTTTGTTTTGGCATTCAACTTGAAGGAGAAAAACGAGATCTACAGAGAACAGACAGCGAAATAACAAGATAAATGTTCAATCTTGGGCACACTCACGGAAATTATACACCTATTCAAAAGAAATCCCACCCCTCCCTTCCCGGCATAACACTCGAAAATTTACGCGGAATTCACGAAGGAACTGTTTTGAAAAGTCGGCGAAAACAACTCATATTAGGGACGATATAACAAAAAATTAGAGAGGATATATACAGAGCGAGTCGAAAACTTGAAAAGAAATATACAATTATAGAATTTCCTTCCACAGTGATTCTTAAATAGAATGCATTGTTATACAATTAGCTGAAATTGCTCATGAAATAAGTTTTTCCAGAGGAAAAAATTGAGTTGAAAATCAATTGGGTGATAAATATTTTACTTATGAAATAAAAATTCTTTCAAATTGGAAATTGTCATGGCATTCATATTCTAGTTAAATAATATATAAAAACAGAATTATGCTATTTTATTTGAATATGCAAATATATCCAAGATCTTTAATTTCTGAAATATCCTATTCACAGGAGATGTTTAAATTTCAGGAAAATCAAAATCAATAAAATTATGTAAAGATTATTATTCAATGAATCTATCAAATTCAATAAACTTGAAGTGTTCTTAGCTCAGCAAGACACAATGTAAGTTTCATAATTTTAATGTCAAAAGAAAAGAAAAATACAATCAAGTCATTTTTTATAGTGAATTCAGGCACTTGAAAAGGTCTTTGGCATCACAGCTCAGGTTCATTTTCAAATTTCCATTTTAATCCATTGAGAAATGACTACTCAGGATGAAATAATTTACTTTTGGAAGGACCATTCTACAATGACGTGTATATGTCATAAAATTCCACTACTCGCCCTGTACACTCCCCTCCAGACCTAAATCAGGCAGAAATCAACATTGATTAGCATGCTGCTTCAAATTGTAGACTCCATTAGTTATTGTCACCCATAGGGATGCATTGTGACGGTTGAAATTTTCAAATAAACAGTCATTACATCAGTTTACAAACATGGGAAAATGCTGAATAACTCAATTCCAGTCAAGAACTGTTTTTCAGTTTTTTCCCATAATATTCTTTGATTATAGACAAAGACATTCAAACACAAGAGACTTCATTCTTCATGTTTTTGCCAGATCAGTCATCATTTGATCCTTCTCAATCTCTTTCCCTTCTTGCTAGATTGTGCGAATTTTTGAATAGGTCATGAAGTTTTGCAATGGATTGAATGATTTAACACAAAACATTATATTGCATTAAAGCATAATTGTTTCTCATCATTCCCATTCTATGGATTTTAGTATGATTCAACTAAAGATGTTCATTTCAATAAAATCAATTCCTCCTAATCGGTTTTCACCTGACAAATCACCACTTTTGGCAACGCCGCAGGTATAACTTCCGAGAATTACTGTCCTGAATGGGTACATTACCCAATCGCCGCTGACTTGTTAGTGTTTCCTTGTGATTTATTTGGGTTATTTTAGCCTTTTCACTTTTTTGTTTATTGAATTGTATGCAAAAGGGTAGATCGGGATACAAATTTGACTTTTCACCGGTAACCAAGGTTATGTTATAGTGTGTTGATTTAATAGAAATAGGCACCCAACGTTATCATCACCATCATCACATCAAAGCAATAACAGATCAGCTTCCAGAACATTTCTTCAGTGTAACATTTTGTCTTTTGTCCCTTGTGTTTGACAGCCTATTTAGTCAACTTTGTCTTTATCTCAAGTCTAATATCCTCATTCCTAGCCTCAGTATTTTTCCTACAGAATAAGAAGGACATGACTATTTATACCACTAGACATAAGGACTTTGACAAATGACACTAATGACAGTGGTTCCTTTGTATCTCAATTGTCATGCACGCACTGAACATGCGCAGTGACTTCATGGTCTTAGTCTCAAGCATAAAAGTTGGGAATTAGGAACTCTCAAGGTCACGTTTTAGGACTGAGACAAAAAGAGATAAAATTAAAACAAAGACTGGGTAGTCTAAATAGACACTGAATGACTCTGATTACAACCCACAACTCGACACCGCCTGCCAATCAACGATAGATCCACCCTACACCCCGCTTCACTGCCTGACTCGTCGCTTTCACGGCGGCAGCGTCCACCCGTCTCACGCCATCGCCGCCCCGCCTTCACTCTCGCTGCTGCCCGACCCCGTACTCGACCCCGCCCCCACGCTTCCTGGCCCCGCCCCTAGTACCCCGAGCCCCGCCCCCGTACCGCCCACTCCGCTTCCCTCGTTCAGTCTGTCGACGCGATACCTGTTGTACGGCGCGTAGGGGGTGCGCGCTAGATCGTTGTCGGCGAGTACACGCGTCCTATTGGGTATGACGTCGGCGCCGCGGCCCATCAGCCAGTCGACGCACCGCTTCGATTGGGCGTCGGAGATGTGGCGCTCGCCCCAGCGGCGCAGCCATTGGCGGAAGCGGCACGATTTGTGTTTCGTCACCGACGGGTGGGACTGGAACATAAAAATGGAAGATTATGAATGATGATGATAATAGGCGAGTGGATCAATTTTTTTTTCATTTCTTGAATAGAATAATCAGCATTAGCATTAATAATGCCACGGTAATTTTGAAACGGCTAGAAATTCACGAAACGATTGAAATATCAACTTTCTTATCCTCTGTGTCTCTTTTGTATCTTGCTTAGTATTTGAGGAAACAATAAAAATTCGATTTGACTCAAAATTTCAATGTAGGTGCTCTCAAAACATTCATTGAGATTTCTCAATAACCTCAAATAAAAATCATTATGAAATGTTGGGACTTTTACAGTCTCCAACCATACTGAATTTTGGCACCATGAAAGCTTATACAGGGGCGTTATAAATAAAAATAATTGATTCTTCCAACGTCAACATCCTGTATATGAAAAATGAAGCAAGTTAGGCCACTTTATATGCACTTATTTCCTAAAATATCACAAGTAATCACCCCCTAGAGTTTGTCGCATTTCTTCACTAACACCCTGCATAACATAAATCTTAAAAGAATATCCATTATCTCACAATGATTACGCAAAGTTATCCCCACCATTCGCGATTTCATTCATTTATCCGTGTTTGGTGTTTAGGATTGCTTGCGTAGTTGGCATATACTTCTCAATGATTTATGAATGGATCACGTCGTCATTTACCGTTATTTAAAGTTAGTCAAAAGTACAGTCCGTCAAAGTCCTCACCTTTCTAGCTCTATGGAAGGCACTAATGTTGTACAGATAGCTGTTCTTGGTCACGGTAAACATGACACTTACACCCTGCATAAAATAAATCTTTGAAGAATATCCATTATCTCATAATGATTCCGCAAAGTTATCCCCACCATTCGCGATTTCATTCATTTATCCGTCTTTGGTGTTTAGGATTGCTGGCCCAGTTGGCGTATACTTCTCAATGATTTATGAATGAATCACGTCGTCATTTACCGTTATTCAAACTTAGTCAAAGGTCAAAAGTACAATCCGTCAATGCCCTCACCTTTCTAGCTCTATGGAAGGCACTAATGTTGTACAGATAGCTAAGTTTGGTCACGGTAAACATGACACTTACACCCTGCATAAAATAAATCTTTAAAGAATATCGATTATCTCACAATGATTCCGCAAAGTTATCCCCACCATTCGCGATTTCATTCATTTATCCATCTTTGGTGTTCAGGATTGCTGGCCCAGTTGGCGTATACATCTCAATGATTTATGAATGAATTACGTCGTCATTTACCGTTAGTCAAAAGTACAAGCCCTCACCTTTCTAGCTCTATGGAAGGCACTAATGTTGTACAGATAGCTGTCCTTGGTCACGGTGAACATGATCTTCGAGTCCTGCATGTTGAACTTGCACTGCTGGTCGTCGTCCACCGCGTAGCCCGGCCGCTCCGAGTGCTGGCGCTCCGGCAGCCCTACGGCGCGCTCGTTCAGCTTCTTCTCGATGGCTTGGAGGATGTCGAAGCTCGAGTCCATCGACGGTTTGCCGTTGTTGTCGCCCTCGGTGGTCGAGGAGGGGACGTCGTCGCCCGATTTGTCTCCCTCGTCGTCCTGCAAACGAAAAAGGCGGTGAGTTTAGTTTAGAACTGTCGTTGTTGAAGACTTCTGTCTGACATTATGCTTTGTTTTTCTCTTTAGTGGTCCTATGTAACTTATTGTTGATGATGAAGTACTTTCAAATAATGATATTAGTATTATCAATTACACAAGATTAAGAAAAATAAATTTATTTTTATATGGGAATGTCATCTGCCTCGGTAATACTGAGAAAACTATGAAATTTAAATTGACCAGGGACCATGGCAGATTGCTTTCTCCAGGCCCAACCTTGATTGTACAATGTCTTCAGATTCAGATCATTAACAAATCAAGGCCTTCAACGAACTACCAAGTAACTTGACGAAATTCTAGACAAAGATGTTAAAATATTGGTAGTGTAGTGTAGCAGTTTTGTGAGTGACGTCATGTACGTGCACGTAAGAATCATTTCTCGTACACATCAATGTGCCTATAGTCACTGGGCGATAAAAAACTACCGTAAAATTGGGTTATTTGGACCGTCGGGGTTTTCTTGAGAGGCAACTTTGTATGTTCTAATTTCACTACAACAGGCAACAATGCAAATATAAACATAACCTCAATTTAATACTTTGGTTAGTTGAAGAGCAATCTGTTGATCATTAATTTATGGAATTCTTCATAATTTAATGGTATTTCAAAAGTATAAAAAAAAACACAAGCGGTGGTGGGAAGCAAGACAAAAATAAGTGGCCAAAAATTTGATCTAAAAGAGGGAGTCAAAAGGTGAACAGATAAGTACAATTACAATTCATAGCTAGTTTTGTGAGTTTTATAAATACTGCCAATGTCTTTGCCCGTTTTCAAATAATTTTTTCAAATTTTGTCACTGTAATTATCTGAGAAAAAAATTGAAACTCAATATGTGTATAATTTTTATTTTTCTGCTGTCCCAAGTAACCCGTGAATAATTCAATAATTATAAACAGATATGTTTCTTAGGGTAATAAAAGCAATCAATCAATCAATTTTCCGTGAAAAAACAGCACAGTCCCATTTAGGTAACCCCTATACTTGGGACAGTAAATATATGCATTTTTTTTACAAATGTTTTCACACTAGGAGCCATTTTGGATACTTTATAGGTGAGATGCATATGGCAGAAATTTTGTACACCCGAATTGTTGCTTTGCCTTCCTAAAAACTTTGATAAAGTCCCATATTATTGAAAAAATCAAAGTGAAGTGGCCGAATTTGTCTATGCGCTGAAATTCGCTGTCACGATGCGAAGGTACCGTCGGTTCGAATCCGGCTATCGCCTGAGAATTTTTCTTTAAAAATGTGTTAATCATGGTTGTAATCCTAGCAGCACCTCGATGCCCTAAAAGTGGTTCAATTCCACTATAAGCTGTAGGTCCCGCTCTTCCTAACCCCGCACAAGTTTCGACTTCTGGGAAGTTGGTTCCCAACTTTGAAGTAGTGATATACAAATTTCACAAAAAATCTTCGCGCAGCCTCACCTGCGCCCTACTCGCCTGCCGACCTCTTCCACCACCCCCCCTTCTCGCCGCCTTGCTGCTCAGCCCGCTCACCCGCCGCTGGTACAACCGCAAATTCCTGTCCAAATACACCGGCGACCTCGGCTTCGACTCGCCGCCCGCCGTCAGATCGGCGTAGCGCTCCTTGTACTCGCTCCACTTCTTCGCCTCGTCGACTTTTTTGCCGTCCTCGGGCTCGGTATCGAGCAGCTCGATCGTGAGTCGACAGTCGCGCTTGTACACGAACATCTTGAAGCAGTTCTCCTCTTGGACGGCCTTCTCGGCAGCCCGTTGGTAGGCCAGCTCGAGGTGGACCTAAAGGGAGGAGGAAGAGAAAAACGAATGATGATGGATCATACATTCTAGTAGGAAGGAAAGACAAACTCCAAGTCGGTCGACCACCCTTTAAAACACAAACTAGCAGACCTCGCAAACGTTGTTTTGCTATATACATTATTTCTATATTATATTTTTTCAGTTTAATATTCATCAAGACACTATTATTTTATTTTCTAATTCTCTTTAGTTTCACTACCTATAAAAGCGTGTTTATCTAGTTTTTCTAACTACCATTTATTTCAACTTCTTTTTAGTTCACTTGAATTTGCCAATTTTGACGAAAGAATCATAAAATCCGACTCCTGAAACCCCAGATGGAAATTTTTAAAAGAAAACATAATTACAAAACTCGTCCGCAATATTGGATCTACCATCTTGAATTCCCTAACTTTGACGAAGGAATCATAATTTTTGATCCCGAAAACGCCCACTTACAAATTTTGTATGGAATCGGTATATAATGGGCTTACATCACAAAAAATTTTTATTTCATAATTCGATAGAACTCTCCCAAACTAGCTCACCACCGCGAACCGTTTTTTGCTGTGAGCTCCCTACGTTTTGAAAAAAAATATTGAAATCCCCGATTTTTTCGGACCTCTGAAAACGAGGCGATGATGTGACGTCAAAACCCTAATACTGAAACAAGACTATTCCAGACAGAGAGAGGGTCCGTTTTCAGAAGGTACTACTATTTATGTCCAAAAATAAAGCATTCCAGTTACTTTTTCGATCGAATTATGTCGTCAATCATTATATATGTATAAAAGGATCATTATAAACATGGTTTGAGATAAAAGTTCTACTAAGGTGTACACGCCTATTACAAAACTCGTCCGGTATCTTGGTTCCACCATCTTGAATTTCCGAATTCCGCACTTTTCAAATTTTGACAAAAGAATCATACTGTCCGACCCCGAAAACACCCAGATAACAATTTTGAAGAGAGTCGGATCATAATTACAATACTCGTCCGCCATATCGGCCATCTTGAATTTCCTAATTTTGACGAATGAATCATAATCTCCGACCCCGAGAACCACCAGATACCAAATTTGAATAAAATCGGATCCTAATTACAAAATCCGCCATTATGGATCCGCCATCTTGAATTTCTTAATTTTGACGAAGGAATCATAATTCCCGATCACGACAACCCCTAGATACCAATTTTGAAAAGAATCGGATTATAATTTCAAAACTCGTCCGTCATCTTTGATGGTTCTAAGTTACCACCAATTTTCAGCCAAATCGATCCAGTAGTTTAGGAGACTATTCAATACATACACACAAACAAACCAACAATCAAATCTTTCCTCTTTATAATATTAGTATAGATAACATTAAAGGTGGATTTATGCAAACTGTTTTTTTCATTAATCTGTTGCTTTCATTCACTGTTAAGTTTCTATTTATTAAAGGATATTAGTATGATACCACCACCTTCTTTTAATTTTAAACTCTTCTTCTTGATCAAAACATAGTCCTCAGGGTACTTAGCACGGTGAAAATATTTGTGTTACAACATTCAGTGATCACATAATTACAATAAGAATCATTCATCCATGTTGTTTTCAAAGTATAATTTGAACATACGACTAGAATTTCCTGAATTTTCAACCACATTTTGGAAAAAGAAGGGGAAGAAACTGTTTGTCTGACTTCTGACAGAATCGCCCCTGCGCAAGTCACAGTTTAATTTGAATTTGTCGTCAAGAGATAAAAGTTGGTCATCTTTTGGTGAATAGCTAATGAAAAATAAAATTCAATTTAGGTGCATGAATGAATGAACTGAAATAGCAAGTTTCAACTAGTGAAATTGTTGATGATTGTGAAATTACAGATTAGTGAAAAAGCGGTGTGCATAAATCCACCTTAACCCTTTAACGTCCAAATTTCTTTATCAAGATGTATGTTGTTTTTCTCATAAAAGTCAATAGCTTTATGTTAAATACTTGCTGACCCGACAAACGTTGTTTTACCATACACATCATTTCTAGAAACATTTTTTTTTTAGATAAATATTCATCATTTCATTTCTACTATCCATAAAAGCGGGATTCCTTAGTTTTTCAAACTATTCTATTTATTTTCTACTTCTTTTTAGTTCGGCACTCTATTATTATCATTATTATTAACTGTCCTCTGCTTGGGTAATACTGAAAAAGTATTGATTTCAACCTGACCAGTGACCTAAGCAGATATATTTCTATGGGCCTCACATTGACTGCACAATGTCTTGAATAGAACATGTACAGCTTCGATAGGGCCATAATGAAATGAAACTAGTTATTTTTTACAAAATATCACCATTTTTGGAGCAATCTGTCTGTACAATATAATATATACTACACACTGATAATTAGTGAGAAATGCCATTTTTCAATGGTTTTACGGCTGTTATGTGATACATTTTCGGTGTTTCAGTAACTCATTGGATATTATAAATCTGAAGCAGACTATTTGTGAATAAATATTGTTCAGCAATGTCGAATCTGTAAAGAAAAGTTAGTAACAAATGTCCTAACCTGATATTTCACAGGTATGTAGAATTGTTTGATGACTTCTGTTGATGAAAAACATGTTTCACTATATCACATAACAAGTAATGTTACGTCACAAAAGGCCGTATAATTGTTACAATACGTGCGAGTTAATTTATTAATGCACATACATCTATTGAATATATCAATTCTATGGAAATGATTTCGCAGTTATCCCCACCATTCGCGATTCCATTCATTCATCCGTGATTGTCATTCAGGATTGTTTTTGATGATTTATGAATGAATCACGTTGTCTATCGCTTGTTACTTAGGCTGAGCACTCATATGTGCTGTTATTATCCGCACCATTCACGGTTCCATTCAATGGGGAAGTTTCTTATATTGAGGTTTTCATCTCACTGTGAAGTTTGTAAAAAATTAATATATACGTATTTCCTCTTTTTTCGTAAGATTAAATTTCACTTCAGAAATAAATAAATAAAAGAGGAACTTGGCTCCTCCACCATTCCTTTAACGTTAGATTTCTGGAAATTTTTCTTTGAATGCATAATAACTATATCATAACAGTAATGGGATATAATAAGTTCTTCAATCCTACTTTGTCAAGTATTATGAATAATTCCCATAAATCTGATTACTAATAAAGATAAATTATGATATTTTGCGATAGTATCTATAACTTTTCACTATCGTTATATTAAAATATGTTGTTCATAACTAGTCAGTTATTTTTTTGCTATTGAATTCATTCCTTAATAAAAAGGATCTATTTTCTAGGGAAGTTGCATATTATATCATGCAACAGCGCCTAATACTTTCGAGTCCATCCACACCACTGACAGGCAAAACAAGAGGAAGGAGCCATGGGTGTCGGCTTCATTCTGTTCTGACCGATGGCAGTAAATTAGGAAGGATAGTATCATTTAATGTAGCCGATAGTGATTCATTGATTCAATATTTTCGTTTAGGATCGAGCTCTATTCCAGAGATTTCAATGCATAAGTAACAAAACCAACTGCCCTCTGTATTCCTGGTCCGAGTGGATTTGTTTACCAGTTTTACTTCTTCTTCTATTTTTTTCATTCGTTAGCGATTTGTTAGCTATTTGCTAGCTATATTCTTCACCATCAGCTATTCTCAGACTAGATTCAGAATGTACGTCACAGTTTGCGGCCCCGAAAATTAGAAATTGCTTTAATTTGGAAATGAAAACGACTTGTACCTTATCGGTCGCCATTCTGTACAGCGTGGCCATAAAACTGGAGAGTTCCGAACTTATTTTATGAAAATTCATCTGAAGGAAACTTCCCCATTATCCGTGTTTAGCGTTTAGCATCGTCGGCACATACTTCTCATTGATTTACGAATGAATCGCGTTGTCTATCTCTTGTTATTTAGGCTGAGTACTCACCCGCAGATGTATAAATGTCTGTGAATATCCCCACCATTCGCGATTCCATTCATTCATCCGTGTTTGGCGTTGAGCATTGTTCGGTTATACGGTGTCTATCTATTGTTATTTAGGCTGAGCATTCACCCGCAAATGTACAAATTTCTGTTAATATCCCCACCATTTGCGATTTCATCCATCCGTATGATTAGCGGTGTCATTTAACCGTTATTGACATTAATGATTGTTGTTTAGGTGTTAAGTATTTTATGTTATTCAGTCAATTGTTCTTTGGCACTCACCCTCTTGTGGGCGGTGGCGCACTGCCCCCCCGCCGCGCCCCGCTTCTGCTCGCGCAAAAACAGCTCCGAACACGCTACGGCCGTCCGCTCGGTGACGCAGTGTTGCAGCTGCCTGACGGCATAAGAGACGACCTTGTCCAAGGTGAAGGCGACGTAGGCGTGGATGCCGAACATCTCGCGCAGCGTGTCCTCGTACGCGTTGGCGTCCATGTTGCCGTCCAGCAGGTTCTTGACCATGTCGAGGAAGGCGGGGTAGTAGTCTTCGATCTCGATCTGTGATAAGGAAAACCAAGGGAGGTTTAGATCTGGGTCTGCACAATAGTTCCAAGAAAGCTATAACTCCTCTTCTACATATATTCAACAATAAACTTTTAAGCATTGATTTGGAGAGTTTGAGCCAATCTTCATATCCTCTCATTTATAATAGTCTCTCTTTACGAGTAAATGTTCAAAATTACCTCAAAGCGCGCATCCCCATATATATAACTAAAATTATCCCTCAACTAAGGACATGTAGTAAGTCGTCCCTTCAATCCAATAGTGTATAAAATAAATACTGAAGAATAATGTACTGTTTGCAATCTCCACAGACCGGAAACTTTGGAACACATTCTCTTTGAATGTCCAGTTTATGTTGGTATCAGGAACTGTCGATTATTTCAAAACATTGAATCTCTAGATGATTCAATATATTATTATCTTCTAAATTATGGTGGCCTAGCTGACTTGAAACTTCTAGTACAAGTTCTGATCAATTTGTTGAAGCTCAGATATTTTGTTGTGTATGAGTAATTTGCATAGGAATTATAATTTCAATATCTTCCTTGGTAGATTCAATCAAGGTCACGCAGGAAGGATTTTCGTTTTAGTTTTAGCTGTTAGTTCTGATGTATTCAATCATTACAGATTACCCAACCCTTGTAATAAAAATTATTGTAATTCTTGTTATACAATAAATCTATCTAATATCTATCTATCTCTATCTGGGTGTACAGCGGCTTTCAAGTCGATTTGGGGAATGTTTCCACTGAATGTTGAGGTGAAGAGAAGTTTGTTTGTTCGATAGTCGGTATTCACATCGGATTGCTCAGATCAGTATGTACCATTCGTTTATAACATGCGAATTAATGGAAGGTAGATCTTGATCGTTCGGATTTTCATATCCGACAAAAATGCGATTGATTTATTTGCTCGGATAATTTTGGTAGTCATTTTTCCGCCAGCTGTCAAGTAGAGTCTGTAGATTTCTCTAATTTTCGTGTAATAAAAATGAAAAATATACAACTGTTTGCTGCTGAGTACGACAAAATACATACATTAATTGTGTCAGGTAAGAATTAGGAAGACATTATCAAAATAAAAGTATGTTGAAGCATTTAGTAATGTTCTTTATATGATAAATTCTACCACCATCAATAAAAGTTCATTTTCCAGATTTGACTCTGGCTGCAATCCTACTGGAAAATGATCATGAGGCAGAGAAACCCCTTATTTTCCCCTTAGTTTTGGAGATGAGTGATTGAAATTTGGAATGACCCATCAACTTGATAAACATCACATTTTGACATGCTTTATTTTTCACTTCCGGTTTCATGAAGGAATTTTCTCTCAAATATTCCACTATAACAAAATGAGCTTTCAACATTTTTCAGTTAACTGGCGCCACTGACAGGCAGACATATTGGGTCAGTGAACAGACAATATTATACCTCGCCTACTGGATTTGCTTTTAGAACAATAACGAAGTGGCGGACGAATTGAAACGTTGTGAATTGATAGTAATATTCTGACAGCTTGTCCTTAGGAGGAATATCAATTAAAGAGACTTCTCCAATGCCATACAAAAACTGTTTTATGATTGACACCGTCAAGAGCTCAAGAAAAGTCAACAGATAAATGATGTTTCCCCTTCATCTTATGAAGTATCAATTTAAAAATGTCATCTGCTTGGGTGATACTGTGAAAACTATGAAGTAAGATTGACCAGGGACCTAAGCAGATTATAATATAGGCCTCATTTTGACTGCACAATGTCTTTGAATTAAAAAAACATGCAGCTTCGATAGGGCCCGAATACATTTATAAACATAAAAGCACAAGATAATTGAGTTACATTTGAATAACTTGAAAAAATATCTATATTTTCACCAATTTGCAACAAAATTTTGATTGGAATACATTATATTATGCAATTCATTCAATTTTCCATGAAGAAATAGTTGTTGTTCAAACCTACCTGTGGTTTGGGTTTCAGCCTTAAGACAATTGCCGTACTATCCTTCCTGTTGGACCTGTACTTGACTTCTTCCGTGGCCATCACTACGGCCCTCTCATAGATTTTCGCCAGACGCTCGCACAAAATCGCGTGCAACCTCAAAAAGATGTACCAATTGTTGTTGGCCATCAATAAAGTATACGCCTCCTCCTGAAAAACAACGAAATATTAAATTCGTGGAATTTTCTCCTTAAATACCACACCCATACGAATAAAACAGTGTTGGAACATGGAAATTGTCGATTTTCACTTACTGGATCAGTAGTTTGTGCGTGAGGGGGCAATTTTTGTTCCTCTTCTTTGACCTCTGGGTCCGATTTTACGTCGAACGGACTCCTGTCTCCACCTGCGGGAGATTTGCCGGGACTAGAATTACCCTTGCCCTTATTTTCTTTGTCCGATTTAGGGGAACTATTGGGACTGTCATCACATTCATCTTTATCATCTGAAAACAAAAAAAGAATGAGAACAGGATAAATTAGTGTTGTTTCTTGATTGGATCATTATTATCGATATTCCCCACTAGTTAACTTCTAAAATTTTCAATTATCCCTCAGCCCAACATATTTTTCATGTTGAGATTATTGTCATCTGCTTGGGTAATACTGAGAAAATCATCTAAATTAAATTAACCAGTGACCAAAGCAGACACATTTCTCTAGGCCACATTTTGACTGTGTAATGTTATAGAATAAGAACATAAACAGCTTCGAAAGGGCCTTCATGCAAACAACAGTGGGGAACAGAATTGATGAAACTTTACAGGGTAACAAGAGTAATAGTGGGAACTATTGTTCATTATGAGTGGAAAAATATCTTAAAATACACTGTGAAAAAGAGAGAAATCACTATTGAAGGAGTGGATTTCGTTAAGAAAACGAACATTGACATCCTCTCACACACACACACCACTCACACAGTGTTTAGTACTTGTATGACCGTATATAATAGTTTGGTACTTGTATTATACTATACAGTATATGAGATTTTCATTTGTAGTTAACATCACATGTTGTAGAAGCATTTATCAAGATGTATCGATAAAATCAATGAAGGAAGATAATAGCAATCTCTACTGCATTATCATATCCATAAAAATACAGTCCACTATCTCTCAAGCATCGAGTAACAGTGAATGCCAAGCAGCTGGAGCTTTCACATAAACATAAGATTTATCGATAAAATAAATAATTAAAGGAGGATTACATTACATTACAAATTGCAATTCTAATATCAATATTTAATTATCATATCACTATCTATGAAGCATCGAACATATTGGTCCTTCGAGCCGGATCCATTCAAATCAAACCTTCAAGCCTGCCAGAGAAGCTCTCAAGACCACCTGGAGTAACAGTGAATGCCAAGCAACTGGAGCTTTCACATGTAGCAACAAGCAGTTCAAGAGAACATACTGGTCCTTCGAGCCGGATCTATTCATCCATTCATATCAAATTTTGAAGACTGCCAAGTTCTTCAGAGCAGCTCTCCAGACTAGCTGGAGCAGCAGTGAATGCCAAGCACAGAAAATGTTGACCAACAGCTCAACTCACCGTCATCCTCTCTTTCGTCGTCGCTGAGCTGCTGCCTCGGATGGAAAAACAGATCGGGCACGAACTGCCTCAACAGGTGCTTGATCCGCCGCTTCTCTCCCTTCTGCACGCCCGTCTGCCGCTTCAGGTGGTGGATGAGCAGGTTGGTGGCATCGTCCAGCACAGTGCGGTCCTTATAGGGCAGCACGAGGTGAGGGCCGGTCGCGTGCTCGGCGCCATCTTCGTTCTGCTCGTGCCTCTACAACAAAGAAGGCGACAATTAAAGATACATACAATAACAAAAGTACAATGAATACACCAAACAAACATAAACGTGCATAGCATAAGATGTCCAGAAATTAGAAGACAAAATCCCAATTCGCGATAGAAAATAACACGTTGCCCCACCTGACGGCAAAACTTGCACACTTCTGAGCAGCTTGTTTTGAAGGATTGACCAATAATCATAAAAAGAGGCAAATGTGTACCAATGAAAACAAAGTAAACATGCCGCTTTGACAGCTTTCGAAAACTCCGATAGGTGACGTACGCTCATTTTCTATCGCGAATAGTAACTAGGTGAGAAATGGTCCACAATCGAATTCTTTATCAAGCATCAACCTCAGTCAATAACAAATTGTCTCACAGATAGCTTTTTCTTTGTAAATACTGCAAATTGACGTCAGCTACAAAAAAGTCGTCAACGTCATTTTACATTATTTCTGAAATAAAAACTGTTCATGAACTATAAATTTGGCGTGAACTCAATAATGAATGCGGAATTCAGCAACGAGACTGTATTTTAAAAATGCTTTCCACCCCCCCCCCCCCCTCCCTTTTTTTCAATTACTTTCGATATCATCATTAGTCAGATAAAATTCTTTTTGGGAATCAATCAGCTGTGTTAGGTTGTGCTACTCATTACTTTTTCATTCAATAATTCAAACAGAAAAGAATCATCTAGTTAATGAGTACATTTCATCTACTGAATGATCCAATTATTTAGATTTTTATTTCAAAATAGATATAGCGAGATAGATGATAGAAGAAATCTTTGATGTCTAATATATTCAATGCAAAACTTGTTTTGAACCTTCCATATACATCTTAGCGAACTTCTTGATGACTTTTTAAACTCTGTCATCTGCTTGGGTAATACTGAAAAAACTATTGAAATTAAGTTGACCAGTGACCAAAGCAGATATTTTTCTCTAGGCCACATTTTGACTGTGCAATGTAATAGAATAAATACATAAACAGCTTCGATAGGGCCTCAAAGATTAAAACAATAAACATATTATATCGGATAAATACATCTTTATACAAAAAAAATTCCAGACTGGCATGAAAATTACCTGTTCATGAACCGAAATCGATGCCTTACCTCACCGAAAATAGTCTCGATCTCGTTGAAGAGACTGTTCGACCGTAACGTGCAAATGTAATCGAATAAAAACATAAACAGCTTCGATAGGGCCTCACAGATCAAAACAATAACCATATTTTATCGGATAAATTCATACGAAAAAAATGCTAAACTGGCATGAAAATTGCCTGTTCATGAACCGAAATCGATGCCTTACCTCATCGAAAATCGTCTCGATCTCGTTGAAGAGACTCTTCGACCGCAACGCCTTGACGTCGGTCTGCTTGAAGTTGATCCCTTGGTGGTCGAGACTCTTCAGGTAGTACTTCTCGTTCTGGTCCCGCCATATCTTGTTGAAGCCCTTCTGCGCCTCCCGCCACTCCTCCTCTTTCACCTTCAGCCGCCTCAGGACGACGGGGACGGCGACCGCGGGGCTCTTCTTCAGTCCGTCGATTATGTCTTGAGCCTGAAAACAGAAGGGAACATATAAAATGCACCTAATTATGTAGATGTATTAAATTTGTATATGAAAATAGGTCATATTTCATACAATGATTTTTTAAAATGACATCGTCATGAGCACTATACCAAAAAAATACCAGTGAATATAAATTTGAATTTGTTCATTCATACTAGGACGATGAAAGAGTTGATTAAAAAATGTTCATTTCAAAACTATTTGAAATGGTGTCAATTCATCGGTGTGATGTATTAGTCCCAACATGCCTTTGGCTTTTTGAAATATCCAATGGTATAGGATGATTTCAAAATGCTATAGATTCGATTGACTTCAGCTTCAACTTATTATATTGATTGTACATTAATTTTAAATCATGATTCATATATTGAAAGAGCTTCAGACCGATTTCATCACTCAGTGGTCTTCCCCATTCAACATAACTCATAACTATAATACTAGAAACATCTCAGACTATAATATTCCACATCATAGGTTAGCTTGTTTTGAGAAATGGGCTCTACAATCCTACATAAAATTCTTCAATCATTTACCCACACACATATAACAATGAAAATTTCCAACTAGTGAAGAAGCTCATACTCAACATCTTATGTAATCTGGAACCCTATTCCATGAATGATTGTTTTGAGCAGTGCCTGGAAAATGCAGCAGGTTCAGGATAATTAAATTTTGCATCCTCAATATGATATATTCCTTTAGGACCAATTTCTAGTCCAATAACTTCTAAGATATAAAAAAGGCAAATTACAAGGGATATCATAGAATTAGTAAACTATTGTCATCTGCTTGGGTAATACTGTGAAAATTATTGAATTTTAACTAACCAGTGACCAAAGCAGATTTCTTTCTGTAGGCCACATTTTGACTGTACAATGTCTTGAGTCAGGATATTGACAGCTTCGAAAGGGCCTAAAATACGCTACGGCTCAGAAGATGTTTGAAAATGTTTGATGTTTGAAGATGTTTCAAAAATTATTCAAACTGAAACATGAAAACAAAGATTTGGCAACGCATTATGTTATTTTGATATAGAAACCGTATGCATTTACATTACTTTATGAAGTAGTTCTTCTCTTTATTTGAATATGGATACGTGAAAAATATATTTTCTTAAAAACATAATGTACCTAATTGAGTATACATACTCCATCCAGAAAGTGAACTTATAATCACCCAGTATACTATCAACTTGTCAACAGTGATATAACAATGTTCTGAAAATTCAAGCAACACAATTGAGTTAAAAATGAAACAAAGAATTAATAGAAGATATTCAGAACAGAGTGGTATTTTGCTAGACTAATAATTATATATAGAGGATGGTCCGGTTTGTAATACAAAAAATTCAACAGTGTGTTGTACTCCTTGAAATAGAGAAAAAAGTTCATATAAATATATTCTTAACACTTTTAACTAATACACTTTCCATTCATTTTCAACCGTGTTATGAGATAGTAAGAAAACCAACAAGATGTCATCGGAATTGACAGATCATATTGCCCAAAATCAATGATCAGAACATTTTCCAATCTCGAATTCTCGCCAATTTAAATCAGTTCTCGATCACCAAAGTTGAATTTCACTCACTAGGTATAAAAATGTCTATTCTTACCCATCCTATGTCCTGTCAAATACATCTGAGAATATTTATACAAAATTTTATGATAATCAGTCGAGTAGTTTTAGCGTGAAAGCCCGACAAACAAACTTACATTCCCATGTTTAATCCATGAAATTAGTAGGGATATTTGTATATTCACTATGTTCCCTGCTATAAACAATAATAAAGTTGACTAATCGGTATTTGCGGTCGTCGAGTTCATCACCTGACGTTGCGATGATATGAAAACTACATCTATGCCAGGAATTAGGATATTTTTCGATAACGTCAACTAATGACCTTGACGACCGCGAGTAAAGAAACACGAGCCACGCACCTTATCCCCGTAAATCCGCTTGATCGCCCGCTGGTGCAGCGTGGGCGACGTGCCGCCCAAGCAGTCGTCCAACTTGTACCGCCCGGCATCGTCCTGCCCCATCCTGCTCAGCTTCTTGCTCACCCCCTCCAGCGTGCGGATCGTCGCCGCGTTCACCTCGATGACTACGTCCAGTTCGAAGCGTTCGTCCTCGCACCGGTACATGTACTCCTCGTATTGCGTTTTCCGGGAGCTGACGAACGTGCTGTCCTCGGACCACGTGGGGAAGGACACCCACTGATCGTTGAGGACCTCTTTGCAGAGTTGGGTGCGGCCGGAGCACTTCAGGCCCTCTGTAAAGAGGAGGAGACAGGTAAAAATACAGGGAAATCTATGCCAGGAACAGAAACAGTTAAGTCACTGAGGGATATTTCAACTATTTCAAATGGCGCTGAAATGGCAACAATGTCAATAGTCTGGTACATGTACTCCAGTACTGCGTTTATCGCGAGCTGATGGAACGTGCTGTCCTCAAACCACCACGTGGAAAAGAAGACCCACTGGTCGTTGAGGACCTCTTTGCATAGTTGGGTGCGACCGGAGCATGTCATATGGAGAATAGAGAGAAAAATAGGTAAGAATACAAGAAAATCAATGATGGTGAGGAAGTAGAAATAGTTAAAGCCAATGGGAGACTTCTGAGACGTTCTAAAGAAATTTGGAAACAATGTTAATAAGTTCCAGACTTCATTTGCATTGTCGTTCTAAATCAAAATCTACTTCGAAACGCTCGTGCTCGCACCAATACATGTATTCCATGTACTGGGTTTTCCACCCACTGGATGTTGAGGACCTCTTTGCAGAGTTGGGTGCGGCGGGAAATCTATGCCAGAAGGTTTGAACTGAGGAAGTAGAAACAGTTACAGTCACTGGGGGCTATTTCAAGTCGTGCTTAAAGGACTTGGTAACAATGTCAATAAGTCCGATACATGTACTCCTCGTTCTGCGTTTTTCGGAAGCTGACGAGAATGCTGTCCTCAGACCACTTGGGGAAGGATACACACTGGTCGTTGAGGACCTCTGAAGGAGAGAAAATAAAAATAGATGAGAATACAAGAAAATCTATGCCAGAAGCTTTGCACTGAGGAAGTAGAAACAGTTAGTCGCTGGGGACTATTTCAAGTCGTGCTGAGATGATTTGGCAACAATGTCATTAAGTCCGGTACATGTACTCCCCATACTGCGTTTTTCGCGAGCTGTCGAACGTGCTGTCCTCGGACCACGTGGGAAAAGGAGACCCACTGGTCGTAGAGGACCTCTTTGCATAGTTGGGTGCGGCCGGAGCACTTCAGGCCCTCTGAAGGAGAGGAAAATAATAGGTGAGGATACAACAAAAACCAATGCTAGCTTTGAACTGAGGAAACAAGGTTTGTCCTTTTATGTCACATAACTTAGAGTTCCTAAATGTACTTGACACTGCTGTTTTGGCAAAACAAATGATTTGCTTCAAAATCGTTTGTGGTTATGTTTGATTGTCACTGCTTGTCTAGTGTTCATACTCTAATATAAAAAAAAAAACGTCAAAGCAGTGTCAAGTACATTTAGGAACTCTCTAACATAACTGGATAGGAACGTTTCCGAGTACAGAAAGCTGTTCCATTTGAGTTATTCGGTTTCATTGGTTCCTTGTGTACCGTTCTATTGAAAAATCGCTAGTTCAAGTTTAAAACACATTTTGATGAAAATAATTTATGACGACGTCGAGCTGGAACAGTTCGTCTTCGCACCGGCGCAATGTTACATGTACTCCTCGTATTGGATTTTTCGGGAGCTGAGAAAAATAGACGAGCATACAAGGAAATCTATGCTAGAAGCTTTGAACTGGGGAAGTAGAAAAAGTTAAAGTAATATGACGGCTCTTCAAAGCTTCAAAGCTATGCTGAAGAGATTTGGCTACAATGTCATAAAGACCTACACTTTATCTGTTAGCCATCGATTCCTTTATACCAAAACGACGTGTTGATCTATTATTGTTGTATACCGATTTTGCAAAACATTTCAGCGTTTGGACAAATTTCAATAAACCTCTACCTGATTCTGAAGATTTTCTTTGAAATACATTGTTTATTTTGAAGTTATTCTTATAGAAACTTTAGACCAGAATTAACAAACTAATATCATTGATGACGTCACATTTTCACATCAAGAAAATGTATGAATTCAAACCTATCAGAGCGCGGTTCATTAAACACTTTGTATCAGATAAAAATTGCATAAATTCGTGTACTAGTCTGGATTGATATTACTAATGCATGAGTTTTGCAGTTTTGTTGACAGCAGGTCGCGTCAATACAAGTTTTGTTGATATAATTTTGTCGAGAAGTGAAAAATACATCTAGAATACTACAATAACAATAATATTCAAAAAAGCATAAATAAATATTTCCACAACTGAGTTGTTCATAGAAGACCTGAAAAGATAAAAATTAGATGACTATAATATCTGTGCTGATGCCGATGACAATGCTGTGACATGAATAAATATCACAAATCGACTCGAAATGCATTAAAACTTCGCAAGCACTTTTTCCTCAAGAACAAAAAAAAAAAGAGAGTACACTAAAACTTACCTTGCGCTTTCGGTATGATGCAATAACTGGCCCCCAACCGCTTCGCCGTCGCCAGATCGATCTCCAGCGCCTGATCGCCCTGCGGCCTCTCATTCCTCGCCACGTTAAACGGCACCGGTTCCGCGGTCTCGCCGTTGGGGCCCAAAAAGTCCCGGAACCAGCGCAGCAGCTCCGGCACCTTGCCCAGGAACGGCGTCACGATCTGGACCAACTCCGACTTGGAAACGATCTCCTGGTTGAAGAGGGTGAGGCAGCGCAGAAAGTTGTTGTAGACCTCTTGGGAGCGGACGGCCTTCCGGACCTAGACAGTTCGGGTTTTTGTTTTAATGAATTTGCTCATACCCATGTATTTTTTTTGTTCGGACTTTTTCCCAGGTCCAGTATAATATAAATGGAAGTTTTCTGCATGAAAGGCAATATTTCTATACTTAATCGATTTGTGATTGCCATTTATTTGAATGATAATTATGTTTATCAAAATACTCGATCTCGTGAAAAATCACCGTGAAACGGCAGACAGCATAAGCCAGATGACAATAATTGAAGCTAAAAAAATCGCTGACAATCCTGAAATGAGACTTTCAAGCGCCACAGATCGCAGAGCAACAACAACCGTTCAAATCCTCCAGCATAAACTTCTTGCCAACTTTGGAAAAGCTCACTTATAATTTCTTACTTAGATTCATCAGTTACTTCATTTGAGACGCAGCTACCGATTCTGCCCCCGATTAATGTTAGATATGGACAGTATAGAGGATTTCCTTAGAAAATCACAAATCAAAATTGCCAATGAAGCGTTGAAGGAGATAGAAATAACAGAGTTGCTGCAAGAATCTGATTTTTTTCTATCTGGTTGAGGTCTACTATGACCGACAGTTGAAACAGTGGACTCCGTATGTTGAGTGTGCATGGAAAGACAGTTCTAGAGATAGATCCTGTCAAGTCTTTTCAATTAGATTGATGGATTGATGGATAATGTAAAATTATCAAGTCAGTTGTCAGTATTGTTGTGCCGCCATTACTGCTTTTTTCATTGATTAACTAATGTCCACTTCAAATCTTATTATTTTTTCGTAAAATGGTGGGGTCAGTTTTAGAAATGGTTCATCAATATTCGATAAAATCTCAAATAAACTTGAGGAAAGTTATATAATAGCTGACTCCTCGCTCTGTTGTCATTAAAAAGACACTTTCAATGTAATTTGGAGAACAAAATATTATTATATGATCGGCGTTCTAAGAGACTGTTTAACTAGTCGAAAAAAATTTTTGAGCTTGTGAACTTTACCAGCTTTGGCTGCACGTCTTAAACTTTTCTCTTGCTTCAAAAACTATTTATAGGCTTCCACGCACAAAAAATTAAAGTTGTAATGTACGATTTTTATTTACGTGAGGAAATGAGAATGATAACCGAAGTAAATATTTTGAATTAATTTCTTGTAACATGATAAAATATGAAAATATTAACTTATCAACAACTTTCTTCAAGGTGAATGTTTAATCAAACATATATGATAATGAGAACCGACCTTTGTTTTGATAAAATGTATTAGTTTTAGCAGCCAATTTCAGTTGATAGTTTAATGATTGTTTTGCAGATACTGAGTGAATACTCTCTGAACATTATTTGCAAAAGGTCAATATTTTTTGTATAAGGATTGTTGTCTTGTTAATCGACTTTTTCCTCTGTTTATTGGTACGCAAGCGATGTATTATCTATTTATATATCAAGGGAGTAAAGTTATCCATTTCCTCACGAGTAAGAGGAAATGAACCTTTGCTCCCATGATATATACATATATGGTTTCATCAACGAACGTATTTTTTCAAAGCATCATTCTTGAAATTCTGCTTCAGTCGTCTATCTCTCGATCCAAATCATTATGCATTACAAAGGTATGGTATGCCATGGAAAGTCAATTTGACAGTTCTGTCACCATGAATTAATTGATTTGTATACTGTGTAACTGCATTTGAAAGTTTTTGATTAGAAGTACGTTCAGAATATGAAGAAGAGTATGAAATCATTGGAATTCGAACAGGATATTATTGTTACTTGTTTTAGAATAGTGATAATGACACTGATTACTTGGATCGCACAGATTTTATAGGTATATCGACGCCAAAGGATGCATGCTGAAGCCAATTAATTTCACCTCCCACGGGAGTTAATATTTGTTTTCTCCCGTGGGAGTGAATTGACAACTTTGTTTCCTTGAATGAGGAAGCAAACGCCTACTTTCGATTCAGTGAGTAGATGAAATAATATTACAGCTTTTCTCAGTCATTTTTGAACACTGAAATCATCATACTGATGAATATGATGTTATCTGAGAACCAGTTCACAGAGATATTGATGACGTCGGTAACTCCTAATAATAAAATAGGGTAATTCAACACCTCGCCAACATCAAGTTAAAAGTATGTGTATTACTTATTTATAATTCATATTGTCAATCGGTTCAAGATGCGTGGATAAAATAAATGTATGGGTTGCATGCAAGAACTGTCAGATGACTTTTCTTATTTGTTTACAAGTGATTGGAATAGTTTTTCACAATTATTTTGGCATATGAATCGTGTTTCTCGGCTATTCATTAAATCGTGCATGCCATCACATTGTGCTGTTGTACAATGCAGAAAATATGCAGCGGGAGACGAAGGAATACGGTTTGTAGATTATGATTTAAAAGTAAGTACCTACTATAGTCACTCACATATAGTGTTCATTTTTGAAATATGGTAATTTGGTGATTTCTCATCGGAATTCCTTCTGCAATAGGAACCAACAGGAGTACTCGTGAAATTTCTAAAATAATGCAAGAAGATTGGATTTACGCAATCAAACGGGAGGACTTGTCTGACATGCTGACGAAATATGATCATGTGTGTTGTAGACATTTTCAATTTATTAGTAGTAATATAGCTTCTATTGCAAAAGTGGCAGAAGGGATTTTAATGACAAAATTTCACAATGAAAACTATGTGAGATTACTATTTACCTGGAAAATCATATTCCTTCGTCTCTCGCTGCATTTTTTGGCAATAACAGCAGCACAATGAGAAGGCATGCTTGCATTAATGAATAGCCCAAAAAAATACGATTCGTATGCCAAAATATTGTGAAAAACAATTTCAATCCTTTGATTCCTCTGTAAACGAATAAAAAAACAACTAAAAAACAGAATGATAGGTTTTCATTAAAAAAAAGATAAACAAATAAATCTTAGGATGCAGATGCTCACCTTATCGAAAAACGCATAGTCGTTCAACGTTCCGTACTTTCCCGCCTCGCTGAGGCTCACATCTCGACAGCTCGAAGACAGTTTGTGCTTTTTGGGTGGAGGGGCATCCCTGTGCTGATAGCTCGAATATGGGGGCGACCTCTTCACCTACAATACGACGAGGCGTGAGTAAACAAAATCTTCAGTCAAGAAATGGAGAGCTTTCGTTTCTGAGAATGCCATCTCAACAATCTTTTATAGAAGGGCTTGAAATGTTATGACTTCACACCCAACTTGTCTCATTTATTGAGCTGTTCATTTGTTATTGATATTGAAATTGAAAACATCAAAATATATCAATAATTGTGAGAAATATGTGTAATATCTTCTAAAGCTTGCATAAAGTTTATGCAAAGTCAGTTGGAAAAACACATCACCGCAAGCTGTCGGTTCCTTTGAAAGTTCAAAGAGTGCGGCAGTGCGGTTCGACATTCGTTTGATGATCTGTTCAATTGACTTTGCATAAAATATACCACATAGCAACTAAAAACATACTGATTCTATACCTACTGAGATCATTTGATCATAAAAATAGCGAAAAATTGTCCAGAAAACATTTCCATTCATAATATTCCGGAAAAGGCATTAGGAATATTTTATACCTGTTGAATAGACTAATTTCTTCGGAAATCACCCAATCCATAAGCATCTAGCTTTAAGATTATTGAGAGAAAATTTTTCTGGTCTAGCAGCTGCCTGTTAAATGTCATAATAGTAGAATGTTTCATACTCTATTCAAACAGCTGAACCTTATATACTAGAGCCTAGAAAAATTTTAATATTTGACATAATAAATGACAGGGAATATAAATTCATTTGAGACGGATAGAAGTAGTAGTAGTAGTGGTATTTCCTTTCTTCTAGTCTCTAGTACTATAAAACTGGGTGATATAGGTGGGCCAGTTTATTCAATTATTTGAACAACATTTCACTAGAATATTTTGGAAATTACAAAATAAAGCATAATAGCAATCTAGGCGGGTATATATTATGGTAGACAGTATTTCCTTTTCCTCTAGTAATTCGGAATTCAATTCAAAATCAAGTCTCAAGTGTCAACTCGATTTTAATGTATTTTTTCGACAAACGTCAAAAAATGACAAGGTCCGCGCATTGATAACAAATTGCGAAGTGACACTTTTTTCAGTTTCCTACGTTACCATATGATACCTTGCACATAACAATGCGCGAAGTAAAACAGTGCGCAAAGTACCTACTTCGCGTATTGTTATGTAAAATATATGAGATATTTATATTTCAACTTTATGATCCTCAATCGAGCAAACATCCACGAAATCATTCATTTCTGAATAATCAACAATAACTTTGTTTCATCTCTTGGAGCGCACGAAAGGAAATGCCTATTATGTTCGTGGAACATCGTGCGTACCTAGGGAGGATAGGGGGAGGCCTTTCAAGCCAGTTCAACAATATTTTTTATATCAAGCTAACCATATTTTTACTTTAGAACTATATTTTTTGAAGTTTGTAGAAAAAATGTTGTTTGCAACTCGAGCGCGAAATACTCGACTATTTTTTTAACTCGGCTACGCCTCGTTAAAAAAATCAGATCTCGATCACCAAAGTAGCATTTCGCGCTCTAGATACAAAAATAACTATTTTAGCACCATCTTATTTAAGAAAACAGAAATGATGAAGAATCAAAGGTAACCAAATAGATTTGACATCAAAATTTTCTCCCGCGAACTCGAATTAAAATACCGAGATTTTTTCTCAGTTGCAGCCTCCGGAAAATTTTCGAAAAATTCGCACCACCAAAAACAATTCTGGAAAAAATCCATGCTCTAGGGAGTCTAGGAAGATTATCAGTGACAATTCTCTCACCTGACCAGAAACGTGACCGATTTTGTGACTGGTGCTGTGGTGCCTGTCCAACGCGTCCCTGTGATAGGGCTTCTGCAGCGGCTTTTTGGCGCTGCCGCTGTTCGAGTGCTCCAAGGGGGGCACCTGGTTGATGTGGCTGGTAGCGTCGGGCAGGAATTGCCCGAACTCGGCCAGCAAGTCGCTCTGATTTTCGAATAACTTCGCCACCTGCATAAATTGATGGTTCATGTTTTCAACACTGTTTTATTAGCTTCACCTGTATTTCTGTATCAATGTAACCGACTCCGTTGGACTCGATTTTGACCCACTTCAAACAAACTGATTGGTTTGAAATTTGATAGGTGTAAATAATTCCATTGGTAATGCATTATGAAATGTTTGTAAGACAAAAAAAAAACAAAATGGCGGCTCCAAAATGGTGGACGTTTTTTAATTAGGATCCGATTCTATTGAAAATTGGTATCTGGGGGTTTTTGAGATTTAATGATTGTCAGTTGAGGTTAAGATCTCTAGTACCCTACACATGTAATAATGAAAACCACCCACCAACCAAAACTAGAAAAAAAACGATAGGACTTACTGATCAGAATTGCTAACACCCAATAGCAAAAATTAATAAACTTAACCAAAAATAAATTATACCGCTGATACAGGCAATCCAAAATCACCGCTAGTTTCAATAGGCACATTTTTTATCTTCAATGTTTCAAATGCATCTAATTTTATAAAATTATGAGTTGCTCTTGATGTCTCTGCTATGATTGTAGGTCATCATAAATGATCCGCTACACTTGCTCTTTTTAACCTACCATGTTTTGAAAATGTGTAAGATGTTCTATGAACCTTATAACATGAAGTTTTCTAGTTGGACCTACATAACTTTTCCGCAATCGTAAATTGTTGATACTGAAAAAATTAAACAACAGTGTATTCTATATTGATCTCAACGGTTTTTCTCAATTTCTTTCATGATAAAACCTTCATTTTCTCACCTTCAGTTTCAATCTCTGGTCAAATTTCAAATTCACCCAGAGAGAGAACAACAAAAAAGATTTTTTTTTTTCATTTATTCCAAACCTCATGAATGATATACCAAAATAAATTTGTATCAATTTTCCAATGAATATCACTTACCTGACTATAAACCTCCTGTTCTGTGAGGTGCTTCATTCCCGTTGCTACCGTAGAAGATTCTTTCAGCGTTCGTTGCTCCTTCTGGTAGGTGTGCAAGATCTCGAGAAACTTTTTGTATTTCTCGGGCTGACCTTGAAAACGATTCTGAAAGAATTTTTTTCAACTGTGTTATCTCTCATTCCACGACTAACACAGTGTTTTAAAAAAATGTTCAATGATATGGGTTGATTGCCGATATAAGAACACATGTAAACTACATAGCATGAAAATCTCTTTTTGTAAACTCATGGAACTTCTTGAGGTAGGTTTTCCATTTATATAATAAAGAATAGAAAAATGAAAATGCAAGGACAAGGATAGAACGAGTTCACTGACAGATAAACAAATTCTGACGATAAAAACAATGATAATTCTAAACACCATTTAAATTTCCATTTGTCATATCAACAAAATTATCAGCACTTTACTCACACAAACTAATGAAATATAGAAAGCCATCAATTGCAGCAAACCACACTGACAAATATTGCTTCATGATCATGACTCATATAAAATCCACAAACGCATCATCATCTTATAAAGTACACAATCCGACTGTGAATACATATACATAATATACAGGGCCATATTTGGTGATTATTTTTCGCCATACTCTGATTTTATGGCAAAAATTGAATTGACTACTGAATATATTGATTGTCTTGAGTAAAGAAGACAAAAATGAATTATCAACAAGTATCTGACAGGTAATATTTGACTTTCATTATCAGAATGCTTGTCTGACATAGCTTTTTATCTTTCTTATTGTAGTACTTCCTGCAACAAATAATTTCTGCAGATCAGCTTTGAAACTTCGAAAAATGCTTGTGACCCCTCATTGGAAAGCTGGATGAGAGGAATCCAGGGCACTGATAAACTTTCAGTTTGTAGTAAGTTTGAGGGTTGCAACTAGTTAAGTTTGAAAAATAGTAGGGATTTTCGACAATCATCAATGGAACAAGTTGTGTTTGCTAAGATTATTTCACTCATTATTTCATGAGTAAAACAATAATTTCATGTCATATTTTCATTTGCAGTCGGTTATGCAAATAACGGTACGTGAGAACTAGAGACAGGACGCACCAAATATTGTCGAGCGTGTTTTCAGTGGCCGAAATCGCTCGCGATATTTGATGCGTTCTGTTTCTAGACGCTAGGTCAAGTTGTCAGAGGTTAGGTTGATAGTTAATATAAAGAATGTCTGTTTAAAATGCCGATCATACAAAAGTTGGTCTAAAATTCTTCCATACAAATTAAAATACAGTGCCTATCACCATTTTGCCCGAAGTTTAGTGTTGAGTGCTATTCATCCCTGAATATGAAAATATTATGACATCCATGTCCATGATAGCCTGCTTCATGTAAGTCAAGCAATGAGGAAGCTGAATACAAAATTTAAAACACAGCAATATAGGTATCCAGTAGCCAATCAACAGCTGAAATACAAAAACGAAATAGTAGATTGTTTTAGCAAATCCGACCAAAAGCAAAATTTGCGAGTCAAACAAAGTCACTTTTGATCCGAATGAAACATGCCATTTTTTCGGCAACCGAAACAATAAACTCAAATAAATATGTGAAGTAACCACCAATGCCATATGCCATATGTATGCAATGCTACAAATCAAAATCAATGCAAAACCCGTGTGATGAGAATATTCTACATGCAGTAACAGCAGATTTATTCAATTTTCAAGGATGTCCGAATTGTAGTTTCAATATAGATACAAATACAGAGTGACATATTCATGTATTGAACAGGTGCCCTAAATGGCAAATACCGCGCCAGTGCAAGGTATAGGAACAAGACGTGGAAAATGTTAGGTTAGTGAGCATATCAACAATAATAATAGCGATTATTTATTTCTCTCCATACTACACTGTGTTTGACTTGATAATCAAATAGAGGTAAACAATATCGTTGTTGAGACAAAAAACTATTGCTTGCCGTGATTATTCAAAAACAAGTTATCCATCCCCAGAATAACAAATGGAGTACATATCAATCAAGTATGTGAATCTTGAAGGCTTCCCTGATCAAAACAACAATACTCAACTGAGATGTTTATAATTCCTATACTAAACTATAATAAGGTGTATTTAAATCTCCAGCATGGGTATGAAATGCCAAATCTGCCGAAATCGGAAACAAATCAGGTATGCGTCCCTACCCAAATCTACTACCGACCATGAGTACATCCTTTTCAGTTCCTAGGGGCTGAAGTTCAACTTTACCTCCTAGGAACTGAATGTGTTGCAACATACCTATTTTTGTGTCAGTAATAGCAACGTCAATTCGAAAGCTAATTTTGGTATTAAAATGGACGACTTTTGTGTGGTTTGCAGAAAAACATCATGTTTTCGATCATCAACACAGATATTTCCACCATTCAAAAACGTGTATTTTGAAATGAGTGGAATAATCGATCAAATGTATTCAGATAAAGTTCCCCAGTCCTAGAAAACATGCCCAAAGACAAAAATAACAAATCAAAAGTAGACAAAAAACATAAGACAATGGAAAATGTCTCACCTTGATCTTGTTGACGTAATTAATAGCATGATTGAACTCGACCGGCTGATTCTGCGGCGTATCCGTATGCCCTTGCATCGCATGCGTGACCGCCGCCTGCGCCGCCGACAGCGACAGCGAGCCGTAGGTGGGCGTGCCGCCGCCGACCCCACCCACGAAAGGGGAGGGGGCGTGGTGCGAGGCCGGCTGCACCTGTTGCGCGGCCGGCGGTTGCGGCGCCGTGGGCAGGGCTGGGGGCGTGACGGCGACAGGTTGCGGTGGCGGAGGCGGCAGAGGCTGCTGGACCACCGGTTGGGGAGGGGGAGGAGGCGGCGGCTGGTGCTGGCCCGACATGTTTATGGTGCCGGAGCCTTTCAGGATCATCGCGGACCTAAGGATAATTGAAAAATGACGGACCATCGTTAGGATAATATATGGTAAATTGAGATGAAAAAGAGACATTCGGGTCGATTCTGTTTGGATTACTGAATCAACAATATGTTTATAATCATGATGGAATTGATCGTATTTTTTTTCAAGAATCCGATTCTTATAACTGGAAAAACTCTCGTTGCTGGCGAAATAGGTTGATACACTTTCCATCAAGCAACTCAAATGGATTGATTGCTGGTGTAGTCTTATAATTCCTCCACAATTTCAAACTTCAAATTAGAGTATTTGTAATATGTTTATAATAACCTATTATCTGAATTTCCCAACATTTGGACACAATTGTAGTGTAAAAACAAAATATTTCAACCTTTCCCAACAATATTGCTATTTGCAAACAGAATAAACCCGACTTTCTATATTTTCGATTTTTGTTGTAGTTAGCACCTGGAGCAATCTTAGAAAAAAAATTGCTAATGATATGAAGGAAATTGTTTTTCCTTTCGAATGGGAGCTGACATTTTCAGTATCACCAGTTGGCTCTACTAAAACGTGAGGTCAATGTGACAAAAACCCCTAAAGCCTATGGCTTGTTTCATTTCAAATATTCGAAAAAAATTATGTTGAAAATTTGAACAAATAGAAATCCTCAAGTTATGGAAACACTTGAGCAGACTTTCGTTTTTTTACTCTTAACTGTATTTTATACCAGAAACAAGAAATTATCGAAGATTTAGAGAAAAAATATGCAAACATTGAAAATTTATTAATAGAGAATGATAGAAATACAGAAAATAAATCAAAGAAAAGGATGAACAGTGGAAAAATACCATGAAATTCCAAATCTTGAACTATCTCATCAAAAATCTCAGCAGAACTAGCTATTAAATCCTGATCCTTCTATTGAAAAACTAGTGCATCCTAAAATTAAATAAATTGACTCAACATATACCCTTTGTTAAGTATATCGAGAATTCCTATCAATAAATTAAGCTACACACTATGTCCTCTTTTGGCCAGTGAGATGAGACGCCACTTCTTCATGATAAGAAAGACAGAGAGAGATATATGGATATACCCTTCACCGCGGCAGTAGAGGAAAGAATATCCAAAGTGCATGGAAAAGCATATACATGTTCAACCAAACCATCAGTCATTTTGAGAATTTGGGGTTATGTCTTCTGTCACTGCTTGTCATAATGTCCGTACTTTTATTACATCAAAACTGTCAAATACATAAAGGGATTCTGATTTTACCCAAGATTTCATGAATTTTTGTCGATTCACTTGGCTTCAGCATACTGAGTTCTTCAAGAAATAAGGGACGCTAAACTCGGTGAAAACTTCGAGGTGATATCCGACTTACCTGTGCTCTTGCGGTCCAGAACTGATGGTGCCCGTAGGACTGGGCATGCTGACGGACACTTGGAAAGCGTAACCCTGATCGTTACGCTGCACCTCGATTTTGTAGCCGGGAGGCAAGAAAGTGTTGAAGCCGACGATCAACTCGGGGAAACCTTTGAACAGGTTGGACACCTGGAATACCGAGCGAAAATAAATCATTAATGGAAATATCGCTGGTGAAATCATGATGTTATAATGTATAAATTCCAAGGAGAACCTCTTGTGTGAAGAAAAACGGTGCGGAAAAATGAAAAAATATGTACCTTTGGATGAAGATGTCAATATTTTTTGGAATGTCAAGAATAATAAATAATTGATGGGCATCTAGTTCAAATACTGAACTTTTTTCATCTACATGATGCAAACAATGTAATTTATGAAAAATAATCAAGGCGGATATAAAAATATTGTAAATATAATCAAACTAGTTTTTGGTCTGCACTGGTACTGGTGGGGGACGTTTGCACGTCAACAACTAGTCCATAATAGGATCTTTATGCAAGCCCTAAGGTGTTTTCAATGAGTGATGTGGTTCGCTTAAGAGAGCTGGCTAAGATCCTTGTTAGGCACCGCCCATCAGCTCTCTTTCAGAGTTTTTCGGCTGCTTTTTGGAGGCTAGCAATGTACTCACTACCATATGCTGCAGTGGCAGGCCTGCTATTTTTGTTAACCCTCGTTAGAGACCGAGGTCCAGTAAGCAGCATTGGCCCGCTCTCACGTTCAGCTGGTAGTTTTCCACACCCACCTACGTACACCGTCTTACTCTTCTTTTTTTTTTGGTCTATAACTTTTTCACATTTTCAATTTGAAAGTTGGATACATTGAAATTTGGTGTTTTTTATCCAAAATATTATGAGTATGTCTCCATTCAATAAATCTAGAGAAGAATGCTTTGCCAATTTTGCCACCTTAGGAAAATGAATGATTATGTCTGGACCAGTTAGCAGGACTTCATGGAGATGAACTTTTATTTCATCAGACTCAGACAATTAAGACAAAGACAAAAGAATGATAGACACACTGAGATTTTCTAGTGCACTGGTCGAGGAATCGCACAAACCATAAATAAATACTGTCATGTGCATGATTTTAACATCAGTAAATAAAACAATTCGAATAAAATAATATATTGCAGCATGTTGAAATAGGAGATATTATTTGATTTCCGATATATTTTCTTGCACACTACAGTATATTTTTAATATTGAAAGTTATAAAATGTACTAATATACCGAGTAACTCATTTGGACTTTCAATCAATAAATCAGTAACTTCACAGAAATTGTCATGTATAAAATGAAAATGTCATGAAAAAAAATATTGAAGAATTCCAATATTAATAATTCTGTGAACTGATCAAATGATAATGTGATTGTTCCTATGAATGTTTTTTTTTTGATTAGATAGAATATAAAAACTTCAACTATTATTTGAATTCTAACCATAAAATTCACACAAAAAAATATTTGTCAAATTCCAACTAATAATCTTTTATTAACTCTTGGAGAAAGGGGATCCTGATAGTATTCACAGAACATCCTGCTTACCTCGAGAGGACAGGGAAAGCAGGTAGTATTCGAATTATTTTCAACTATTAGAGATCATAAGTACTTGATAATGAAACTTTTGCCAAATAACTACAAAGCTTCGCCGTTCTAGGGACAAACTAGGTTTGATAAAGTCTTGTTCCACATATTTCAAGGTTAATGACAAAAGGATGTGATGACTAGGCTTGTTGAGTACGCCTGACTGGTATTGCTAGTGGTAGAATGATAGCACAGACTTCTGAAGAACATTTTTATGGTGTTCCAATGTTGTCAAAGAATTAGCAAGTGTTGCATCACCCACCAGGCGAATGACTCTTCTCTGGCTGGAATCTTAGAGCATCAGCGTGTGTATGGCCCACATGACTTAACAAGTTATACCATGCTTTTACAGAACTTGACGAAAAAAAGATCTGTCATTCTCACCCTCTGTATGACGCCTGGCGTGTCGATGCTCTGGCTCTTGAACTCCTTCATGATGTCCAAGAAGTCGTTGTAGACCTGCGGCTTGGAGCCGAACTTGTACTTGACCAGGTCCAGGTAGGAGAGCGCGTCCTCCACCTTGAGCCGCTGGAAGTTGCTGCCGGGCGACTGCTGCTGCTGGGGGGGCGCCGCGGGGTCCTGCAGGGGGGCCGAAGGTGGGGAGCCCCCGCCTGAGAACACGGAAAATCCGTTTACGTTTAAATTATACAGGGTTTCTATAAATGATCGTAACATCGTAGTAGCCGTTGAAATATTTTCTCAATTTGCCGCCTTTCATTTATGCAGATTCACACATTCAAATTCAATTTCTGACATCAATCATTATACTGTCATAGCTGATAAACTCACACATGTCAGTTTTTCGTTAAAATTTTCAAACGATTCTGTTTTCTACTCCGTGATTGTCGTGTTGAAAAGAGGGATGGCTTATTCCTCGGAGCAGAATACATTTATTGAATGTCTTATTGTCGAAATGGCTCATTAATGGTGGAAATATCCTAATGTACGAGATTCAAGAATCTTCTTTGAAAGCCCACATTAGAACAGTGATAAACAGATTCATCCAAACTGGAAACTTTAATGAAAAAAGAAATCAACAGGAAGGCCCCAAATATCGGAAGAAGTTGTCGAAAATCTAAGGGCGCGTGTTGAGCAAAATCCCCTAACGTCATTGAAGAGAGTACCTTTACAATCTGGTGTGCCACTAAGTACATGCCATAAAGTGCTCAAGAAAAAATTGCATATGCACCCTTACAAGACCACTGTACTACAGCAACTTCTGCCAATAGATATCCCACGTCGTCTGGAGTACTGCCAATGGTTCCAAAATAATGATGACCAGCTATTGGACCTAACATTTTTCAGCGATGAGGCTTGGTTTCATTTGTCGGGATACGTGAACTCACAACATTTTAGGTTTTGGAGATCTGAGAATCCCCACAATTTCATTGAGACTCCACTACATTTTCAAAAAATTGGGTTGTGGTTAGCAGTTTCTCGTAGGCGATATGGACCGATTTTCTTTGATGGCACTATCAATGGTGAAACCATTCATCAATCAACTTGATGACGAAGAAACTCGAGTTGGCTATTTTCAGCAAGATGGTTCCACTGCCCACACCACACGTGCAAATTTAGAATATTCACAAGAATTTTATGACAACCGTGTGATCAGTCGAGGAAGGAGATAATCCTTCTTTTCCAACACGTTCTCCAGATTCGACGCCTTTGGATTTCTGTCTTTTTGGATATTTGAAAGACGAAGTATTCAAGAGAAACAATAATAACCTTGAAGAGCTGCAAGCCTCAATAACACATTGCTGCCAAAATATTGGCCCGGAAATGCTGAGGAACATTTTCGACAACAAACGGCGAAGAGTTTTTAAATGCTTGGAGAACAACGGAGAACATTTTGAACATTTGATGTAGGTTTGAAATAAACCGTTATTTATTACTTCTTTGATGAATATTTTTGATTTGTTCCATTATTTTTCAAACTCCAATATTGGACTCTCCTTTCTTTGAGATACATTTCCATAGTGTATGCAAAACTATATAAAAAAAGATCCTGTATATGATCACTTCCTCTTTTTTTGGTCGTTAAATGTTGTTAACAGCATTAGTAGAAAGCGGCAAATGGAAAAAAATGTCAACAGCCACTACAATGTTATGATCATTTATAGAGACCCTGTATAAGGCCAGGTAGCCTTGCGGACAGAGTGTCAATATTCTAATCCGCATTCGCTTGCCGGTCGTGGGTTCGATTCCCATCGACTGCAGAAATTTTTCTGATTGCCCAAGAAAATGTTTGGGATCACACGTTAAAAGGTAAAACCCCCGTCATTCCTTGCTCGCACAAGTCTCTCGAAGACTTCTGAGGGTTGCTCATAAGGGGGCAACCGGCAACCGAATGACGGACAGAACGATTTTAGAACGAACGAACGAACGAACGAACGAACGAACGAACGAACGAACGAACGAACGAACGAACGAACGAACGAACGAACGAACGATCAACAGGCCTTTTTGCAGCAATAGTTCTGGTAATTTTGCACTTATAATGCGATGTTTTTCTTTATATTTTTTTTTGTTACCAACGTATTTTTGTTTGGAAATCACGAATTTGATAATGGAAATGTGAACAAACCACTATTTATCGAAATATTTCAGAAAAAAGTTTGAAATTTCACCTTTTTTTCCGCCTGTCTTGGATTAAAACTGTTTGGCTTTCTTTCTTCAGTGTGGAGACTTTAACTGGAATATATTCGTTAGCGGGGAGGTGAATATTTTTTCAAAAAGTTTCTCGCATACGTCAACAATTTTATGTATTTACGTACCTTATTTGCAAGCAATATCGAGAATATATCCCTTTAAGGGTAGGTGAAACCATCCTCAACATGAATTTTCCATATGTAACCCTATGGCTTGTGACCTCTCATTGGGAAGCTGTTCAACAGCCAATGAACGAATTTCGAATTGTGATACATAGTTGAATAGAGACTTTCAGGACAAATAAGATAAGCTACAGAAATATACAGGGTGCCAATTGAAATAAAAAAGTTGAGTCTACTTCCGATCAAACAGGTGGTTGAAGAAATTTGTCATTAGGTTCAAGGGAAGCGACGTCATCGATAATATAACCCCTGTGAATTTCAAATTTGCATCTCTTCAAATAAAAAAAACTACAGGCTGTTACATGTATCCTGTGTCACCCGGTTTATTGATATATCGGACTTATTGATATCTTTTGACTTATTGATAATCGATGTTAAGTGAAATCTAATATTGCACAGCCCTAGTCGCACCCCTGACATTCACCTGTGCGTATTTGAGAATGCCCGCCGGCGACCACCGACACCGGCATCGCCTGTTTAACCGCGTGCGAGGGCGGCCCCGCGCCAGGCCCCGCCCCTGCCACGCCCAGCACGCCGTACGAGACGGGCGGCGCGGGCGGGTACAGGCCGGACTGCATGCCGTCCGGCTTGGCGTTGACGTAGGACAGCCCGGGGGGCGACACGACGCTGCTCAAGGACTGGCGGAACAGGGCGGCCGCGTCGACGGTGCTGTTGTTGGAAGGCTGCGGTTGCTGCTGCTGCTGTTGGTCCTTCACTATCTCGTCCACTCGCAATCGTTTCATTTCAAATCACATCGGGGCGGCTGGAAAATCGAGAAAAATTAGTAGATGCAAGAGTAATAACCATATATGTACTATTTCTATATGGCTAACGCCTATACGATATATCAACAAAAATTTGACCAAAATGAGAGATACTTTTCAATCTATAAGGACGGAAAGTGAAGGATGGAAACAGCCGTATTTGTTTTTCCCTACGTCGGCATCAACGCCTATTGGTCGATTTCGTTACCTATAGAGACAGAAGTTGGTCCCGCTTTGAGGACAGCTATGCTTCATATATGAGTAGTAGATGTATGGTAATAACCTACTACACGTTTTTCAGTTGTATTTCAGAAAGCGTCGATTGTATTTCAGAATAATCAATTGAATTTCAGGAAGTATCAATTGTATTTCAGAAAGCGTCCATTGTATCTCAATTAATATTTTCTGAAATACAACTGACAATATCTCAAATTCAATTGACTATTCTGAAATACAATTGACGCTTTCTGAAATAGAATTGACAATTCTGACGCTTTCTGAAATACAAATTGTTATTTTGCAATACAATTGATGCTTTCTGAAATACAATTGAAACTTTCTGAAATTGAATAGACTATTCTGAAATACAATTGACGCTTTCTGGAATTGAATTGACAATTCTGACGCTTTCTGAAATACAAATGGTTATTCTGCACTACAATTGATAGTTTCTGAAATACAATTGACGCTTTCTGAAATTGAATAGACTATTATGAAATACAATTGACGCTTTCTGAAATTGAATTGACGATTCTGACGCTTTCTGAAATACAAATGGTTATTCTGCAATACAATTGATGCTTTCTGAAATACAATTGACGCTTACTGAAATTAAATAGACTATTCTGAAATACAATTGACACTTTCTGAAATTGAATGGACGATTCTGAAGCTTTCTGCTCGGCTTTCTGAAATACAAATGGTTATTCTGCAATACAATTGATGCTTTCTGGAATACAATTGACGCTTTCTGAAATTAAATAGACTATTCTGAAATACAATTGACGCTTACTGAAATTAAATAGACTATTCTGAAATACAATTGACACTTTCTGAAATTGAATGGACGATTCTGAAGCTTTCTGCTCGGCTTTCTGAAATACAAATGGTTATTCTGCAATACAATTGATGCTTTCTGGAATACAATTGACGCTTTCTGAAATTAAATAGACTATTCTGAAATACAATTGACGCTTTCTGAAATTCAATTGACGATTCTGACGCTTTCTGCTCGGCTTTCTGAAATACAAATGGTTATTCTGCAATACAATTGATGCTTTCTGAAATACAATTGACGCTTTCTGAAATTGAATAGACTATTCTGAAATATAATTGATGCTTTCTGAAATACAAATGACAATTTTGAAATAAAATTGATGCTTTATGAAATACAAATGATGCTTTTTGAAATTGAATAGACTATTCTGAAATACAATTGACGCTTTCTGAAATTCAATTGACGATTCTGACGCTTTCTGCTCGGCTTTCTGAAATACAAATGGTTATTCTGCAATACAATTGATGCTTTCTGAAATACAATTGACGCTTTCTGAAATTGAATAGACTATTCTGAAATATAATTGATGCTTTCTGAAATACAAATGACAATTTTGAAATAAAATTGATGCTTTATGAAATACAAATGATGCTTTTTGAAATTGAATAGACTATTCTGAAATACAATTGACGCTTTCTGAAATTCAATTGACTATTCTGAAATATAATTGATGCTTTCTCGAGTGCTTTCTGAAATACAAATGATGCTTTTTGAAATACAATTGACTATTCTGAAATACAATTGACGCTTTCTGACAGTCAATTGACTATTCTGAAATATAATTGATGCTTTCTGAAATACAAGTGACTATTCTGAAATAATATTGACTATTCTGAAATACAATTAATGCTTTCTGAAATACAAGTGACTATTCTGAAACACAATTCACGCTTTTTGAAATTCGTTCTGAAATTCAATTGACTATTTTGAAATACAATTGACGTTTTCTGATATACAAATTTCTATTTTGAAATAAAATTGGCGCTTTCTGAAATAGAATTGACTATTCTGAAATATAATTCATGCTTCCTGAAATACAACTGGAGAAAGTGTAGATACCTCATCTTATGATTTTTTTAAATTGCACTAAATTTTTGTAAAATATCTTACATTTCAAATCCTATTTTTTGTGCCACTAGGTGCAGAAATCTGTATGTCAAATTGAAGAAAAACTACAAAATGAATGCCCTATAATAGATTCAAAATATTTTCTAGTAGATAACTTTGAAATTACGTCTAGCTTCTAGCAGAAGTCCCAACATAAGAATACTGATAGTTTCCAATACAGGGAATACCTATTTTTATTTATGAAAATGTACTTAACTAGTTGGATGACATATTTTTGTCAATGCAGAGCAGTGCCTAATTGAAAATATGAACAATTTTTCATTTGAAAAAATCATCCAACGTGTACCTGAAAGCCAATTCATAAGCAAACTATTCCTGAAACAGAGTGTAAAACAGTAGACATGCCTTTATTTTCATAAAAAGAGAAATAACCTGTCACAGATATGACCTGGGAAAATTAAAAGACAAAATTTACTACAAGCTGCATGATGTGGACCACAAACAGGATAACAGTAGCAGTAGATATTCTAGTGTCCAATTTGTAGAAATATAAAATATTGCTTCAATGTTATTTCTCAATGCAGTGACTACCTGCCTGTAACAGTGTAACTTCTAGCAGATTTAATTTCTGGAAATATCAGAATGGAACATGAATTTGAAGTATAAAAATTGTACTCATCTTTTACAAGGGCAAAGCAAAAGCTTGTTTAATTCCAAACTTCAACCTTCTGGAGGTTCAAATATTATGTAGTTAGTAGGTATCAGTTTCTATATTGAGTAAAAGTCACGTCCACAGAAGGTAATAGAGAAACACTATACAATTTTGACAATTTTATTATGATAATAAACTAATTTCAGTTTCACTAATGATTTCACAATTAACAAATATATTGGGCACCTAAAAAAACAATTGGCATCTTACTTGTATAAACAGGAAATTTCCATACCAGTAGACAGTTGATTTTTGAATAGGATTATACTGATTACAATGCGATTATGATACACGATTTCCATGCAAAACTTGACTGTATCATCTTGCATCCTTCAGAAAACTGAATAAATATTATTGCCTGTCTGAATAATATTTTTTCTAGAAATGCACATTGGGTAAAAGTGCACTTATCATGCGATGATTTTTTTTCGAAAATTTTTTTGGTACTTACGTATTTTCGTCTGATAAACACGAATTTCACAATGAAAATGTGAACAAACCACTATTTATCGAGATATTTCACGAAAGTTAAAATTCCACCTTCTTTTGCTACCCATCTAGGATACATATTTGCAACTACTCATCTTTCTTTTTTCATCACTGGACACTTTATATACTCACGGTATACTTCAATGACACATTTTATTCATTAAAATCAACAGAAACTTTGTTTTTTTCGGATATTTTTTCATATTTAATGAAGTAACAATCACACCACTGATGGCCAATAAACACAGCTAAGACATACGTCATGTGTCGTCGCATGCAAGACATGCCAAAATTGATTTCTACCTGGGGGGAAATTAGGAGTTTTGGAATAAATGAGAATTATCATATTTACAAGCATAATTCAAACAATGATTAGCTGCAATGCAACAAATTCTAGGAAAATATATCATTTCAAATTCAAAAAGTTGACGGGTGAGTCATTTATATTCCATTGGTCCGTTCGTAGATGCACCCCTAAGATGCGAAATCATTTCTGACATGTTTGGCATGCATGCGACATAATAATATGTCTTAGCTGTGTAAAATGGACATCAGCTAGTGTGATTGTTTACTTCACTAAATATGGAAAAATCTCCGAAAAAAGAAACACACTGTATGTTGATTTTATTGAATAAAATGTGTCAATGAAGTACAACGTGAGTATGTAATGTGTCCAGTGATGAAAATAGAAGGACAAGTAGTTGCAAATATTATGTATCCAAGATGGGAGGCAAAAGAAGGTGAACATTTGAACTGTTTCGTGAAATATATCGATAAATAGTGGTTTGTTCACATTTTCATTGTGAAATCCGTGTTTTTCAGACAAAAATACATGAGTATCAAAAAAAATTTTACGAAAAATAAACCCATCGCATGATAAGTGAACTTTTAAGGCACATTTCATTTGTAGGTAGGAATTGCCAAAAAAATGTTATCAATGATTCAGTCATCAGTTAGGAGTTAGGTAAGTGAATGGACAATTATTGGACATTTCAAGTCAATGGGCGAGTGTATGAACCGAGGTATGAACGATTTCTAGGTGAAATTTTGAAGAAGTTGAATTGAACAATAGTAGGTAGAATTTATGAAAGAAGCAGGTGTGTGTGTGTAGGGAATATAAATGCGGCGATGTTGTTTTCAAATTATAATTACGCAACAGATGATGCATCAGATTTCTATTTTTATACAGACAATTTTTGTTTACCAAACCAAGAAAGAGTTCTGATTCAAGTTGCTCACGTCAAACTCTCCAAAGCTGGAACACAATCATTCCCACATCTCAATAAATACAAATACCTACCTATATACATTAGAGCTTTTGAGTTTCAGAATTAATTAGGGAACAAAACAAACCTCACCATTTCGGGAAGCCACCCAAAAAAACCCTCGAATTCCGATGGAAACAGCACGTTCATTATCATTTTTATATAAGTTGATGGAAAACCAAGCACTTTGCCACTGACAAGTAAGGTCACTAAAATACAAATACAAATAATACAAAACCAAAACGTTCAAATTACGCTACATTTGGAAGTGCCATGTTGCGGAGTTGAACTGGCGGTGGCGGAGTTCAGCTGATTGGTGAAGACACGCCCACTTATTTATTTGTAGGTATTATTATAAACCACGAACCACGTACAAACCGTATAAACAAAACCGGTAACGTTACTAGCTGGTTTCTAGTTTCTAGCATCAGTCAACAGTCATTTGATCACTTGTTTCTCTTTTCTGATATTATTGCCGACTACAGCCAGCAAACACGTTAAAATTGAAAGAGCCAAGCAATGAAGCAACCTCCATCGAAAAGTAGCAACTGGTGAGGCGAGGAAAACCTTGAAGTGGGCCAGTTTTATTTTTAAACCGACCGAAGGTAGGTTGTCTCGCATGCTAGATGGCAATAGTTTTATCATGGAAATTTGTTTGAAACGCAGTTTCCGAGTGCCTGCACCGCTATCTCTTGCCTGACCTATTATTTACCTGATACTATTTATTGCGTAATAATAAAATAGTTGTATATACATCAGCACACAGCGCGCGCAGCCCAAGCCTCAAGCCCGAAGCCCGAAACCACAGTGTAGATACACCCTTACGGAAAAACGAAACATTGGCGGTAAACCCTAATATTGCCCCGGTTGCGCAATTTGACAATGCTGCAATCTGCAGTTTCAGGACATCGACATCCTCGATTTCCAGTAGGCGAGGCAGGCGTTGCACCTGAGCCTAAAAAAAGAAGTACCTACTACTGCTGAAAGTCCGACGATCTTTGCGACATATTCATAAAGAAAGTTACAAATAGGCTATTCGGGTTTTTCAATTCGTTCAATTCCATTTCCATTCCGTTAGCAACAGTAACTTTCACGATTGACCTTGGAACGCGCAAAGGGAATCAAAAAGCCTTCATTATTATGAAATTAATCGGTATTATCGCCTGCGTTAATGTTGGGAATTGTGCACAGAGATATTTTAGGCATTCGGTATTCACGAGGGTATTCAGTATAATCATTTCTGGAACCATTCACCGAGCGCGACCACCTAGATTTCTAGTTCTACTGATAAAATCAGGTGGCATGGCAAATGGCGATATCGGTAGGCGTGATTGTTCATTGTCTCGAAGTAGACTTACATTTAGCCCTATTAGGTTCCAGTCAAGTGATACAATAGTTGTATTTCGACGAAACATCTGTTCCAACACGTCGAATACCTCGGAATGCACCACAAATATGTAATAACGATCATCTTGTCGAGCTATGGAATACGTCGCACAATCGTAATCGGGATTCTATTCTACAGCATAAAATTAACGATGTGCCTTGAAAAATTGAAAATGTACACTCGAAACGCGGCAACGTCACTTGCCCTCCAATATAGCGGCCACGTTGCCGTTGTCGCAGCGACGGGATCTGGCCATTATGTTGCTAGACTTTTGGCCCCGCATTGAAGCTAAATGGCACCAGCGCGCGATGAGTCTGCTCCCGCGAGCAAGAAACCTAGCTCTCGATTGGGCACTCAGGGGATCGATAGGAGAGTGGAGGGCAGGGTACCGGACGCACACAAAGCGGTATTGCCAGCGCTTGACCCTAAACTAAGCATCAACAGAGGCGAAATTCGCTTGCTGGCCTTTGTCAGTAAACAAATATACAAAATGTTGCAGGGAATAATTTCATTCCATAATTGATGTAGTAGAGCCATATGTCGAAGAGGACCTAGAGAACATTTCGGAAATTGGGCCTTTGGGTTATGCGATTATTATAGAGAACACCATTCCTTGGGAAAAAATAAAATATTGCTTGATAATCTTTCATAGCACGCTTTCCGCGGTTGCCAGGTCAAAAGTTCTCGAAGTCACCGACAAATAACACCTAATTTTGCTATAACAATTTATTATGTCCATAGGGTGAAATCAAAATTGGACTAAAATGTGTTACCGACACCTCACCTCCCACTTTGCGAAATATTTGGACTAAATATAGAAATATCCAAAGATGCATGAAATTGGGAAAATTCTTGCAGCTGGTTGAGAAAAACTGCTTTTTCTTATTGAACGAATCACTTGAACAACCCGAGCTTATGATGAAATCAGTAAAAAGAAATTTATGGACGAATGAGTTTAAAAATATGTCACTCACCTCGAGAATGCCTCCGTTTCGGAGTAATTTTCTTTCTCCAACAACACCAGAAGCACGTTTTTAATTTTCAACAAATATGCTGACTTTACACAAGGAAAATACAATTTTACACTTGGATTCATCAAAAGAAAATTATGACACATTCTGTTTCAACCTCCTAGTACGCTGACCGATTGGCGACTGCCTGCTTCAGAATTTTCAGAGCTTGTTTGGGCGAGTTCACTTCAATGGAACGATACATCAGGTAGAATGAAGCACAAACATTTTCAAAATTTTAAGCTCAAAATACAGCTTACTCTACAGAAAGGCATGATTTGTATCAATTTATGTACGAATATCCTCTAAGAAAGACCTATTTTTTTCAAAATTTCCAATTATTAATTTGGCACTTTGCACATACTCCCCTTATACCAATGGACCAGTCTATATTCAGAAATCACGATTTAGTTTGAATGGCCTCCTGCTGGTGCACGCGGGTGCGCCACTTGTCGAAGTCGAACAATGAATTTAAAAAATGGCGCCTATTTATTTCTTGTTATAAGGTTATTTTACCATCTTTTCACAATCGAAATCTAGTAGATTTTTATGCTTATTTTCACTAGTACAGCTTTCATTTCATACCACTTCATTTTTCAGTATTTTAGTGTGCAGTGTAGTAGTAGTGTAGAGTTTGAACAATTTTGGTGGGCATTTCAAGTTTTGAACATTCAAAAGTTTAGTAATTTGGACTAAAAGGGTATTTGGACCTGAGATTTGAAGTTTGAACCAACTATGATATATGGAAAGTCCATTATCATTACCAAACCACCAACTGAAATAAGTACTAAATAGTAGTACTCTAGTACTAGTATAATAATAATACTACCAGTATTATGTGTCAACTTGCTGATGCTTGATGTCATTCATCACTTCTGACACGTTATCAAGTGATCAGTACAATCGTGGTACAAATTCAAAATTGTGAGGAGAAAATGGAGTGGCTGAGTTTGGTATCATTATTAGTATTTATCTGTTTTGTAGAGAGCCAGAACATAATAAATGATGCCAAAGTTGATAACAAGGAACTGCGGTGTTTAGGTTAGTAAAAATGTCTCATTGTAAAGATAGGTTGATTATACAAATAGTTATCATGCCCTGAAACATGTTTTTTGTAGTATGTGAAACAAGCATACATGAATTGAGCAAAGCTATCGGTGAAATAGACCCTAATAAGAAGGTTGACGTAGGAGGCTACAGATTGGACATAGATGGTAACTACGGACACAAGTCAGTACCCCAAGCAAAATCAGAATTGGTGCTATCTGATATGATTGAAAACTTATGTGAGAAGATGGACAACTATGTTAGAGCATTGCGGATACAAGATGGAGCTCTTACACTTTTGAGTATGATTGATGATAGTGGAAATATGAATAGGGCCTGGAATGATTACAATATTGTACAGGATGACGATTTGAACAAAAGTCTAAAATATTATGTGAGTTTAGTCTTTTCTTGCATGTTCATCTACTCATTTTATACTTCTTTAGTGTGAAGAATTTATGGGAGAATATGAAGAGGAAATTATTAAGTTCTATCAGCAAGAGCATAAGGACATAAAGAGACAATTCTGTGTGGAGCATTCAAAGTTGTGTCCATCTGAAAGACACAATGAGGAATTGTGATTTGTTGATTTTTAATCTTTCATTATTGTTCTAAAGAACACATTGAGATGATAGTTATTTATTTTTATATGGATTTGAATAAATTGTTATTAACTATTATACACTTGTTTTTTATTAACATTAACCCTTCTAGATCAGGGCTTGGGCTAGACAATGAATATTGAGTTCATTGGGGCTAGAGAGAAGTGAGAACTCAGGGAAGGACTGAGATGTTTATAATAATTATAAACATCTCAGGAAAGACTTTATGTTTCTGTATATTTTATCTTCCAGTGAATTGAATCGAGAAGAGACAGGACTGACCGACGACCGACTGGCGACTGGTGCCGACTGACAGGAGACAGCTTAGAAATATTTAATTTACACTCACAGGACAGCAGGTCAATGGTCAGTCAGTGGCTCTTGGCTCACCAGTCACAGTTGGTGTTTTTGTACTTTGTAGCATTGTAATTTGTAGCGTAAGTAGCATAACATTTATTTAAAGAAAACAAGAAGAAGAAAACACCAACCTAAACTTTTATATGTTTTTGTTTACATCTTAAATTAAATCAGTAACAATCACTGATCTGAAAGGAAACAAGAAAAATGGATTGTGTTGAATAGAAATAGGAGCAAGCTGATGGAAATGAAAGAAGTGTTCAGTATTAAGACATTAAATAATCTAAAATTACTCAAGACAATCTGCACACTACATGCAATCTAGCTCAATATGACAAATTATGATGGACAAATATCTTCTTACAAAACTGTTTCCATTCTTGGACAATGTTTTGATTCAAAAGCCATAGTTTATCTTGCAAATCATTTGCCTTCCGCTTCATTGGTCGCTATAAAGAAATTCGACATGGATAAAGTCAGGGGGGAGGTTAAACTAGTAGAAGTATTAACTTCTTAGGAAGGTAGATAATCCATTGACTCCCTGTTTTTTCAGAGAGAAATCATCCTTACCAGACAACTGAACCATCCCAATATAATTTCTTACCACACTGCATTTGTTGCTAGCTCAGAGGTATGTGTTGTTAGTCCTTTGATGGCTTATGGATCTTGCAGAGATTTATTGTGCAGACATTTTAATGAAGGTAAGTGATACAACTGCAGTATTTGTTTTCCAGTGCATTCAAACTTATTTTTAGGATTAATAGAGCCTTCCATAATCATGATAATACAAGATGTCTTGCAGGCTTTGGTTTACATACACAAAAAGGGTTACATTCATAGGGCTATAAGAGCTAGTCATATTCTGATATCTGCTACAGGTCAGGCCTGTGTAACTGGGTTGAGGTATGCCTGCCCAATAATTATTAATGGCAAGTGGCAGAGGAGCATTCATTCTTTCCCTGCAACCACAGAAAAAAATCTCAATTGGTTAAGCCCAGAAATATTAGAACAAAATCTTTTAGGTAATATTCAGTTTATATTTTTGTGTCCCCCCACTTTTCTTATTATTTTTTTCAAGGTTATAATGAGAAATCAGACATCTACAGTGTTGGAATGGTGATATGTGAGTTAGCAAATGGTTCAGAACCATTTGCTGGTATGTCAAAAACATTGATGCTGACTGAAAAAGTAAGGGGCATAACCCCACAGTTACTTGACAGAACTACAGTATCTAAGGATGAAAATTTAGATTGTGGAGGTGAAAATTATATTTCTCTCCCCATTTCTTACTATAATATAATTCATTTTTCATTAGGAGACTGTGAGCTGAGTCCTAGTATTTTGAACCGTCGATTCAGTGATGATCTGCATGAATTAGCAGGGCTCTGCTTTACAAGAGAGCCTTATGACAGGCCTACTGCTGCACAATTATTAACACATCCAATTTTCAAAACTATTAGGAAATCTCTACCTTTACCAGAGTTATTGAAGCCTGCCTTGCCTCTCAGTGATAGAGTAGGGTATGATACAGAAGAAATGGAAGTTTTTGATTCTATCAGTAGATTGTCAAATTTGAATTTGTATTCCTGTGAATGGGATTTTTGAAAATTGTGCTCATGTTATAGTAGATTCTTTGATTCTTATACATAAAAGACTGGAAACTATTGAGACATACAATAAGGAATGCATTTTTGTGTAAATATGAGATTTTTTAGAAAATTCAAATGAAAAAACTATGTACCTATATGATGATCTATTTATTTTGTATGTAATCATGAACCTATAATAGATTCAGTTTGTTATAAATTTGTTTTTAATTGAAGTGATGTTTGGAAATGTTACCCATACTATATTACCTGGATCATTGTCTGCTAAATATGGAGAAAAAATCTAGTGAGCTGGAGTATCAGCTCACTAGATTTTTTCTCCATATTTAGCAGACAATGATCTGGATAATAAGATCTTCAATGAACTTACAATTGATGGAATTTCAACGAGAGTCAATAGGCCTTTTCATCTAGATATATTTTCAAGACGCATGCGCTCCTTTTTAGATCCAACAATTCATTGGGTAATGCAAAGGTGAAGTCTCATTGGCTATAATTCCAACACAAAATCCTGATTGACCATTTCGAATATGGCGGGTATTATTGGTATTATTAACGTTCTGTCAAATGTCAACAGTGTCAACCACCATGGGCATTCGTCATTGAGAAACAACAATAACAACATAGTATTCTTGTTTTTATATCCCTGGTGTGTATTAATTGTATTATAATAATTTAATTCCAAAAAACGTTACTCATTCGTTACTGAGGAGTGTGGTACTGTGGTGTAAGTGTTTCAGTGAAAATGGCCGCCACTGTCGTTGGATGCGAGATGTAAAGCATAGCTGTCCTCAAAGCGGGATCAACAACGAAATCGACCAATAGGCGTTGATGCTGACGTAGGGAAAAAATAATCCTTTACTTTTGGTGCGTTCGGTTTAACAAAATCGGAGCCGAGCGAGCAGATGCAGATTTGGTGTCACGTGATCACCTAGCTGATAGAGCTAAAGATATTTAACGAACGCTCAACGAGGCAATAGATTGCGAGCGCCAGCTGTCAGAAGTAACAGAAAACAGAAACAATGCACTTAACCTTATTACTTTTGAAAACACGTCAGGGTAACAAGGTTCTATTGAATGTTTGTTGTTTACTTGGGATATTTTGAAAATTACTAGAGAAGGAATTATTCTGTCTCATATGATCGGTCATTAACTGTGGATCAGGGCAGTTGTGATCGCATATATTACAGATATATAATTGATATGCTACCTACAGCAAATTCGTCGGTCATTCTGGCGATTCTGGGCAAGGAGGATTCTACAAAATTCAGTTTTATGTTTCGTTTCCAGTTTATCAAGTCTTTAATTTTTCGACACAAAAGAGATATGTAATTTCAATAACATGTTGTTGACACTGATTTGTTGACAACTGACAACCGAATAACCGATCAAATCTGAATGATCTGCTCCTCAAGGCGGAGCAAACAGATTACATCTTTCAGCTCGCTCTGACAATTAACGAACACGGAGCAGATTAGACAGAGGAAGTAGATCTGATTTATCAAACGCTTTCCGAGCTAACAGATGGAATCGAGCTAACAGATATGTTATAACCGAACGCACCTTCTCCGTCCCTATTTATAGATTCAAAATACCTCATTTTGGTCCAATTTTTGGTGAGATATCGTATAGGCGATGCGCCATATATAGAAATAGTAGATATATGATGTCGCCAAAGGACGCCATGTTGACAAATTGACAATTGACAGATTAACGATTTCTCATTTTTCCACCGGAATTTTGAATTACAAACTCTGTGAGATTGAGAGTAGTGAGATTGTGGTTTATTAATTATTATAATTGATTTGAATTCCATTTTTCGAATTTATAAATACTAAATACTTGGCTTCAACACATATAATATATGACATCTAGCATCTAGAGTGTTTCTTGGGAGTGTCGTGAGTTGAATTATTTGGACATAATATTCAACAGGTAGATCAATTCATAATTCATGCATGACTTATGGTCTTAACTAGGACTTGAAGAAAGTTACTGGCGAATTCACAATTTTAAAGCTAGGACTAATAAGTTGAGTTATGCATGAATTCACCATAATTAACTTGATGAAAATCAATAGTATTGAGAAATGGTTTTTTTTTTTTTTTTTTTTTTTTTTTATCGCTTGGAGCGCACGAGAGGGAATCCCTATAATGTTCAATGAACATCGTGTTGAAACAATTTCTCAAAATTTTCTACCAAAAATATCTTAAAGGCTAATACTTATACTCTGTTCTGATCAGAAATCAATCTATAGTTCAAGCCATTGACAAAAAAAAACGAAAAAAAAACAAAGTATTTCAGGTCTTCTCCTCTTGAAAGTTAAGTATCACTTTTTATAGATGACTCAAAACATTATAGTAATGATAATAATTCAAATAGTAGTATGGACCATAGGAATGAAAGGTGAATTTAAAAAACTTGTTTATTCTTATAATCAATGCCTATACAGCATAACAAACAAAAACAAAGATGAAAACATAAAATACTGACAACTTTTATGAGGAACTCTAAACAAAAAAACCTTTACTGACCATTGGAAACCATCATCGAATTTGTACACTCTGACAAGTTCTACAGGAACTTATGAGTTCTTGGTTATAAGCTTCTATTTGCACTGTACAACTGACCAATGGAATATGGTCTTGGATAACTGAAGCAGCCTTCTTCAGTAGGAGGTCTCTATCACAATATTGATCTGAAATGGAGAATATTATTATATCCTCTGATGAATTAGAATTAGACTTCATAAAATTCTCTCTGCAATAGTTGGATGTCCTAACTAAGGAAGTGTTGAAAGCAAGGTTGAAAGTAAACATGATGGTATTAGATACCCAATAATTACTGTAAATCTGTTCTATTTTAATGAAAGGATACAATAATAACAATCAGAAAAAATGTTCTACTGAGAAATGGAGACCCAGTGACTTACCAACAGCCAAATGCACAGCTACAGCATTTTTGCCAGGCGCTAGAGCCCAAGCATGTAAACTGTGCACGTGCTTGACCCCCGCCATTTTCCTTATTTCTCCCTTGAGAACCCAACTATCCACAGGGCTGCCCTCTATGAGGAACCACACCGAATCTTTGGCCACCTATAAAACACAAGATTCAATAAAAAATCTGCCCAAATTTCCATTCGCCCACATTTCAATTCGCCCAAAGGATACCGAAAATTTCTTAGGTGAATTTTTCTCAATCCTTTTCATGTGATTCTATGAAATATTTTCATTGGTATCAACGCCCAAAAATGTTTTTTGTTGGGGGGAATGAATATTTTGATGGAAAATACTATTTATTTCCATGGTTTTGCTGAAGTTTTGATATGATGTACTCCATCTGATTCTGGTCAGAAAATCTCTAGGTGACAATCCTAAAATCCCATTTGGTAGGAGGTAATCATGCTAGAGAACGTTTTCCATAAGTTCTAAGGCTTTTTGAAATATACAAGGTGTTTTTGAAATAAATGCACATATTCAACACATTAATATGATACAGTCTAAGGAGTATTCCCATGATATCAGATTTTTCCTGAATCTTCTAGTTAACGAGAAATTTCATCCCAAAAATTGAATAAAATACGAGTAAAAAATCAAGTACGCCACTCCAACATATCAAATTTTCAGAAAAATTAGCCGAAAGCCATTTTCCGTACTGAATGTGCGGGGTCCTTTTGAACGCAAATAAGTGATCTGTGAACTCTTCTCCACAGAGTACGTATTCGAACTCACCCCTGAACTACAATAATCCGACCGACCGCGACCTGACCTACCTTGACGGTGGTGCAGACGACCAGCAAGGAGAAACCCAACGTGCACACGGGATCCGCCATTTTGGCGTTCGGGTTGAACTTGATGATGAGGGCGGCCACCAATACGCCGACGCTCTGCAGCAGGTCGCCCAGCACGTGGACAGCGGCCGCCCTCACGTTGATGTTTTCCGCTCCGTGGGCGGGCGGCGACATGGAGTGGCTGTGGGTGTGGCATACTCCGTGAAGGATGCCGCCCATGCTGCAGAGAAATAGATATATTCTAACATTCATACGCTGTAAGTTTCTATCATTATACAGGGTGATTCAGATTTTGAGAAACAAACTGAAATAGCTGATAGATATATCATCATTTCAATTAAAAAAGTTTATATTAAGATGAGTCCAATCTCGATCAGTAGCGGATCTACAGGGGGTCAGAGTTTAATTTTTTTCTCTATTAATCAAAATATCTCGCTCACTTTTAGAACATTTACGGACATATGTTCAAAGGGCTGTAGCGCCATTAGGAAACATTTTCGGACAAATGTTAATTAATGGAACCATTTTTTCTTAATTTATATAGAATCACCTCCCGGAGTATACGGACGTTATTCTCCTGGGAGAGGGAGCTCCCCGCCTACAAATTTTCCTGGACAAAAATAGATTACATTAATATGCTACATGAATGATTCCTCAAATATATGATTGTTCCTTCTCACCTTTTGCTATTAAATTCCAAATATAGCAATGATGTATCAGTAAGGTAGGTATAAAAAATTGTTATAAAATAGTAAGGGAGCGGTAGTCTTTTTGAAAACACTATATTTACAAAATCAACGACTTGGAAGATATACCCGAATCGTATATCTAAGATTTTCAGACGCTTATTCCCCGAAAATTCACCTTACTACTGAAATTTCATTAAATACTTATATTAGTTCTGTTTTGTTTCAGACTGTTCATTGTATGTGTGCGGGTGAGTATCAGGGTGAGTTTCTGATCATGTTCATATATTTTTTTCTAGACAACAATCAACAATATAGACATTTTTGTTCCCCAAAAAGGCTAATTGGTTTCTTCTTCTTGAATCAGCTCATGGGTAATATCAAGAGTAAGGTACTGATAGGAATGTAGACGTTTGAAGATGATTTGAAGGTGAGTGGTTTTTTTTTGATAAAAATTTTCAATTTCCAGCTGGAGCTGAACAAATTGATATAAATGGTGTGTTGATTTATATCTGCACAAGGTTTGACCACAGCTGCAATATTTGGTGTGATATAAAAATCAATGCAAATCAAAATGGCAAAGATGATGTGGTCATTTAAAACCTGTGCAAAAATGATTCAAAATTTCATTCATGATCTTTTTCTATTTTATCTAAAATTTCACAGGAATACCTCTATTATGTTTATGAGGAAACGGTTTAATAACTCCAAATGTGTTGGTTCATATTTATTTATTTCTTGAAATCACAAAAAATGTGAGAATATGAGACTTTTAAACAAACGGGAACAATGATCAGGTCAAAAGTGAGAAAACATTACAAATGTAATATCCATTTGGTTTTCATAGTAGATTGCATCTCTTGAATAAGCTTGTTTTATGCATTTTGTTTTTACACATGTACCTATTATAGGCAATTATTATGTACCTACAAATATGTAGGTGTGAAAAGTATTCAACATAATAATCAATGGTCAATAACTCATTATTATATTTCAGTCATAGTTTGCTCTGTGACTGTAGTAGGGAAACAACTGAAACTCTGTTATCTTCTTGCCATCCTCATACAGATATCCATCACAACACTCAGTACACAAAAACACCTTCTCCTGTGGAAACCTAGCACATTTTAGTACAATCCATTGTGAAAGTCTGGTTGTGCACAAAAAACACAAAAAATTTGTATGCCTATTCAAAGACACAATCTTTGGGTATCTCTCTCTAACAAGGCAGTCATTGGATTGGATGAGTCTGGCATCAGAAAATGTTATCAAGTGTTCACAGTTTCCTTGGTGAATATATACATAAGGATAACCTAGACTAGGGGTGAGAGTTTTCAAAAAAGTATCTTCCATTTTAGCAGTAGTGAATGTTCCAATATTGTTCTCCTTAGCCCAGGGTATGATAGGTTCAGAATAGTCAATAGCTTTTGGAGACCTAGTGTCATTATAAAACACCCCATCTATGAACACTGTTTGAGAGGGGTAAAGGTCCTTTGCATTTTTATACTGACTCAAATCAGCTTTTGTATTTTCCACCTCTTTGATTATAGCATAGTTTGAAACACACTCAAACTTATCAACAACCTGAGCTATTGTATTTGTTCCTAAAGCTTCAATTTCAACTGCAAATCGAATCTTCTCAGAAGAATTTCTGGTGCCAATGTTGATGTTGAATGGCCTGTATACCAGAATTGAGTATATGAATGTGCTACCAGGTAGTATATTATTTAGTTTTTCATGAGGTAATAGATTATCCACTATTGTTGTTTTTAGGAATCTCTTACTGCCAAAGTTGAATTCCTCATTGTGCCATTTTTTTTCTAATACTGCTTTGATTTTTATTGTATTCAGTTGCTTAGCCTCTTCAGTTATGGGATAGTAACAGTCCAGTTTGCATCTTGTGGCTAGCTTTTCTGGGATATCAATTGGTAATGCTGTTGGTTCATTGTATATTCTCAGTTTCTCAACACTACAAGCTTCCTCTAGTGCTTTGAAATCAGCAAAACTGTGGTTTTTTGGATTTAGTTTATGCATGATATTACGAATTTTGTCTGATGTTTTGCCATAGGAGAGCTGACAAATTTCACTGTATTTCTTGAAATACTCTTCCGTTTGGAAGTTATCAGAGGCCCGAAAGCTCTCCTGGGGATATATACGATTGTTCATCTAGAATGGACGGCGGGAAAACGTTTGAATGTATTTTCCTCTTATTTTCACTGGGAACTCAGCAAGCAGATGTATGATCAGTAAAAAAAATAACTTATTGCTAACCTCTAAATAACTTAATAATTATCATCTGGCTAGTGGTCATTTGGCAGATTGCATGAAAAACAAGAAGATGACGAAGATGTAGGGTGGTCAGTGGCATAGTACATGAGGGTCTCGAACTAGGAATGGGATGGGACGACGACGACCACACCACGGATGTGGAGTGTTGGGTTCATTTATGAATTATTCATGAAATGGCGGTAAATTCGGATATTTCTGAGGCAGGTCAACATAATTTATTGTCTACCAACCGCGCCTCGCCGAATTAGTATTAATGTATCATGTGTTCCCGTCAGAAAACTACTTGAATCTTGAATTGCGCCGGTCCTAACAGAATGAAGCCGACACCCATGGCTCCTTTCTGGCTCGAGACGCTCGTCATAGATCATAGAAAGTGATAAACTTCAATAGTCAAATAGTAAATGTCAATATCACCTGCCATCTGCCAATCCTGCCACATTTTGTTTGACGTTATTTCGTTGTTTGACACTTGACACTCTTGACAGTCTGTAGTGAAGTGATCCCGATAATTATTTTTAATTTCTTCATTTCGAGCAATTTCAAGTTTTTCGACATCAACCTCTTCAAACTTACACAATCCACAACTGATTATCTCGTATCACATTGAAAAACGTATATTTCGGACGAACATGGATAGAAATCGGGGCTATCGAGGAAAAAACCCAAACGCTTTTGGTGGCCGAGGCAGAGGCGACGCGAGAAAACCCTGGCGCCCAAACTTCAATAGCGGGCCAACCGATCAAGACTCGAATGGAGCAAGGCCCTGGAGATCCAATTTCAACCAGGGTGACTCCCAGGAGGGCTCTTTCCAAATGAACAACCAAGTGCGGCCGAATAGAGGTCAATGGACGCCGAATTTCAACCGGGCACAAGGTACTGATATGAATCATCAGCCTTGGCAACAGAACTACAGTCCTAGGGCGCCGAATCAGCAGTGGCAGCCTAGATTCAGTGCACCCCAAGTTAATGATGGGTACTGGGTGGATAGTTATAGTGCTGTTGGCAGCAACCAGATGAATCAAGGTAATTTCATGCCCAGGCAGCAAAATTACAATAACTCAGGTCAAAATAATTATGAAAACAGGCGCTTTCCACAATATGGAAAAAGGAGACCATATGACAAGTCTATGAGGGGGGGCCAACCACGTCCAAGTAGGCCTAGACAAGAATATCAGAGTAATGAGCCAGAAATAGTAATAGAACCTGTCTTGTCCCCATTAGAGAAAAAAGTTGAAACACTGATAAATGCAGTTCAAGCTCAAGAGTTTGGTATAGGCCACATAGTCCTTACACAAAACAACAATGAAATACCTCCTGTGTTGCTAAACAATGCAGTTCATCAAGTGAAGAACTGTACTCTTACAGTAGACCGTGATGAATCAAATGGTTATTCACAATTGAAAATAAATGACCATACTATAGTTGAGGGAATGTACTCATCCAAAAAGGATGCCAAAGAAGCTTTGTATGAGCTAGGACTTGAATTCCTCAAATGCAAATGTTTCTATATTACATCAAAATCACACTATGATGAAGTTTCTATGGATGACTTGTCAAAAATTAATGAAGAACAGAAGCCTGCTAGCTCTTTTGCAGGTAGTAAAGCCCATCAAATGATGCTGAAAATGGGATGGGGTGGCAAAGGACTAGGGACCCAAGAACAGGGAGAGGAAAAGAGTGTAGCAGAGAAGATTGTGGAGAACATCACAAGGGAAGGTTTGGGTAATAAGAATGTATTCCAGGAAGTAGACAAAATCCTTGCTGACTATGCACGCTCTGTTAAAACAACAACTATAGCTTTTGACTCCAGCTTCACTAAAGAAGAACGTGCACAGATCCATCAAATTGCTGCTAAGTATCACTTGAAATCTAAGAGTGAGGGTGGGTTCAATCTGCGGCGTATCACCATAAGCAAGAAGATGAGCAAATGGATTCTTGTGCGTCAGCTGTTGATGGCAGGACCAGGACTTGAAAATGAATCCTACATTCTGACAATTCCTGAAGAGTTTGAAGATTTGTACAAGGAGTTATTCAAAGAGGAACTGGAAGCAATGGAAGCAAAGAATCAGGAAGAAGAAGAAGTGGCTTGAGTGTATCCAGGACTTGCTGTGTGAAGTATTAATTTAAGAACTTGCTCTTCATAAAGAGATAGGTTAGGATATTTCAAAAGCAAAGCATGGTTCACATCATTGGGAACCTAATAGCACATGGTAAAGTAAATTTCCATTCATGAAAAATTCCTAGATGTTTTATTTTTTTCTGAAGTCTGAATCATGGAAAATAATGTCTTAATGCTGATTTAGAGATGGGATACATGTGACTATGCCAGGTGAATTTTATATAATAGGGTTGATCTAATTATTTGAAATTAATGTGGATATGAAAAATTATTAGTAATATGTATGATTTCTATAAGGTAGTTTATCTTTGACAAGTTATTTAATGTTCCATTTTAGGATGTTAAATATGAGGACACAGTAACACCCTACTGAAAAAATTTGGTCCATACCAAATTTAGAGAATTCGAATTAATATGGATATCAAATTTGATTGAAGAGGCAAAAGGCTTTTCATTTAATGAAAAACTAAAATTAGCATATGTACTGAATGTTAATATAGCATTTCAGATGTCTATTTTCGAAGGAATCTATTAAGTAATTTTTTCCCAGTTGTTCTCATAAAAAGCATAGAAAAAAGATGTAATAGTTGCTGCTGAATATCTGGGTCAGTGTTAATAATTGTGAGGTTATTGTGGAATTAAAAAGATCTTGGATGTACAATAATTCTTTTGAAAAAATCCATAAATATCTTCACATAGGAAATACTAAGCCAAGAAAGGTTTGTTTCATTGTTTGAAATAGTGCTTCTGAATTGGTTGAAGTGATTGTAATTGAGACATTTGATAAATAGATTGTATTCAGTAACATGTTTTTCAATATTGAAGAGAGTAACATTTTATTGGTATGATGAAAATCATAAAATCACCTTGAATCAATATTAGGAATTCAAAAATGAACTCATAAAATGTGTTTTCAATGTTTTTAATGTGGGTGATAGATGCTCTTGGAACATTGAGATCATAATAATTCATTCTGTCTGTAAGTTAATCCAGGAGAAAATCCCAAATAAACAAGAAAAATGAATACTAATTCATATACCCTAAGTTGGGTTTACTGAGAAGCTACAGGGTGTTGAAGTATATAGGGCAATATAGTTTCTATTTCAATATCTTGAAAACGTCAGAAATTTTTTGAATTCTGACCATATTTTCCGAATTTTCGGCCTATTTCTTAAATTTAGTTTCAAATGACATTCAATGACAAAGCGTCAATAGTACAGACAATTTATGGACTGATGATGTTGGATGTTGAGATATAAATAATGAGAAATTGATTTTTGTTATTATTTATTGGTCTTTGAAAAAATAGTGCATGCAACAATTTTGTAATGGCTATTAATACATACGCACACGGTTGAAGACACTCGCCTATTATTTAAAAATAATACATATACTTACTCTCCATGATATCTTGAAGAAAACTATCTCACCCTATATAGCTCCTCAGCAAACCGTATGTGAGTGTACCAAGACCACACCAAGACTAATATGTTCATTCTTTTGGAAAAAAATTAATCACCCTGTATATTGTCAGAATAAATCACTAATGAATATTTGATGTACCTAATGGATTAATTTGTACTTACATTATGTTCACAAGCAACCCCAAAGAAGCAATAATAATCATAGTATTGGCTTCAATTTCATAATCATCATTGTATAGCCTGTTGATTGCCAGTGTTGAAAAAATAGCAGCCAATAACCAAATCGTTAAGACACTAAAAAAACAGAGACACTTCAGGGTATTCTAAAGGTTGATGCGAAACCTTATGGAGGTGAGGGGGACTCATTTGGTTGCTTTAAGCAGTTTTTAGATTTTAGATTATTTTATATTTGCATCCTAATAACACACACAGTAATAGAACTTTGATTAATTTTTTCTAATACTAGAGTGTGTGTCTGTATTTATGTATAACAATATTAATTTTTGATCAATATTATTGAAACAAAATTGGGTTTCATTATAGGGCATCTGAAATTCATGCTCTTTCAATGGTTCATCACAACTAAGTTAACAACCACGAAGTGAAAACGGATAATGAATCTGCATGAATAAAACAATTCATTTGGCAAAATGACAGGACAGCATGAACTCTGACCTCTCAACACAGTCCTATTAGTCAGATTACAACTGTTTTTACGATTAGAGTATTACTTATTATTGTCTGATCCGAACACATTTTTAAACCGACAAATAAAGTTTTCACACAATAATTCGGTCTAATCACTTAGTGTTGTTGTCCAGTTCATGAATATGTGAAAGTAAAACATTATTTGAATCATGTTTCCCAGATTGTTGGTTAGGCAAAGGTAAAACGTTTGCATATTGGTTCCTAGATCTCCCGGCTTAACACCTCTTGATTTCTTCCTGTTGGAAAATCTTCAAAATAATGAGACAGGAGATGACATATTTTGATAGTTCATAGTAATACTATAAGTACTTCAAAATATTCGGGTTATGCAGAAAGTTTGAACATTCTAATTGGTTTAAAATCATATGAAGAAAATAATCACATAAATGGCATTAGTTGCTTTGGAAAATTTTCGTGTTTAGTCTCCAAAAAAATACTATGTTTTTGGAAAAAGATGAAAAATCGGTTCACTTTGTACAGGGTGATTGTTTATATTTTACTCAATAGCTATCTTAGTTGATATTGGCCTTACAGAAACGTTCAAATGGGAGAAGTATGTATTTTTTATTGGAATTCAGAATCTAGTACTAGAAAATGCAAACATCATAAATCTAAATATTTCACATAAACTGGTATTTTTTAAATGGAAAACCCTGGGTTTTATTTCTCTAAACGGTAGAGCTCTTTCTTCTGATTCCAAATATATAAACTTTATCAAGGTTACTCTGTCAGTTTTCGAGAAATATAGATTCTAAGGCAGCTGTAGAAAGCCAGAAATCGCAGCATTGTTGACTGGCGTTCAACACCTGCCTTAGATCTATACCAAAAAATCTATATTTTTCAAAAACTTACAGAAGATAACCTTAATAATGCATAAATATTTGAAATCAGAAGAAAGAGCTCTACCGTCTAGAAGAATAAAGTACAGACTGTTCCATTTAAAAAATACAAGTACTTACATGATGATTTTTTGCATTTTCTAGTAATAGATTCTGAATGCCCATAAAACATACTTCACTTTGGTAAGACCAATACTAACTGAGATAGCTATTGAGTAAAATATAAAGAATCACCCTGTACATAGGTTTGTTTGGCGAAAAGCAATCCAAATGAGCTCCTCCCTTACCTTTGTTAGACTTAACATGTTTCAAGAGGGAAAACAAATATGCCTGGACTTTTACCTCAAAAGGGCACCTAATACTTCTGCCCTGTAATAACCAAATGTCATGTTTTTTGATGGGGGCTTCCTTCCCACCCATATCGCCAATAAAGATATCAAAAATCCTATAAAATCTGAAAAGAGATGGGCAGCATCTGTCATGATTGCCAAGCTTCCAGCCAGATAGCCTCCAATTAGTTCTGCCATCTGAAGCCAAAAAAACACACTAAGGACATAAAAGACGATTTTTCCTAATGGCTCACCATGAACATAAAACAAAAGGCTGCTGCTGCACACAGTTTCTTCCAAGCTGTGACATCTTCAGATGCACCAAGGGTGTCATGGCAGTGAAAATCGGTTTCAGTAGATTCTCTATAAATATCCTGAAATGAAAGGAAGAACATTCATTGGACACCATTTGTGGAATCCTGGGTGGAACCCAAAGATTTTTTCCATGTCCTTATGGAATCACCACCAGGAAAATCAATTATGAGAATGTATATTTTCTTAACACAATTCTCTAGCAAACTAGTTGTGTTTTGATCGTTAAGTGACTATGAAATTTTTTACCATTATCATGAAATTTCCATAGACACTACTGTACTACTGATATTAAAAACAATGTTTGACTGAAGGCATTGAAACCTGTACATGAAAACTAATCAGTCACAATATAGTGAGCTGATAAGGCATGGTGAATTGATGAATATATACCTGAATCATTGAAATTCAGACAATCTGCGAAATTTCTCTAATTTATAAAATTCCGAGTAAAATTCCACACTTATACTTCAAAACCAATTAGATGCCTTGTTCTTGACCCGTTAACTATGGCAATTAGAAAAATTTCCGGAAATATTTAAATGGAATTTTTGTCTTTTTGGATGTATGACGAATTGATATTCATCATATAGGACATGGAACCAAAATTCTGAATTGAGAAAACTTGAAAAATGGATATATATATATAACGAAATACACTGAGAATTTGCATTCTCTATGTGATGAAAATATCAATTCTTGGTTTATTCAACAGAAAACAACTACTTTCCTGGCTATATGCCAAGATGAACATTGAATTATACCCTCGATTACATCTATTGATCACACAAGATAAGAATTCGAAAACAATATCTTCTGAAGTTTTCAGATAAAAATATGTACGCACATAATATCATGCTGAATATTCAACAGAAAACAACTATTTTCGTGGCTATTTGCCACTTCAATAATAATAATAATAATTCGATGTTCCTCATGGTATTAAGCCAGGAAATAAGTTGTTTTCAATCGTCACATAGAGAACGTGAATTTTCAATGTATTTCTATACTTATACATATTTTTTTCATGTTCATAATTTATCTGAGAATATTCCTTTTGGAATTTTATCATTTAATTTGAAATGTCAGGTTTGATTCATATTGTGAACATTTCTTATTGCACTAGCGATGTGTGATATCATAAGTGAAAATATTTGTGGCCAGCTGTTTTAATGTGACCACTTAGATTATTCTTTGATTTTTGTTCATCTTCTCTTTTCTTCTCCTCATTGACAAATAATAGAAGAAATAAACTAACAGGTCACATTATTTTGATTGTTTCCCAGCATTTTTTCTACATTACTTATTATAATCCCAATAGTAGGTAGTTCAAAAGTCATTACAAATTCTCTGGACATTCAGGATCAAAGATGTTTTTTATAAATAATATTTTTTATGAGCTGACCTGCTATTTATATTGAGAGCTCCTTTTTTGGGAGCCATCAAACAGATTGGTAGTATTAGGAAATATAATCAGGAAATATTGTTGACATTACCATTTTCTGTGGAATAATTGTCCATAAATCCACTCACACATATACTATTCAACAATTCACTGTCAATTTGGGTTAAGCAATTAGAAAACAAACATCATCATGCACTATCTAATGGAAAACTTATTTTAAGAGTTAGATTTAATCAGACCACATTTTATATTCAAGATATAGAGATAGTACCTATCAAGGTGTAAGATGTATCAAGTATTTTATTTTGAAAACCTACTTAGGAAACAAGTAAATAGTTGAAGCAATTAGGACCAGACAGTTTGTATGTACTTACCTGGCAGTACTTACTAACTAGAAACAACAATGTACTCCTAATGAAAAGATCAAATATTTAGAATCATTAACCCATTAGCGCCGAGAATTCGGATTTAGTAGTTTAAGTCATTTTTATACTTGGGATAGAAAAAGAAGCATAAGAAGACACAAAAATCAATTTTATTTATTTTGGTTTTTCAAAATTAAACTCAGAATCAGGTGTTCCCATATGGAACCACTAGGCGACTTGCCGAAGCAATATCCTCAAGATTTTTTTTCGATATCTAGTTTGTGTGAAAATACTTAAAACAATCAACACAGTGTCCTAGATCGCATTTAGTGCACATTGTTCTGCCTCTACTTGTGCAGTTGGTCCCACCACATCTTCTTCTTTTTCTTCCTGGTACAGGTACTACATAATGTCCAACACCTTCGAGTCTCACGTCATAACTCACTCTGAAATCACTTCCTGTGGCTCTCGGGTTTTCTCCAGAAGCCTTTGCTGGTGTTTTGAAATTTGTCAGATGTGTCTGAAACCAATAAAACTATTACGAGTCCAGAAGTTTGCTGAGAATATACCACCGACTGATATAATGCTGGATTTTCTGAGTCCAACTCCCCTGTCACGAGCGAATCTGATCCTAACACAGTACATTCAGGATTCACGATCTCCCGGTCCTCCCAATCTCTTTTTGTTCGCAAAAACATCTTCCGCGCCTGCGGAAAGTTGCCTTCAAGACCTGCCTCGTCATCCTCATCTGCCGAATCTTCGTCAGTCAGAATATGACTTTCATGGGGTTCTATATAAATACTTGATATCTCATCGCCATCTTCATATACCATATCGAGTGTTTCTTGTAACGTTATTTCACTGAAATCAAAATTCACAATAAAATGTTTTCATTCACGAAGTCGCCTAGAGATCCCATATGGGAACACTGATGTTTTCATATAAAAATGAAAAAATCTGGAGTCTTTAAAATCACCCTGAATGATTCATAATATAGTTTCATATTATGAGAGTACACAGATGAAATTTCAATGCAAATCAAAATTCACAAAGTATACAAATGTTACTTACACGAATTTCAGGTCCATATTTTCAATCTTACGTAATAAGCCAGATATTTGCAGGATCACTGACACTCAAACCTTTATCAAAAACACACAATTACTCGATGAACCGGTTCTTAGAACCTTACTGAGCGATAAGATCTATCAAGTGTTGAAAGAAAACATTCCACTAGCATTTCCCTCCACTCGAAAGGGCGTTCCTTCCGATCGATCCATATGGTCCCGGTAGGCGCTAATGGGTTAAGATGTGGAAATCTTGACTAGTATCCTTGCAAATAGCAGATCATGCTAAATATAATTTGAACATGATAGGTATTTTCCTATTTTACTTTAATTTCCATTCTTGTTATTCCAAAAATAGACAATTCCCATCCATATTTATTTTTATTTGAGTTATGATTTATGTTGTAATTAATATGTAAACTTGAATTTCCTTCATTGAGCTCCAAGAGATAAAAAATCATGCAGTACCATATCAAAAAGATGAATTTTGTCAATTCTACAAAAATTCTCCCAGAGATTCATAGCATGCCCATTGCCTACACCAATTTCCTGGCCAATTTCTGAATCATGAATTTCCATCAGGCATTAGGTATATGCTGAAACACTACATTATATTCTCCAATATGGAGTATACATTGAAAAATAATTTGACATTTATTTAGATCTCAATTTTGAGGATAATAATGATATTAATAAGTAGGTAGGTATATGAAATTAACAAAAAATAAATAATCATTATTAAGATGAGTGACTATCTCATTTAATCATTAAATACTTAAATACCAACAGGAATTTGCCTATAAAAATGATTTATCATACAAATTATTTCATTGTGTGCCAACCAGTGACAGGTCATTGGATTGCCTGATTGTGACTGACATTATATACCAATGAGTATTTTAGTTTAAATATGTGGACCCCCGAATTACCAGAGGAAGCTAGGCACCTCTACCTCTATAATTATTATATGAATGTATGCTCACATTTTGGCTCAAGTTTATCAACAATGGAGAGTCTTCTAAATGTTCATTCGGATTCTCGGGGACTGTAGATATTAGAGCCCTATCTTCTGCACCAAAGTACGAACCACTGTGGCCCCATTTGAATGACAGTCCAGTCTGACCATTGGTCCATGTCGAATTCCTACACTTGATACACCCGTATTCGTCGTCTAGAAACAAATTTTCATCGCTTGCGCCGAAATAGTGCTCGCATTTGTCCATTTTTTCCTAATTTTTGCGAAGTAACGGGATTTTTCAGTTCAAATTCAAGATTTTTAGGGTTCCCATGGAACATAACCTCAGTCGCTTGCTTTGCTATCAAAGCTCAGGTTAGTGTGATGCTGTTTACGAGTGGTTTACGATAAACATTATTACAATTCACAATTACATCCTTCCAACTCATATCCGTCAACATTTTAGTTAAATAATAATTATTAATTATCTTGTATTTTTATATTTTTAATTCTTTCCTACGTGTCATTTGTCAATGATGAAAATTGTTGTCCAGTTGTCGTTGTCATGCATAGTGACACGTGTCAGGTGTGACGTGGGTCACTCGTGTGTCACTCGTGTGTCGAAGATGATTTTGACAGCTACAGATTTCCTTACCCCATCCTGTGGATTTATACATTTTGAATGATATAGCTAGATGGCACTGGAAAGTTGAGTATGAAAATTAAAAAATCTGTTTCAATGAAATTATCTTGCTCAAGTAGAAATCCAATAATAGTATATTACACACCGAGGTGGGAAGTGATTCATTCCTGCACAGCCGTCTGTTAGTTGAAGACGGCTGTGATTCCTGTCGTGAGATTAGTTACTTAACCGAGACGCAAAGCGTCAAGGTTACCTATAATTTCGAGACAGAAATGAAACTTCCTACCGGTGTAATGTTGTCATTACTAACGTCATTGGAGGTTGGGAAGTGTCACATTACACACCATATTCCATTTATCTGCCGAACAGGTGATGAGCTCCTAAGTGAATTGTCCTGAACGATTATAAAGTTCTTGTGAGTACAGGATCTCGAATGATGAGATATCTGCCATAGTTTACATTGCTTCTGGAATATCCTAAAAAAAAACTTGTATTAGTATTATACTTGTCTGATAGCGCAATATATTATTCATTATAATTCACATCTATAAAACAAGACATGGGTCTATCCTTCAAAGATCATATTTTCATTGAAAAAACGACTGTAGATTTCCTGAAGTGCACAAGTAATTTGGAAAAAAACTGATATAAAACCACTGTTTATACCTAACTCTTATAGGCGACATCCTCCTTTGTAGAGATGCATTACGAACGCCAAAGTTGATACACTCCCCTCGTGAGGGCACCTGACGTGATCCCATACAATCACAATGTCGACCAATACATCGACTGTTTGATAGAATGATCGAAAATAGTGTTTTTTTTATGAAGAAATACTCGAAGAAGAATGAACCTACGATCTGTATTCGAATTTAATGTTCATGAAAACTTATCTTGGATATCTTCATATTCCATTTATCTGCCTGACAGGTGATGAGCTCCTGAGTGAATTGTCCTGAACGATTATAGAATTCTTGTGAGTACAGGATCTCAAATGATGAGATATCAGTTTACATATTGCTTCTGGAATATCCTGAAAAAAAACTGGGATTTGTATTATGCTTTTCTGATTGCGCAATATATTATTCATTATAATCCACATCTATAAAAGAAGATATGGGTCAATCCTTCAAAGAGCATATTTTCATTGAAAAAACGACTGTAGAGTTGTTGTGAGTACAGAAAAACGACTGTAGAGTTGTTGTGAGTACAGGATCTCAAATGATGAGATATCTGCTATAGTTTACATCGATTGAGGAATATCCTAAAAAAACTTGGATTAGTATTATGCTATTCTGATTTCGCAGTATATCATTCATCATAATTAATATCTTTGAAAGAAAACATGGGTCTATCCTTCATTTCATATAGAGCATAGCTTCATTGAAACAACGATTGTTGCTTACCTAAGGTGTACAAATAATTAAAAAAAAAAACTGGTATGAAACCACTGTTTATACCTGACTCTTAAAGGCGACACCCTTCTTTGTAGAGAGGCATTACGAACACCAAAGTTGATACCTTGCCCTCGTAAGGGTACCTGTCATGATCCCATACACTCACAATGTCGAATAATACTTCAACTGTTCAATAAAATGATCGAAAATAGTTGTTTCTCATGAAGAAATTTTGTACGTTCGTGTAAGTTCGTGTTTATTCATGCTCAGATCAAGATACCTACTCTTTGATCGTATAAAAGCAGTTTTTCAGTAAGAAAGCTCTCATTTTATTCTTAAATTGATAAAAATTCAAGCACCTCACCTTAGAAGGTATCTTGTTGTAGAGGTGCAGACTGCAGATTCACAGAGTTCCTTTTTGACATCTGTAACGTGAGCTTAGGTATTATCAAGTTGCCATTGCGAGTGGAATAAGGGTGTTATTCGGATTGAACCGTATAATTGTTTTTAGTATTATGGATTTCGAGTAAAGATTCATAAATAAAAAGTGTAGGAAGTGGCATAATTTGGAAACTCACAAAAAGAGGGCGACAGTGCTCGCGAAAATGCACTCCTGCCATTACTCTAATAAGTCTCTTTTGCAACATGAAAACTTCATGAGAATGACAGGAGTCACTCCATAGTAAAATACCATAAGATGCATTACTATGGAATAACCCATAGTAACAAGATCTGAGAACATGTGAACTGACAATATTCCTTAAACGTCGGATCAAAAACGTGATACTAGATAGTTTTTTCGCTAGTGATTCGATATGAGGAGCCCAGTTGAGCCTATCGTCTAGTTGCACGCCAAGTAATTTCACACTATCGCCTTGAGTGATATTTCATTTCGAAGAAACCAGGATAGATTAATTTTTATGTAAGTTAATCTCAAGTTTGTTACAAGTAAACCAAGTTTGAGCTGAATTCAAGATATCTTTCGATTTCGTACATAAACTGTTTAGATCTGCACTTTGGCAAATGAATGTTGTATCATCTGCGAAAAGAACGGCCCTTGTCGGAGATATGAAATAATAAAGGTCATCTATATAAATAAGGAATAGAAGGGGGCCCAAAACAGAGCCTTGAGGAACACCGTGAAATGTATACCGTCCAGTGTCCAAACTCTCTACTGGTGAAAATAATCCAGATTCCAGAATAATTAACGCGTAACAGATTTGCATGATGGAATAAAGTAGAAAGCGCTCACTCGAGGAAGCATGCACATTTGCATAATTTGACAGAGAAATTTACTCCCTGACTAATCTAGGGCTGTCGGGGGTGAGTTTATATAACAGACCCATTAGATGTGCCATAATGCGGTACCTATATATTATGATATGTATATGAGGGGAAATTGGAATTAAAGCGGTCTGCATTTTTGGCTGTCAGTTATGATTCCGCACCACAGGGGAGTGGAGGTTGAGAAGTTGGCTTATTGTCACTTATAATTGAAGAGTGGAAGTAACAAAGGTGCTGAGTGCCAAAATTAAAGTTTCGAGATATTTAAGAAAAAAGTAATAAAAACGTCAATATTTGTTTTTTTCGTTTATTAGCATCAAAAATCGTATAAAAGGTCAACGGAAAACCAATTATGACTAACACCGATATCTGTTATGAAACACAGCTGAAAATAAAAATTATTTCTAAAAAAAAAAAAAAAAATAGAAACGAGGTAAGTGCCACATTTTTTTTACAAAATAGGATCAGGAAGTATTGCTGATATATAATTTGGAGTTTTTCAAAATCGAAAATAAGGAATTAGGCAATAGTCAAACTGACATTGATCTCAATAATAACAAAAATGACAAAAGAACGTGGTGTCTGATAATTCGACAATACAGCAATCACTCTGGTACATGCCCCCTTTGATGGCAAATAACCGTTGTCGCTTGATTGATTGATTGATTGATTGATTAATAGCAGAATGATCAGTCAGGGTTCGAAGCCCAAAACACTGCAGCCTTTGGGCCTATTGTATTCCTGATCATGCTGTTGACTTAGGTGAACAGGTTCGCTACCTTGATAAGGTTTAGCAGCCTCTTCACCAAATCATTCTTTGGAAAGGCCTCTTGAGAGTTTACTGCTCCCAGAAGGTTGTATCTCCAACGCGCTAGTGCTTCGCACTCCAATATTACATGGGTGGCAGTTTCCTCCTTCTCATTGCATAGTCTGCATATGGGTTCGTCTGTATAGATACCCATTTGATGCATATGTTTCCTCAAGGGGCAGTGACCGGTTATTAGTCCCGTCACTTGTCTGATCTGACTTCTGTTTAGGCTCAGAATGTCGTTAGTCACTGTTTTGGACAGTGTTCCAACCATCAGTTCACTGTGTCTTTGTCCTGGGACATTGTTTCAGTATGCCTGATGTCTTTCTTGCATCCACCTTGCCATCAGCCAGCCACGTATTGAGGTTTTGGGGATACCGACCACAGGTTCCGGTCCCATAAACAACGCCGCAGACCCTTGCCTGGCAAGAGCGTCAGCTGCTTCGTTGCCTTCAATTCAATTATGCCCTGGCACCCATTGAAGAGTTACCTTGTTGTGGTTAGCCAGGGTTAGCAGGCTTTGAAGGCAATCCTAGACCAGTTTTGATCTGATTTTATTGCATGTTAAAAATTGAATGGCCGCCTGACTATCTGAGCATATGAGGATTTGTTTACCTCTGTATCCTTTTACAATATTCTCTCTCAGGCATGCCTCAATAGCCATGCACCTCTGCCTGGAATACTGAAGAATACCTCCCCAAGGAAGCACACATCCTGGTTCTGGGTCTATCTCCATATATTCCGGCTTCCGTGCCCTCATCAGTCTTAGAACCGTCAGTGTACCACACTAACGTGCCTTCCTGACAGTTAGTCAAGACCATTTCATCCCAGTAGAGCTGAGTGTTGAAGGGTCTGTAAAAGTTTTACTCGCCCTACGGACTCGTAATTTTTTCTGTCAGTTTTTTGAGTTGAATTACCTAATGGCAGCAAAATTCAAATTATAAATTTCAAGTTTACTTCGACTTATCTGTTTATGGCTGATGCGTCTTACATCAAACTTCACACGTGAGAGGAAATTGATACCTTTCCTCCCTTGATATATTCCATTCCAGCCGACCTCCCGCGTGGGAGTTAATCGACGATTCAGTGAGTGTAGATTGAGGAGTGATGCTTCAGTTTTAGTTCCCAGAGATGCCAAAATGACTGGTGTGTTTTCTGAAACGTAAATGTAGCAATAGCAACTAGCAAAAGGATCTATGGACTCATGACTGATGAATGGACGTTGCACTGATGTAATAAGTAATAAAGTACGAGCAATAAATACTGTCTGTCTGAAAAGTATATCTTTGGAGAATAAGGAGCCCTAACTCATGCTGGATGTCTATGACAAATGGCGAGCTCACCGCCCCCCAGACACAACAGAATCGCAGAAAGAGATATACTATCTATTATGTGACAAAAACACATGTACTCGGTATAACCTCTAGCCGCGACACGCCTACAACGCTGACCACCGGTCATCGTTTCCTGGAGTCATTAAATATATGATGACGTCGAATAAAGTTTTCATTGTGCCCTGGAGGTTCGGGTCATCAATTTTCGTTTTAGTCGGAAAGATGGGCGATTTTTGGTTTTTCAAGCTGGTATTAGCCATGCAGCACAATTTTGTTCCGAAAATATTACCAAAGACCTAAATGTATCTATTTAGATCTATGATATTACTGAAACATGGTTCAGACATGATTTGAGAAATGTTCGTTTCGTTAAAACACATTGATGCAACATTCTGGAAATGTTGGGGTTCAGCACCCAAACATATACGCTGATGCTCTTATTAGATTCCATCCAGAGAGAAGCCAATCGGCCGGTTGGTGATGCCACAATCACTAATCTTTTGACCTCATTAGAACAGTGTAGGAAAGTCAGTGATTTTCCACTTTTTTATAGATACTTCCACGGGAAATGTTGATCAGAAATCTCCATTTAATCACTAGGAATACCATGTCAGACGAACTCGATAGGCCAAGTCAGCACATTATAGAAATTTCCTTTCGTGCGCTCCAAGAGATAAAAAAAAAATCCTTTCGTTGTCAACCTCGAAATATGTCGAACAATACTTTACCAACTCTCGTTGGTCTATACAGGGTGTTTCACAGGTGAAGGGAAATATTTCAATGGGCAGATAGGGGTCTCCAAGGTGGTTTTGAGAATACCATATTTGATGAGTCTGATGACAGTCTTTATAACGGAGATACAGGGTGATTTATCGATTTCTCAAAATTAGTCACTCGTCCATAATTTTTAAACTACCCAGTATATTTTTCTCAATTTATTGACTTATCGGGCGGAATGGTAATCCAGGTTCGGCTTAGGGTTTTATCTCTTGGAGCGCACGAAAGGAAATTCCTATAATAATTGTGGATCGCCGATCAGGTTCTTCTCCTCCTAGGTATACACACGATGTTCTCCGAACAATATAGGGATTCCTTTTCGTGCGCCCCAATAGATGAAACCCTTGAAATGACCTATTTTAATTGACTCATTTTATACAGTAGGAACGATAAGCAATCGCCCATTAAGGGGGTATAATTGTTTTCGAAGTAATAGACACAATCGGCAATTATGACGAACAATAGAAACAATCATCGAATTCTAACACGTCTTCATTGTACACAGCCGATAAATCCTCTATAAATCCCTTTGTGATTTCCGAAATTTTCCAACGATAGGAACGTGATGACACGTAGGTATAAAACGTATAAGGAAAGGCGGGTAGACATACAGTAGTCAAATAAATAAAAATTAGACGATTGATGTGACGCTTGATGTCGTTGTCTCTACCCCCCCCCCTCCCCGATTTCGGCTGAGACAAAATGAGGGGTAACAAGGAGCCTTAATCATACACCAAGGTAGTGAATATTACCTATCATAATCACCCAGGCACTCAGGGACCAATATCCGTGGTAGTAATATTCTTTTTCTACTCACATAAGATATGTAGGTACCACGCTAAATGATCGATCAATCATGGATTGATGATATGTGATTTATTAAAAAAAACAAACACGTTACCATTGCAACATAGTTTTTTAAACATACCTCTAGTCGTTCGAGTCCTGCCCGGCTTGTCAATTGTAGGAACTATCAACTGTCATTTTTAAATTTTGTTGCAATCCGGTGACAATCAGAATAATTCAAAAAATTTCTGTTTGCATTACTCAAGTCGGGGCCCCTGTTACCCGGGGCCGTAATTGATATACTTATGGCTGATACGGCGGTAGCTACGTTCCTGCCATAAAATTTCTGGTGTATTAGAACAGTTTTACTCATTGAAACTTGTTTACCCTGTATAGGTCCTTGTCGATTTTCCAATTATATTTTTTATCGTTTTTTCCTAATTATAGGTCATGAATAAGTGATAAACCGAAATAACGAATTCCAAATCTGGGTCAGTAGTTGTATTATAATTTGAGATCATACAAACTACCTGGTACCTGTTCATATACGTACTACCCCAAATATACTGATTTGAAACAGTAGTAACTATATATGCAAGGTTAAAAGTGCACTGAAATACATTTATTCAAATATCTATAGAATTTTTTTTTGTCCTTATATTCGAATTTTTTATGTTTCGATTCCATTTGATCTATTCATATCCAATATAGTAGATGTAAGAATGGATATATCCATTCTTCTGTTTCTATAACTGCTATCAGTTAACTTTTTTCATCTTCCTCATTCCACTTCTTACTTTGTGGAGTTGTGGTTCACAATAGTTCACATTGTTATTTATTTTATTGATTTTTCGTAATAATCAAAATGAGCGCTATCTCTACATTGAACCTTTTATACATATATATCATTCGACTATACTCAATAAGTGAACAATAATATGAAATATAATCTCTTGCAAATGTGTTTGAAATATAAATTTAATGAACTCACTTAAAAATTCCGTGGGCACCAAAATATACCAACTAAACTATAAAAACTGTCAGAATCGATAGATGAGTACATATAGAATGAACACACTTGTGGAAGTACTATGAACTCAATGGAATGATATTATATTAAATTGGATTAGATGGCGCTAGTAGTTTTGTCAAAAATAGGGTATTCCATATCACCGAATATATTCCATAATCCCCGACTTCACATGCGTTTCCCATGAAAGAGTATTGCTGATGGAAATACCGAGCATATTATCGTTATCGTTAAATATGGAAAAACGTACGGCAATGGAAATTCAGTGATATGGAAAATGAGAAAATATTTCGTATCTATGCGAAATCCGTCCGATTCCGATTCGTTTCACGATCTAGTTCGAAATAATGAGAATATCACTAGATATTTTCGTCTTTTTGCTTGTATCAAAGTGTCTCGTTGATCTACAAGAAGTCCAAGATGAATCTCCAACAATAAGAATAGCATCCGAAGAATCAGCGAAGATCAACAATAATCGGAGCACTATATCAGTTGACCCTTTCCAAAGTAGTGTCCATGAGACCTCTATCAATGTGTCTGACATTTCAGAAAATTCAGGTTAGTCCCCATACAGGGTGTTTCAGATTATAATCAGTCAAATTCATTGGGTGGAATAACTCGTTCATGTGAATTTATACGTTTCGTACAAGGTAGAGAAGTTTATTGAAATTTGAAAAAAAAAATGTTTTTTTCCAAATGGCATAGAAAGTATTGAAAAGGAATATTCTCAGATAAATTATGAACATACAAAAATGGATATATATTTATATAAAGCAATTCATTGAGAATTCGCATTCTCTATGTGATGAGAATATTTATTTATTCTTCATTTTTCATGTTCTCCTTTTGAATGTTCATCAGATATAATTCAATGTTCGACGAGGCAAATAGCCAGGAAAGTAGTTGTTTTCTGTTGAATATTCAGAATGATGTATGCATATACATATTTTTATCTGAAGGAGAATGCAAATTCTCAATTTTCAGAAGTTTTTATATTTTATTTTCAAACTCTTATCGTGTGTGTTCAATAGATATAATTCAATGTTCGTCGTGGCATATATAGCCAGGAAAGTAGTTGTTTTCTATTGAATCAACTGAGAAAGAGTAAATATTCTCATCACATAGAGAATGCGAATTCTCAATGAATTGCTTTATATAAATATATATCCATTTTTGTATGTTCATAATTTATCTGAGAATATTCCTTTTCAATACTTTCATACCCAATCAGGGGGTTCAAACTTGAACGATGGAAACTTGTGATTTTTATAGACTTCTAATCGCAGATTCGTGATAGAGTCTCAATTCAGAATTTCTTTCCACGCCCTGTATGATGAATGTCAATTTATCATACACTCAAAGGCATAGAAAGTGTCTTTTCTATGAAACAAACAGGCAGCAAAGGTATACTTTCTCTGCCTAGGCAGAACAAGTTTGTTGCTTTTGTTGGTAGAAAATTATCTTGACCTTGAAAAAAATTATCTGTAATAATTCTGCCGCTAGGGAGATTATAAGTGACTATTATGCCATGGTCGTGGAACTTGATTTTTTTCCAGTAAATGAACATCAAAAACTTTTACGCAAAAAATATGTTTTGATCTCGTGTTTAATATTGACTATAACGCTCTAATTCATTGAAACTTCTTTTTTGTAGTGAAAGTTACACAATCCGAATTTCATATTCAAGCCTCTTTATTTCCATTGGCGTAGAAGTTCAAGACATTTATTTAATCAAGTTCTACGCCCATGGGATGTTATTCCTTATTCATCATCATTATGGTATGGGCACAGATTATCTGTGGTATTGGTTTTATTGTCCAATAAAGCTTTGCTAACGTGGAGATTGAAATCTCATGAGTTATTTCAAAGTTATGAAACAAACTCCAGAGCCGTCTAGCGCCCAAACTAAGTAATTTTGTACTGGAGTAGGTAAGTTTGATTGTATGGTTTTTTTTTTGTACGAGGAATACGTAGTAGTATAGGAAACTAGGGGACACCCGTATATAGTCTCATTCGAATCAACAATATAAGATATAAGATAAAACTATCTTTCCCCGCATGAGTTTTTCGTATATAAGCAGTGTAATTTGGAGATTTTGAGAATGTGTCTGTTATCACCAACCACCCTGAAATTTTGGCATTATCAGCGGAGAGATAATGTTTGGCATTATGAAAGGTTTTACAGGGTGATAATAGGAAACGGAAAATAATATTTCTATAATGTCAACACAAACTCAGCTCCACAACATACAAGTTGATATGAACTTCTCTGTTTATTTTTGCGAGTACAATCGCCTTTGAAATTTTCCTGATTACAATCTGAAACACTTTCTATACATATACAAATAATTCACCAAATCATATACGAGTGTTTTTTTCCTTATTGTGGTTTCTCGTAGACGGGGTTGAAGTGATGATAAGGAACGTGAATTCCGGGCTAGTTTTGGATGGTTCTGACTTTGTCGTGAGGGTAGCACCACTGGTTGGTACCTACACTCAACTCTGGATCTTCAACAAGTCCACTGAAAACCCAGAAGCTATCATTTTCACCAACGTAGCCAATGGGTAAGAAAAAATCAGCCAAAAAGTCTTTCTCACTAAGTTGGACAGACTGGTAGTTTTTCGAGTGTCAGCGTCAAGGAACACCAATAATTTTGTTTTCGTTTTTTAGACGTGCCTTGTACAGTTGGCCTTACACGAAATCGGTATTCTGCTATGACTGGGCAGATACTGTATATACGAGGTGGTTTGTAGAGGGTGATAGGAGGCTGGTCCCTGCTGCATACCCTCAAGAATTTTTGTACTATGGATACGGTCCGTTAGCTATTTCGCTGAGATACGGCGTTTCGTCGGATGGCACTGATGAGTGGGTTTTGGTCGAATCCAAAGAAAATTCAGAAACTTAGATTATTATTACAAAATCGAAAGAGATTGGTTGGATGATTTGTATTATTTTACTTATGGTGTGCGACTGTACAGAGCTAGCTATCCGAGTATTCCGCTATCCATTTTCCTGTAAATAAAAATTGAAAAAATTAGAGAAGTTTACAAAAATATCAATCGATATCAATTTGAAATCAGTTTTTTGAACACATTTCTTCTGGTTCTACATACAGGTAGAGAAGAGACAAAAAATAGGAATGGTGACAATAGTAAAAATAAGAGGAATATCAGTTCAGTACTCACTACATGAGAATTTTCAATCAAATTATGCTGCAGGCTTGTCATACTCTCTAGACGACACCAAAATATATAGAGTGTTCAAGAAAGAAGTGGCTCTCTGTTGCTAGGATATATTGTCAAGAAGTACAAATGCCTATGGAATGACATCACTCAAATTCGCGTTCATTTCAAGATCTTCAACTATAAATTGACTTTTCCAAATTGAAACATCCATTACAGTGTAGTTTCGATCACGTCAGCGGAGTTCATAGACTTCAGTTCCTGTAGAATTTGCAAAACCGTGTACCGTGCGATAATATCTAGGTGAGCAATATCGAAAGGTATTGGCTATTCCCATTCCGGAACATTGCAAACCTAGCATCGATTACGAATATAAATAGTACCCGAGTTGATAAGGCATCATCATTATTAATACAAGTCATTAGTAATTATCAATTAAATATAATCGCCGTCTCCCCGATTTCAATCTTGCTGGCCAACCCCACGCTCATTTGGCAAGCCATTATTTTCTTTTTCTTTGCTAAAAACTGCCATGAGGAAACACTGAAATAAGTTTTTCTCAACACCGGATGCCGTTACGGTTTTTTTACCAAGCAAACCCAACTTATTTTGTAATGTTCTATACGCATCCTATCAACGGGGTCACCTTATTTGAAACACCCTCTATAGATAAAAATGTTTTGCAAATGAATTACATGAAGATACAATAATTGAAGATCCACGATGTAATATCAATTACTGAAAAAGGCATTTCATTCATTGAGGTATACATCGTCACACTTCTAGTGATACGACTGCGGCAAGAACTTACGCTTACGGCGGCGACAACGACACGTCGTCGACGGAAGCGGTACTTTTGACAGATTTCGGCCTCGTTAACATTCAAATAGGGTCTCACCTACCAACATGGGAATACGACTGTCTACTCACCACCACATATCTCCGTGTAATTGAACTGCCAGTGGCGTATCTACACAACAAATGAGCCGAACTTATTTTCAAATGAACAGTATAATTCACAAAGAGAGAAACTCAAATTCATTACCACAATAGATCATAAAATGAACAAAAATGATAGATAATGAGAGAAAAACAACTACTTTCCTGGCTATATGCTACGCAGAATATTGGATTACATCTTCTCGAATTCTATGCAATAATTCGTATAGACTGAACGCCGAGCTGCGCTTAAGTGGTACAGGAACGCATGACTACCGGCAGACCGGTTTCGAGCTGTTGGCTCTCATCAGTGCAGGGCTGTCCCAGATAACTTCTTGACCGCTATCTGATGGTGCAAACCTGGCCCAACAGAAACGCATCTCAGCACATATACCTCGCGAGGCGTTCGAAGTCCGCGAAATGAACGCGAACGCCGAACGCCATGTGGCAAGGAAATAAACACTCCAAAACAATCTCCCATTTCAGGTGCGGTTGTTACGACATATTGTTGCCTAATAATTTGGCGAATAACATTGTTTATTAAAACTTTTGTGCCGTAGGCAAGAAGTTCTGGAACAATGGCATGAGCGAAATTAAAGCAGCAAGGTGGAGTATGTCAATCGACAGATATTTCCAGGAAAAATAGTATCACGAGTTGTATTCGTATGACTATTGAGAGAATAAACGAGCGCCTCGCGATAGTTACGTACACTGCATCCATCATTATGGCTTCCAACATTATTGACGTTTTGAATGTCAAAAATGTTATCGCTGTAAAACGAGGTTGGTGGATCACGTGTGGGTCAATTCGGCTTCTGTATTGGTAGAGCAAGTCCGATATAATTTCTAGTAAACAGAAGATATCGCTGTAATACAAGAGGAACCGCGAAAATGGTTGATTCTTATGGGTTCTTGAGAACAAGAGTGAAAGTCATATTATTTTTGCAAATAGGTACCGAATATACCTACTTTCCCTTAATTACGCCACTGCTGCTCTATGATCGAAATACGGTTGAAAAAAATGCCGCTGCACGTATCGGTTTATCCTCATGATTAAGTCTGCTCGTTTTCCATTGATTGAAATCTCAACGGAAATTGAATAGTTTTACCCACCTATGGACATTGGACAGTCAATTACAATTCGTTTATCAATTTGTACTAGTACAGGATGAGGGCATCTAACTTTGGAGGTCAATAATTTATACAATATGAATAAACTTTCGAAAAATTTTCAATATTCCTCACCATAAAGCACTCAGAAAATAAAAACGTAATCGACTATTTTTCGATTTCCCCCTGTATCTCTGAAACGAAAGAGTATATCAAAGTTCCGATTGCGCCATTTTAGATTTCCTCAAAATCGAACCCGTGACATGTAAATCGGTTTTTCGATAACTCCATCAGTTATTGAGATAGCCCATGGGCCCATGAAAACGCCCAATTTTGCCTACCATGTACAGTGATTACTTCAACCTGCTTCAACTCTCTATAAGAGTTGAAAACACACACACCACGCCTCCCGAAAAGTTGAATGCCCAGGATCAAGTGCCGCCATAGCTTACGTTACATGGACTGTTTATACGTCCATGTTACGTTATATGATAGCTCCTCATCCCCATGTCCATCCACCCCCACTCACTAACGAGTGGACTTCAACCTTATGCATTTGGCAATCTGCATAATGTTTTATAAAACCCCTTACTTGGTTTCAGTCTCCCGACTTTTAAACCTTTTTGTCTAATGTGTGTTTCCTAGCCTGACTTTGCGTGGTGGTTCCCTACCCTAATGGGAAGCAAAATTGAGTTTATGTCTTATTATTATTGGTTTACTTTTTTTATAGGGTATCAAAGGAGAGACTCTTTTGTTTAATTATCTGATGATTATTATGCAACTTTTATTGATATTGATTTAATTTCGTTCTTTTATCTTATATTTGGTGAATTGGGCGCATGTACTTCATTCTTCCTATGGGCGGGTCTTGATTTAATTGTCTGTTGGTCAGGTCGTGCAGTAGTGGGTTCTCGTGGGTTTCCGTTCTTCCGAATGTAGTCTCCGCGTGTTGTCTTATGTAGTTGTCTATGTAGTCTGGGTTTATGTTCAGGTCCCTATAGATAAATCTATTTGGGATATACCATTGGGCGTTTACTGCCATTCTTATTGAGACATTTAGAAATGCCTGTATTCGCTTTTTGTATGTTTCTGCGCATTGGCCCCATGCACTTGATGCATATAAAATTATTGGAAGTAGAATGGTTCTTATTAGGCGCAGCTTCAACTCTAGAGCCATGTTGCTTCTGCGACCTATTAGAGGCTGTAGGTTTTGCCTTGCGGCTTTACCCAGGTTTAGTCGTGTTGTAATGTGTTGTCTGAAAGTGAGTTTGTTATCTAGGGTTACCCCTAGATATTTTGCCTCGTCTGCCCATGGTATCTGTATGTCGTTTAGTATTACGTGTCCTGTAGGTTTGGTACGTCGTCTAGTGAAGAGAACAGCTTGGCTTTTCTCTGCGTTAATTTCTATCTTCCAGTTATTGAACCAGGTTTCTAGTGTGTCAATCTGTTCTTGTAGGTACCGTACTGTCATGTCTGCTTTACTGGATCTGGCAATTATGGCTGTGTCGTCGGCGTATAGTGCGAGTTTGTTGAAGTTGTTCGCGGGTTTAGGGATATCTGCGGTAAAAATGGAGAAAAGTAGTGGTGAAAGGACCGCACCTTGCGGTACTCCTGCTTCTAGCTCCCTCTCTGCAGAGATTTCGTTGCCAACTTTACATTGGCATCGCCTTCCCCGCAGAAAGGAGGCTATTAATCATTCCAGAATTACGTCATTTGACAGGTTGCTGAGGAGCAAACATAGTATTTTGTCGAGATTTGTCATATGAAACCAGAATAAGTGGGATCGTTTTCCTTGGAATCCGAGTTGGAACCCGAAAGAATTTCATAATTTTGTTTGTTGAAACTGTTATTACATTGTGGATGTGGCAGGAATGGCCAGGGCTATGCTCATCAAAGGTAACCTTCCTAACATATAGTTTGTGTGCCCCTCAAGAAACCATGTCAGAATCACGTGTTCTAGAATGGTCAATTAGCTCTTTACCATAGATATCGGGTACCCGTAGTCTGTCATTTTGGTCAGTAGTCCGTCGTGCCAGACCCTGTCAAGGAAGACTGCTCCAGTATAATGTCCTTTTCCGAGATTGAATCCTGTAATCGCGTAATCTACTATTCTGAGAACTTGGAGTTCTGTGCAATGGTTTCGCCTGAAACCAAATTGTTCGTTTGGAATTACGTTTAGTTCCTCAGACATTGTTGTTAATCGTCTTTGGATGACGCGTTCTGCCACTTTGCTCATGGATGGGAGCAAACTGATAGGACGGTGGTTTTGTGGAAACGTGTGATTTTTGTTTGGCTTTGGGATCATTATTACTGTAGCAATCTTCCAATCATTTGGAAAGTAACGTAGTATGAGTTGAAAAGGTTCTCGTAAGAGTTTATATACTGTGGAAAGGAATAGAATTCAGTAATCTCAGCCAGCGCCTACTCTGCGCTGCGTGCGTCCGATTGCGGTATCTCCGGGGGCGACGTCGACCGCTCCCCGCCGCCGAAATAATTGCCGCGCCGGCCCCGCCCACAGGACGGGTCGCACGCGGCAACACTCTCATTACTACACTTGTTGACAAACGAGGAACGATCCTCTATTCATCAGATAAGTATAATTATCATTGCTTGCTCCGAAATTAATGTTCGTTTCTCTCAATTTTTGGCGATTCTCTATATGGCATCTATACCCTATTCACTTCTTCAAGAAATTAACGCAATACCAAAAAGTAGCCAAAAGTTCAGAAAACATATTCGTCAAATCTTCTTGTCAGATTTGGAGGTTTTTTGTATTGAATTGACAGGTTATTTCCTGCTGAACATTGGTGTGCAA